AAATAGAAAATATCACCACCACCCTTTCTCACCCAACCATTTCCAAAATTACAATATAGTTACTGAATATAATAAATTTATGGGCATATGTACCTATTAATTTAATTAGAAATTAAAACTTAAGGATGATCAACCCTCTGATAAGAGAGATAACTCTCACTAGAATAAAGATTTATAAATTCATCCTATCAAAAACAAATTCTGTTGTATTTTTTCCCTGCAAACTATGCTGAAATTGTGTGCATTTTTTTTTTTTAGGTTTCTTCTAAAACCAGTCACTGTAGCCTTCTGTTAGAGCTTCACTTTACGATCAAGTCTCAGGCCTAAATTTAATTTTATTCAACATACTACATCAAACCAAAGACATACCGTAATTAAAATTAGTAAAAGCACTGGTGGTGAAAGTCATGACTCTTTAACTTAAATGAAACCTTAAAATCCAAGGTCCTGTTTAGCATTGGCAAAGTAAAGAACCTTCTCTGCTCAACAGCCCTGATTGCTTAGTATAGGTCTTACTAAGTTTGTATACTAAGCCCTTCACCACTAAATGGTGAATTTTCTATAAACATGTATAAGTGAAAAATCGCAATGATAACTTGAATAGAACATAAAATAACACACAATCTTCTGAAAATTATAAGTGTAAAAGCAAGTTACATGAGCACTCAGATAAAGGGATGATGAACTATTATTCATCTAATGAAAAATTAACTGATTGGATTTGGGGTCTTGACCTTTTGTGTTGTTAATTATGTATTAATTGAGACATATTGTGTGGTGTCCATGAAAAATAAAGTCTGCCTAACTTCTTGCACAATGCAGTCTAAACTAGTGACATATACATACACTTCAAATAACTGCATCATTGGAAGCTGGATTGTTGTTAGGGTCAAGCTTAATTGTGTCAATTCAAAGACCACAAGGTCTGAAGCTCGAAATCGGTCAAATGTCTAATTTGTCAAATGAAGTTAACAGTAAATAGACGCCTACATTTATATGAACGGAAAAGTTCTCATTTGCAAAGTTTAAAGCATCAATTCTTTATGGAAATGTGTATTCAATGTTTAATTAACAGTTTCCCATTTGTAAAGTCATAAAACAGAAGATTGGAATTAGCAGTGAGTTCATTAATTTACCAAACATGGAAATTAACAGAGAAAAAAGATAAACAGTACATTAGTCAGTCACCAAATGCCAATTTACATGAACACACAGAAAAAATTTACACTTACAAAGGACCAGAGAGCCAAGTTCACAGCATGGTCAGGGCCTATTAGGAAAATTCTGGTGCCATTAATAGTGTGCAATTAACATTCCTATCACACAGTTTTATTGGGTCCTCATCAGTACAAATGTTTTACATTGATTACTCTCATTACGCTGGCCGTGCATGTTAGTTCTTACATATTAACTTGATATAAGGACAGTTTATCGATACATAAATTCATGTTGAATCTTGAAAAGATGTTTAATTACCCATTTGTGATTAATAAAACAGCCTAGCTTACAAAGATATTTTTTTTTAACTTTTTCACTATTCTATGTGTTTAAACAGGTCCTATATATTTTCCCCTATTTATGCTTTTTCCTCTCTGAATTGTTTTAATAGCTCTCTGAGAAGTTTAAGAATTGCAGAAAAAATGAAAAAAAAAATAACCAATACCTTATATGGGCTTTCCAAAAAATTAGAAAAAATATTTCATTGTTAATATATTAAACACTTGTATTATTAGTGTACACCTCTGACTTAAGAAAGCTAGTCTTAGGTTTCAAGCTTCAGAAGAGAGATAACTGCTGGCAAAATTACTTTTCCTCTGTATGCTTGAATAATATCTAAATTAATTTGTGTAACATTTTTCACCCTGTACGTCCACAAGAAACATTAATGAACATGAATAATGTATTTTCGTAGATAGAATTGTAATATTTGAGCTTTCTATAATTTGATTACTCCATCAACCCATATATCCATATCCTAGATAATTAGATCCCCCTCCCTCAAAAATACATGTATACATTATTTTTGGTAAATCAATCAATACTAATGTTACAATAAACCTTGTGTCCTTACAAAGCCTTATAAATTTTTAAAAATAACTTCTCTCACTTAACTTACTAATGCTTGTGCTAAAGAGTTAAGATTTTTAATATTTTTCTCAGTAAACATTAATTCATCAAATAATTTTTTTTCAAGTACTAACATCTTAAATTACTTTATATATATTCTCACAAATCCAAATTCAAAATACTTGTTTGAATTGAAATCTTAATCAAAAACTTACTTTTATGAAAGAGCTGTGATACATAATGATAAGCTTCACATTTTAAATAGTAGACGTATACACCATCAAGTACCTCCACAACATATATGATACAGAATTCAATATACAACATGTATTTCAATACATACCTGCACCCATACTGTTTTTTTCTGACAGATCTGTGATAGTGTTGGCTAGTAAGGTGTGATGCGTTTCATTCTCTCGGCATATAATTATATCTATTGAATACGATATCTGTAACAAAAACACACCTGATAAAACTCAATTGTACCTCATGATGCACAAGTGGGAAATCACTGTAATTGACCATCTGTAATGTAAAGAGCAGAAAGGATGAGGGGTTTATATTAACAGTTCATTGAACTCTAATACCAGTATTTCAGAGATCAAAAACTAATCAGGTATCATTTTAATATTGATGAAAAATCAAGATGGAAATGTTTAATAATTAGTTTCTGGTACACTTTACCTACAATTTTTTGGTAAGCTAGTGCTTTATCAGACTTTTTAAACAGAATATTTAAAAAGTAAATGAAAGTAAAATGGTCTTTTATTTTAAGAAATATCACAACAATCATACTTTATTTTCCATTTTATTATTCCATGTATTGTTTATTTTTAGTAATATGCAAAAAAATAACAAACCAATTTTAAAGGCACTTTCTTATATTTGAGGCACTATAGCATAAGGCATGTAAAATCAAAGGCACAGCAGCAACTGAAGGCACTTGTCAGGTGATTTTACATAACGTCTAGGTCATCCACCGGTATCCATCGAGTTCTGTAATGGATCCATTGTATGTGTTAAAAACATCAAAAACAGACTCTTTAGCTATAGTCTAATGTACATATCATTTCTATAAAGGGGAACATTAAAGCATGTTTGTTTACTGTACATAAATGACTTTCAAATAACAGAACTGTACAGATAAAAAACATTTACTGGTATTTATGATCATAAATGATTTGGAAAGTAAATTAAAACATCACAGAAAAAAGATCTTGAACAATTGTTCAAATAAATTTCAAGGAAAATTAGTATGTGTTAAATTGTCAATCAAATGTCAACAGAAATACTTTAATCTGAATGAGAAAACTCAGCTTTTGCCAATTTTTGAAGATCAATATGAGGATTTGTTGACCGATTTCTATAATGCAACCAGGTAATTGTACATTTCATGGAGCTTTAGGACTATTGATTAAAATGGTAATATGATTACAGGCATGAGTCCATTTGATAATGAACAAATACAGGTATTTTATGATACATTAATGCTGCTAACCTGTTACCAGTATAAATCCATTTAAGTAACCATAACCCCCACATTGTTACATTGAAGAATAGGAGCTGTATAGACCTGCATGAATGTAACAATGGTTACAGTTTCTGCTCCAGAAATCATTAAAGATCATCACATTGTCAAATACTGAAGAGTCGATCTAAGAAAACGTGGCCCAGGGTTGCATGCCCCCATGACCCGGGGGCCACTCGTCTATAATGATGTAATCTCCCAGTTATTTTGATATTATTCCAATTTCCTCCTATACTCCCGATTAGGAGAGGAACCCCAGATCCTCTTCTTCTTTCCAAATTTCCCTTCTATGTCAATTCTTAGAGACAACCCTGATGGATTATTGCATGTGATTTTTTCAAGGGAAAAAATATACTCTGACACAAACTTTGATGTAGGGCCTATCAGTTATATGACAGTAAATTGTCAAAATGTTTCTACAGTTCAACTTAAATATATTGAACAATGACACTATTTTATCTTGAATATCATGGGAATACTGAGGTGATTTGGAAGTAAAACATGCTCCTAAGGTATTCTAGCCTCAATATCTCAAGTAAAGATATCTGTAACTTTTTTCTCAATCCCAGTGAATTTCAGATAGTAAATTTTAACTGTAACTTTATAGAAACTTGTGAGCTATTTACAGTAATTTCACTTTGAATAATGTCATGACTCATGACATCGTTATAACTTAAATAATTGCAACTGTTTCTCATTCAACAAAATTGTTCAAAGTATCAAAAAAGGAAACATCACTATATTAAAACATAGAAAAATGATAAATTCCCCTGTTCTCATCACCTGAAATTTAACTTTGATAGTAAAAAGCAAATGACGTACAATTTAAAACCTTCACAGAAATTATACATATGTCCTTCTCTACTTTTGCTTCTAAAATAAATGAAAGAGGCAGTCAAAAAGAATTTCAAAATAAACAATTCAAGGTTTGGGTAATCAAGTGTTAAAATAATTTGTTTCCTTTCGTTTTATCTTATTCTCATCAGCTGCTCATGATTCTGACACTATATTTTTTTTTTTTTTGCTAGTTTGTATTTTTGTATTATTCCATTCAAAATACCAAAAACTTCACAAACTAAAAATTATTAAATCGTTAACTCATACCACAGTGAGCCGTTTCGTTCCCTTACTTTCAGTAAAAAAAAATTAACTATTTCAGAGGAAATTCGAACAAATAATTTTTCCCATAACAAACAAACAAAAAATAAATTGCAAAAACAATTCAATGAAATTTATTCTACATGTATTGTTTTATGTTTGACTTCATCTTCTTACCTTGATAATTTGCTCGATATTGATGTCTGTCACTGTAAAAAGTTATCTGAAGAAAAAATTCAATCTGTCAAGAAGTTTTATTTGTTTTGTTTTCTTGCCAATAATTCCGAACGAATGACTTTCGGAACTCTTCTACAAATCGGAGTTGTTCCCCTTGGCTCAGCAGGCACTTTTCACTTTCCATACAAAAGTTGAATACAATGGGTAAGTATATCCTCTAAAAGCGAAGTAAAGGGACACATTTGCTTTTAATATCACGGAATTTTATCATGATCTGTTTATTGATATAAGTTTCGGTCCGAATGTTAGTCGAAAAAGGGTGGAGTGTGTAACTGCATTAGGTCCCTATAAGCTGATAAGTGTTTTGTTTACAAGAAATCGACTATGATATAAAATTATGTATATGTAAATATGCCTGTCTAGCCATCCTTCATAATGATTAAAAAGTGATTATAATTTAAACAATCTTAAAACTGTTGAGGAAAAAAATAACCATGATAACATGACATGAATCATGATGCCATGGATGCACTTGGCATATATATACAGTAGTTAGGCCACTTAACACATTTGCTTATTATAATTCCTTTTAAACTGTGTCAGTGTGGAAATTAAGCTCCAGGTTCATTCAAATACCATAACACAATTTAAGCTAAATAAATATAAGCTATTGTTGCGACAATGGATATTAAGTCGCTGAAAGAAGCAAATCAGCAACAATTGAAATAGAAAATTTTATAAATTAAAAGTAGCTTTTTTTTCCTAAATATTTTTTTTTTATACAAACTACTGTTTATCCTTTACTATAGAGAGGAACGTCCTTTAATATTACTGCTAAAGGCTTTAATTAGCAGTAATTTTCAAAAGATGTTCCTCTATTTCTCTTGCAAATGGTGAATAATTATTTCCACTAAAACATAAATTGAAGTTGGTCTCAAAGATTTGTAATGAAATATATAATTTTCACTACAAGTATTTCTGAATATTTGAATTTCATGGTTAACTATAATTGATTTTACCTTTAAATTGGAGTTAAAAGATATACTGATCTTATAATAGATTGTATGCTACCGATTCAATTTGATAATCAATAGTAAATTTGATTTTGCAACACTAATATAAGTCTATAGCATTGAATCACATTTTTTTTTTCAAATTTGTAGTTTCATAACTGTAACTGTGTGTGCAAGTTTTAAAAAAATTATTTTGAGCTTCACATTACTCAAATTTGTTTGCACACAGGTCACAGTTATGAAACTCCATCTGTCAAAAATATTGATGTCACTATAGAATCATATTACATACTAGTATCTATCTCCTTTTGTATTCATTTACTTGTGTCCCTTAGTTAAATAATTGTAAATTATTTAAAAATTAAAAATTGCTAAATCAATTAATTAATGTTTTTTTCTGAATGTAATCTTTCCACTTCCTAGTACCTTTTGAGAACAGAAGGTATATATATATATTGATGTACTCAGGTATTTCATATACTGTAGACATACTTTTCTCCTTGGGGTCATAATTCTGTGGAATCTGAATTTCCGTTTAATCCGTGTATTGAAAATTACGCGGATTTTTCAGACTGTCACTATATGCCTTGCATTTATATTTAGTACGCATGGATAAATTTCCGCGGAAAATTTGTGACGCGTACATAGTGAAAATTGATACCAAAAAAAAAAGTACTTCCACAGTACTTGGTAATATATAGACAGTGACTTATTCATACAGGGTATATTGCTCATGCACTCTTCCTTGATAAGGAATGGACCTAGCTCTTTCAAGTCTTATTTTTAAAAAAAAAAGATAATGAATCCAGTTTTCTCATTATTGTTAAATTTAGGTTATGAAATGTTTTTAAAAAAAAAAAAGCATTTTTGTTGAAAAATATATGCTAGAAACAGATTATATGTATCAAAAATTTCAACTGAAAATGAACATATTTTCAATAAAAAATAAAAAGTTTGTTTTTGAAAATAAATTTAATTCATTAATACATCTGTAATATTAATAATCAGTTCTCTTAAGAAGTCATGGTAAACACAATTTCATCTCTGTAATTTACCAGATCATATATTTCTTTGAACTAATAATTTATACATACATGTATATGCATGCATATACAGCAAAACTCATTTAGTACGAACACGGATACTGCGAATATTTAAATTTAACGAATTTCTTACACGGATATAACGAATTACGGATATAGCGAAGTAATTTCACATGTCCCATTGACTTCGATATAACCGAGTTTTACTGTACGGTCATGTATTTGTCTTCTTTTTGAACTAATAATTTATACATACACGTAATATATACAGTCATGTATTTGTCTTCCTTTTTCTTGAGACATTATGTCACCAAGTTTGAAACACAAAGGACACCTAATCCTCATAGTGTGGAAACAGGTGTTAATCAATAGTGTACCTACATGAAATGGGGAAAAAAAATCAACATTGGCCTATTATTTCATTTACAGATTACCATGACTACTGTATACAGCTAACCCTTAGGTTTCTCAGCATCATCTTGAAGTTTCCTAAAGAATGAAGAATACTACGTTGGTGATTCCTGGCTAGGCAATTATGGAAACAAAGGTAATTAGATTATTTAATTTCTTTTGCTAATTACATTTGCCACTGATTTGTCAATATACTGATCATGCATGTCTGTTAAAATCTGGGGTTATACCTTTATATTTCCAATTCTAATTTTTTTTCTCTGTGATAACTCTTTGAAAGTTAGGGGAGTTGATTTCTTGATAATTCTGCTGGAATGTAAATTAGGCAGGTGGATAGGTCAGGAGCAAAGGAGACCTAATATGCATGCAAATCTCGTGTGCATCTGTCTCTGTGTCTAATGCTAAGGAGACCAAATACTCTCGTGCGTCTGCATTGATGTTTGACGTCAATGGGCGAGGACAATTGAAATCTGCATGGGAGTCCTCGTGTAATTTAAATCTATTAGTCTACATTTTTAAAGCCTAAATCTACAATTTAATTTCACAATAAAATGGAAATATATGGAATCACTGTCTAGTTAGTATAGTATGCCAGGGACATCAACGATAGTGGGAAACATGGGATAATTTAAACAAAACGGGCTTTGCCCGTTATGCAAATTATCCCATGTTTCCCACTATTGTTGATGCCCTGGCATACTACACTAATTAGACAGTGATTCCTTAAATAACCCCATCACCTCTTGTGTGAGTTCTGAACTTTTGTGCTTACATAGTATGCATCTCACCAACCTGATTCTTTTCATTCTTCATTCCAAGCGGCATTAAGCAAAACCCTAGCTTATTGGACAACCTTTTCAAAGCTGATTGGTTGATTGGCAGAGTTAAATCAAAGAAGCACAGAAACACACAAAATGTATGGCTGTAAATAGACTTTAACTTGTGTATTATTTATTCAAATGAAACTTCACATCTACAGTGCCTGACCTATATGCTATTAGTAAATAAGTCTCTACTGAAATTAAATGTTAACATCAACGACTGAATATATTTCATTGTTTACATCTATATTAGGATTTGTAGAGAGTTGAGTACCTATATGTAGATTTCTTGGTAATGGGCTATAAATAAACTGTGAAGATAAATGCAGTTGCCTACTGCAATTTGATTGCATGGTGGTTTGTCAAGTCTCCTGCCTAATTCCAGTGAATACCTTGTTACCCGTTGCCATGTACTGTTGTTAATTTTCAACTAATCAGCATCCAGGAAGATGACCAATAAACACAGTTGATGGAAAAGAATGAAGGATAGCTCAGAATCATACATATTGTAAAAAGAATCAGTTTGGTAAGATTGCATACTAGTTACTTGTCTTCAGTTATTTGGTTGTCGTTATGTCAGATAGTCTTAATTGGCAAAATTATATGATATGTTACATGATACCAATGTAATCTTTATTTTTAGCTAATCTGAGACAAAGGCTCAATTGAGCATTTCTATTAGAAATTTGTCCATTGTCATTGTGGTAAACTTTTCACAATTTCATCTTCATCTCATTTTGGACAAGAGAACTTTTGGCAGGTGTGACTGGTCTGCAGGGGATGCTCACTCCTCAATGGAACCTGGTCCCCTTCTGAATTTTTAGAGGTCCATGTTTGCTCAGCTCCTAGTTTGTATTGATTAAGTGGACTCGTGAGAATGAATATTGTTCATGATCTCCATATTTCATTGAGACTAAAAATATAACAATATAAGGCAGCAAGGAATTCAAAGATCGAGTATATTTTTGCTGAATTTAAACACATAAAATGTCACAGAATTTGTCAGAAATAAGGAACAGATTCTTTAAATATATTTACAACTGTAACAGGATAGGAGAAAATGCAGCGGACCAGACCAGGATTTGAACCTGGGCCCCCTGAAACTCTGGTCAGGTGCTCTACCAACTGAGGTATCTGGCCACCAGCGATCGAACACGGCTGACCGCCACACAACATTTATTACCTGTACATCAGTAGTTTTTTTAAACAATATTTTGTTTCTTGAATTGAAAAAAATGAAAGTCTATATTATATGACTGTGGACTGGTTCCTTGGATCTCGATGGCACTGTGGTCTGTTTTGATGGTGACACTTCCATCTGACTGTATAATTATGCACTAATTGTACTTCTTACTTCTAACTACTGGTAGGACCTATGGAATGCTAATATCAATAATATATTGTTATTGTTTGTTACTTATGTGCATACACTTCCTGTTTTGATATACAATACTAAATTTGTAAATATAAATGATACTTTGCATTGGTACTTGTTGACAGGACCCCCCCCCCCCCCCCTCAAATATTCAACCCCGGGGATTGTTGGATATTTTCTTCACAAATTATATTCATTACACTTATTCATCATAAGAACAATAGAAAAAAATCGTTAAAACCCCAAAATAATCGCTCCACAAGAAAAAAAACACCACTATACATTATAAGAGAGAAAGGTATGCCACTCAGGTTTGTTTACATTTTACCCCCACTGGTCTTTCTGGGTTTAAAAATGTGTATTTATTTTATTTCAACCTAAAATTATCGTTCACACTGTCTCTACATATATTTCTGTCTTAGTCCATGCTATCGGATTGACTCTGCATCTCGTAAGAATCCACATTTCTCCTTAAACAGCATTCCAGTCTGCACATTGAAATTTCCTTAGGTAAACGCAACGGAAGTGCATAGAGAATGTTTCACTTATTAGGATAACGTCCACGAGAGTGTTTTGACATGACGTAATAATCTTTAGCATATACCTTGTAGTAAATACACCTATTCTGCACGGTGTGATACGGGTGACGTCACAATACCCCATATCATGGACCGGTCTGAAAATCCATATCACGTATCGGACCGGCGGTCCGAAAATCCATATCAAACCGGAAGTAACGTTTGTATAACGTTTAAAAGTCAATTTACTTGATTTTATTTTAATATTCATAATAAATCTTTCTTTAATGACATTAATTTTTATGGTCTTAATTTTTTTCAGTTACCTAAAATAGGCTTTATTAGATTTTAAAGAGAAATGTCACAAACAAGCACGAAATATTCATCAATGACCATATGTGAACTTTGGACTGCATATTAAGTGTTTTAAATATATGATAAATAGCCATTTACTTATACATATTAAAATCCATATCATATGTCACATTACCCTGTACAAAGCCCTCGGGATATTACTACAATGCCACTGACACATTGGATTTTACTACTTTAATATATCTTCGGGTGTTATCATAAAAGGTAATATATTATCTGTGCACTTCCGTTGCTTTTACCTAAGGAAATTTCAACGTTCTGACTAGAATGCTGTTTAAGGAGAAATTGTGGGATTCTTACGAGATACGATTTTTTTAATTGTGCGTATGATGAACAAGTGTAATAAATATAATTTGTGAAAAAAATGTCCAACGATCCCCGGGGTTGAATATTTGGGGGGGGGTCCTGTCAACAAGTACCTGTGATACTTTGTACTCAAACTTACTGTTCACACTTTAAACAGGCCATTTACTTATACAATTAAAATGCATTACAAGTATTTGACTTACTACTGTACAAATTCTTAATTACTACAATGCCACTGACACATTATTACTACTTTGAATATACTTCGAGTACTGTATTATCACTTACTTACTGCAATGCTTATGATGCATCGATCATTACTACTTTGAATATAAGTACATAAAAAATACATTTAATTCAACAATATGTTTACTTTAAACAACTTCACCAAAAATGTTCTGCAGGGAAGCATAGGAGTTGATGTACCTATCAATTTTACCAAAATTTCTAGTAAGTAAAACAAATATGTCATACCTTTAATATATTGTGTTATTATTCAAGTATGACTGTCATATCCTGTGGGCAAAGTAACTTGGCAGAATTTTCAGTTGAACTGATACATTAAAATAAGCATCAAACTGAAATACTATTACCTCAGAAATGAGTAGAATAAAAAGGCAGTGAAAGGAGTAAGTTAATATTTAAACTGGCACAGGACGATGTGTCCTTCTCAGGTGCCTGCTACAACCAAACTCACCATGCTGATGATGATACAGATTGTATATATATATATGTCTGCAAAAAATATTGTTATTTGCTCAAGTAAGAATGTTTCAATTTAAACACTCTCAATTTAAAACATTTTTATTCAGTGACAAAACATGAAGCATGCTGTTAATTGCTGTTATTAACTGCATAAAGCCATGCAAGTTTGCTACAATACCCACAGGGTCATCCTTTATAATTGACTTACATGTGCATCAAAAACATTTTTGTCTATAAATTAATTGTTTGAAGCAGGGAGCTGTATTTGTATATCATTTGTGAAACCCTTTAGCCATTGAGAGGTCTGGAGCATTCACAGTCACTTTAGTGATTCTTGGATTAAAATTAACTTTTTCTTTATATGTTATATACCGGTACATGTATATTGATTTTTTCAATTTCAATTTTCATTTTGTGCTGCAGAGAAAGATTATATTGCATTCTCTGTATGAAGGTAAGAAGAAATAGGCAAAAAAATATTTCATTCTCTTAAAAAAGTTCAAACTGTAATATATATTGACATCTGAATTTTAAAATTTGTTCATAGGATAACATAGAGTTGCAAGGGAACCTTTAAGAAAAGAGCCATATGAACATGCCTTCTTAATTGCTAGAATTATCTCCCCTGTTGGACTCATTAAAATGATAAAATTTTATGTGTATACTTAGAAAATGCCAGAATGTGACAAGCAATGTTTGATCTAAAAAAAAATTCCATCCTTTGAGTGAGCTACTGTTTTTAATGTATTTGGATGTGTAGGAGATCTACTATTTGGGCATTGTGAGCTCAGGTATTCCATCCTAATCTGAGAAAACATATCACATAGATGTCTGTGTTTTGTGTAGGCTTAATCTAACAAACTGATCCCACATGCAGATGACAAACATATTTATCTGTCATTTATTGAAGAAGATTAAATATTCAATCGAAGCAAATAATAGAAAAATTAAAAAAAAATGAGAGTAATGCAAAGCTAAAACAAGTGTTTCTTGTAATATTTCAAGGTGGTTGCCTTTTTTTTATTATTAATTAAACAAGTTTAATTTAAAAAAAATACACAGTGTTGCCATAGTTACAAAAAATTTCATGCAAAAGTCTTTTAAAAATTTACTCTTCCTACAAAGACTACACTGAGAGCATAACATTGTGCATCATACTGAAATGAAATTTGGTATACAGATATATCACATGAATATAGGTTTGATCAATATGTGTTGAAAAATTCCAATTATTTGGTTCATTTTCAAAACATTTGAAATTTAGTATACAGATATATCACATGTCTTTCATTTTTGACAGAGTTATGCCCCTTGGACTTAGAAAAAAAATTTATTTTCTTTGCAACCGTTGCACATACTGAGATGAAATTTAGTATACAGATTTATCAGATGAATATCTAGGTCAAGTTCTGTTTTTATATCGCACCATTTTTGAAAATCTTTTAGAAAAATTCCAATTATTTGCAGTTTCCGTTCATTTTCTTTGCAGAGCTAGGTTGTACATACTGAAGTGAAATTTAGTATACAGATTTATCACTGAGAGATATTAATTATTTTGTTGATTTAAATGAATGGTGTTGTCATGCCAACCATAATTACAACAAAAAAAATAGAAGTTTGTGTGAAATTCTTCAAAATGTGTTCCCCTCCTTTAGATTAAGTCAGATCGTAAAAGAAATTGCAAAGCAAAGATAATCAACTTAATTAGCGATCATTTTCCACTCTACATTAATAATTTTCAATGTTGTCATACTTCCAAGTCAAATTATTACTGTTGTCTTCTTTTGTTAAAAGTACAAAAAAGTAGAGCTACAGTCTTATCTGAGACTTCTGGCTTAAATTTGGGCCATTAAACTTAGACAAGCTAAATTTTGATTTCTTTCTTACTACAGTGTATAATGTAAAAGTGAGACTGAGATCAAAAGTGAACTTGTCTATTGGTCTATAAGTTTTATGGCCCGGAACCTAGTTATTTCAGCATGTTTTCATGTTGAAAATATGATTATGAACTGCTCCATGATTGTGTATTCTGATAAAGGGCTATAGAAGAACATCTGAGATTTTTTGGGGTGGTGGGGGTTCTTGAGATCAAAGATATGTGCAATTTCAAAATTAAAAAAAAAGTTTCTCTGCATCAAATTGATTTTTTTTTTGGTTAGAATGATTATACATGTAATTAGAAAGCTTATGACATACTTGACTTATATGAAGGAAATATTAATTAAAAAAGTGCAAAGTGATTCTTAAATGATTGCTTTAAGTTACGCCTCATATTTAACAGTGAAAATAATGTGTTCTCTTATTAGGTAAATACAAGCTGATATTCTACAACATTTTGCAACTTTTTCATTTTTGAAAATTAAAGCATTGATGCTTGCAGGTTGCTATGAGCATAGAAGACCTCTAAAAGCTGAGTTTGCTTTAATAATAAAAAATCTAAAATAAATTTTGTAGTGATATCCAGGGACTCAGAAATCCATTTAGTGCTTTTATAGCTGCAATTTGCAGATAGCATTATAGTTCCCAGAAAAGTACGCCCTCCATTCAGAATTCCCCCTAATGTGTGACTGACGTGACCAAAATCATGTTCAGAAGATTTTCTTATCAAAAGTTCTTTATGCACCGTGCATTTTAAATCTTCATCACATCTGCAGCGTACATCAGCCACACTTCATGGAAGCTTTCCGCGCTATTAGAGTTTATAGGATGGTAATTACAGCATGGTCTATCTGTTGATTGTGTGGTTTACCAAAGATTGCTTTGTGTCATCTATAGCAATATTTATGAAGCTAAAAAAGTCTTCATATGATCAAAAATTGATGCTTGTTGTCTCCTAAAAATACATGAATCCTTTGAAACTTAGCCTGTAAAAATAACTTCTATTAGTTCATTTGGGTAACAATTATTGAATCAGTGAATGAAATTAGCATTGATTTGTCTGAAATATTTGATCTGAAAGGTTATATAAGTTCATTTTTAAACATCAGATTGAGTAAATGTAAACTGACTGTAGAGAAAGCCATATTGATTGTATATAGCGTATCTGAAGCTCGCGATCATTATACTCGATAAAACGGGGGCACACTGTACTCTCAGCAATGCATATATAATGTAGTTTGAAATGATATAATTGAGGCCTCTTAAGCATGTGAAGAGTTTTTTCTCTGGGAAAGTGAAAGGATGCAGGGTTATCTAAAAAATGAAATGTGTCGACATTAGCTCTGGACTCCGGATTGATTTATTTGTCCATTCCTAGTGTTGACATCGGTGCTAATATGTTTGTATCAAATGTCAGATTTCTTCCTGATATTATTTTTTTTTTCATGATGATTGGGAATGGTTCTGAGATTTTATTGTAAATAAGGAGGTACTACATAATCATTGTCAAATAAGAATTTTATCACAGAGAAAAAAATAACACAGGCTTGGTGGATATAATTAATGCCACTGTAAAGCTCTCGTATGAAGTGAGCTGTCATCGTTTTATGTGGCAATCAAGTGGACAAGTGTTGGTCAGTTATCTGTTTATGTGTCTCCTTTATTTTACAGGTATAATGGGATCCCTACCCACTGCTGGAATTAATGGACAAATGCCACAGATGGATAATTAAGAGATATTGCTGATTCTAAAAGCTGGACTATTACATCATAAAACTCCTTGCTTTCTTTGAGGATTCTCAAGGATCCAACAGCATTGAAGAATTGATAATGGATGTACTATAAATGCATGTAACAGGTGAAAAATAACATTGTTGACAGGTGGTTTCTACACAAGGACATGGGGAAATTTTCTAAACATGTTCTCTAGAAGGTGTAGTCAAATGAAGAATTCCAAGAAGTGTGTGACCCTACTCCTGTGCCTGGGCACAGTGATTGTGTTTTATGGAATGTTCCAATGCAGTGGTTCACCCAAGATGTACATGGTTCCCAGGGAATCAGTCAAGTATGTATATGATGATAAGAACAAAGCTATTCCATATGACCAGGACTCCCCACTCATATTCATAGGGGGGATGCCACGCAGTGGTACCACCCTGATGAGGGTCATGATGGATGCCCACCCTGACGTGAGATGTGGGGAGGAGACCCGGGTGATCCCCCGAATCCTGGGGATGAGGAACCACTGGCAAAAATCAGAAATCGAGAGGAAGAGACTGATAGAGGCAGGCATCAATGATGTTGTCATAGATTCTGCTGTGTCTGCCTTCATTTTAGAAATCATTGCCAAACACGGTGAGGCAGCTCCTAGACTGTGTAACAAAGACCCCTTCACTTTGAAATCCAGTTTGTATCTCAGTAGGTTATTCCCCAGTTCCAAATTCATTCTCATGATCAGGGATGGCCGGGCCATCATTCATTCAGTCATCACAAGGAAAGTGACAATCTCAGGATTTGATCTGAAAAATCCCAAAATGTGTCTAGAAAAATGGAACACTGCTATGGAGGTGATGTATTCTCAGTGTTTACGGATAGGACCTATTCGGTGTATGCCGGTGTACTATGAACAACTCGCTTTACATCCTGACCTGTGGATGCACAGAATTCTGGAGTTTTTAGACTTACCCTGGAACAGTTCTGTGCTTCATCATGAGGACTACATAGGGAAGCCAGGAGGGGCATCCTTATCAAAGTAAGTATACATACTTGTATGGAGGAATGCAACCCCTTTCCCTTTCTATCTTGATTTTTAGAGGATGTGGGTCAGTACTACTGTAAATCACTTTTTATTTCCCATTCTCGCATGTTATAGTATTCCTTCAGATTATATAGAGAAATATTAATAATTCGTGAAAATTATGTCTCGCTAATAAAGAGTCGATGACTCTATCGCGAAAATAAGGTGTCATGAAAATTTAGTGATCTACAGTATATATTCAACTAAGCATACAAAAATACTTCTCATTTTATATAAGAAACGAATTACACATATTGACTCAAGAACCTCTGGACGTGAAGGTGTTCATGCAGTATAACTTCTTGATATGTACATACTTCTGGCCAGGTAGAACATAAGTTATATTAGGTATTTCTTTTTAAGGACTATCTTTAAATAAGTTTGTTCATGAATCGATTTTTTCTCCCATTTCTTATAGTCTAATATTTTGTGGTAAATTAAGGGTCATTTGGACCCTCATTCAACAAAAAATTGAATCAATGACATCACAGTTATTTTGGAATTAGGAATCTATATGGTACTTAGCTCATATAAAGCTGGTTTGTACTTGGATCACAGGAATGTGATAGCTTAAAAACAGTCAACAAATTACCTGAATTTGCATTGATTTTCTCTTACTTACAAAAAAAATCTGCAATTTTAAAAAAACATATTGCAAGGAAGCTCTTTGATGTGTATACAAGATTCACCTGATACTAATATAAAAAAACTTGAAGATAGGCGAGGCATACAATTCTTGTTTGAACTGAAGCAATTAAACGAGTGTTAGTTTGTGACCCAGCAGTTGTGAATACAAAGTACCATCCAAAAAGGGAGCCAAAAAGATCCTTGATAAAGTCCATGATTTCACTGGTGAATACAACTACAAAAAACTCTTAATAACATGATCAAATGCAAAGTTGATAATAATTGTTAAACAATCATCAATTTTGAACTGGTGAAAAACATTCAAATCAATGTAAATTATTATTATATACACAGAGATTTGGGATGAGTGATAAGAAGAGGGAGACTTGGACGGGGATGAGATAAGAGGATGAAGACTTGGGATGGGAGTTATGAGGAGGGAGGTTTGGGTCAAGGATGAGATATGAGGAGGAGGAGGACTTGGGATGGAGATGAAGACTTGAGATGGGAGATTTTAAAGGAGGGAGATTTGGGACAGGGATGAGATATAAGGAGGGAGACTTGGGACAGGGGTGAGATATAAGGAGGGAGATTTGGGACAGGGATGAGATATAAGGAGGGAGACTTGGGACAGGGATGAGATATAAGGAGGGAGACTTGGGATAGGGATGAGATATAAGGAGGAGACTTGGGACAGGGATGAGATACAAGGAGGGAGATTGGGTTAGGGATGAGATACAAGGAGGGAGACTTGGGACAGGGGTGAGATACAAGGAGGGAGATTGGGTTAGGGATGAGATATGAGGAAGGAGACTTGGGACAGGGGTGAGATACAAGGAGGGAGATTGGGTTAGGGATGAGATACAAGGAGGGAGACTTGGGACAGGGGTGAGATACAAGGAGGGAGATTGGGTTAGGGATGAGATATGAGGAAGGAGACTGGGGACAGGGGTGAGATACAAGGAGGGAGATTGGGTTAGGGATGAGATACAAGGAGGGAGACTTGGGACAGGGGTGAGATACAAGGAGGGAGATTGGGTTAGGGATGAGATATAAGGAGGAGACTTGGGACAGGGATGAGATATAAGGAGGGAGACTTGGGATAGGGATGAGATATAAGGAGGAGACTTGGGACAGGGGTGAGATACAAGGAGGGAGATTGGGTTAGGGATGAGATATAAGGAGGGAGACTTGGGACAGGGGTGAGATACAAGGAGGGAGATTGGGTTAGGGATGAGATACAAGGAGGGAGATTGGGTTAGGGATGAGATACAAGGAGGGAGATTGGGTTAGGGATGAGATACAAGTAGGGAGACTTGGGTTAGGGATAAGATACAAGGAGGGAGACTTGGGTTAGGGATAAGATACAAGGAGGGAGACTTGGGACAGGGGTGAGATACAAGGAGGGAGATTGGGTTAGGGATGAGATACAAGGAGGGAGACTTGGGACAGGGGTGAGATACAAGGAGGGAGATTGGGTTAGGGATGAGATACAAGGAGGGAGACTTGGGACAGGGGTGAGATACAAGGAGGGAGACTTGGGGCAGGGGTGAGATACAAGGAGGGAGATTGGGTTAGGGATGAGATATGAGGAGGGAGACTTGGGACAGGGGTGAGATACAAGGAGGGAGATTGGGTTAGGGATGAGATATGAGGAGGGAGACTTGGGACAGGGGTGAGATACAAGGAGGGAGATTGGGTTAGGGATGAGATATGAGGAAGGAGAATTTTAAAAGATGGGAGTAGGGAGAGATCCATCTGTCAATGCCCAAATGAATAAACCAATTTTGTTGTAGGGTATAGTGTTTCATTTCATTATTTCTCCTTATCCCTTTGCCCTATTTGGCCTCGTTTTCTTTTATCTTGTCCTTTTAATGCAAGGGCAGTGCGGTGAAGGTCATAAATCAATTTGACCAATGGCTATTTCTGGTGTTTTATGGTCTGTTAATCACATCATGTACACTTTTATTGCTAGTTTGCCCTAAGATCTAATTATGGAAAATGCCAGTATTTTTTTGTATAGACATAATTACAGCATGAAATGGGGAATCACCTATTTTGTATTAGTTTGGGGAGGGGGTACCTGTTAACCATGAATGTTGATATTGCGAATATTGATGTATAGGCTATATGTATATTTTATAAGGAGATGTTCACTCAGAAAATTATATGATTCCCAAAGAAATTTCAGAACATATAATTATTGATACATTTCAATTGCAGTATAGTAATTATGTCAATGATGACCTTGAAGTTTGACCAACTTTTGTCAAATTTAGCCCTGATGACATGAGCTGTAATTCCAGGCATCAGTGTTAATTTTACAAGCATTGGTTATAACATGAATATACATCTTCTTGGTTATATTCCATTTGGTAGAGCAAAGGTTAAAAAGGTGTGGAGTAGAAAGTGGCAATTGGACACATTTATGTGCCAAAAACATGTTTGAAATGAGGTTATGCCACCAATTATTTCAGGTCTGATGTATGTTATTCATAAACTTCATGTCAGTGAGCGCAGCTTTTTCATGCCAATAGCTATTAAACTTCTCTGATGATTATGTAACTTAAAATAAGAGAAGGTTTAAGGCATGGAGACTTCTTTCATTTATTTGAATTCTTGTCTTAGCCTTTGGGGTGTATGATTTTCTTAGCTGACTGCACCAGTTAACAAAGTGTTGTTGAAGGATGATTTAACAGGTTTAAGTTTACATTTATCCAAAGAATTTATATTTATTTTTGATGTGGTTAAATTTTGAGAGTCTGTATGGTTGTAAGTAGTTTTGAATAATATAAAACAGTGCAGATGATTTGAAAAATATTTTAAAAGTACATTTTGGTTGGGTTTTTATACGCCCGTCTTAAGACGGGACGTATTATGTTATAGGCTTCATGTCCGTCCGTCCGTCTGTCCATTCGTGTGCGGCTCATAACTTCAATACTATTAGGCCTAGGATTATCAAACTTTGTCAACTGATACTGTATAGGGGGAAAATAACTCACGGTGTTAATATTCGCTATATTCACGGTGTAAATAAATCCGTGAATTCAAGAAACAGTGAATAAATTTTCAATAATCTCCATGTTTTATTTGGAAATTTGAGAATAGACTACGATAGGTTGACTACGACAGGTTGATATACATGTACATGCAGTACATGGTCGTTTCAGTTAAATTACGAGTAGTACTCGTCATTCAATTATTTTTAAAATTATCACGCTTTACTTTAATTCAAATCGGCAGATAATAACTCGTGTTTGTTCAAAGGCTGTTTTAATACGCTACATGTTTCATCAATCAAAACACGTGGGCCATGGGTTTTGATTACCCGTGCGTAACTAATTTTACCACGTGTATTTGTTACCTGCATTATCATGCATATTAGTTTTTATCAACATTTTGGTTTTAAAAAATCATTTAAATAAATATCGAACTTACTGAAGATGTGGAAGACATTATTTCGGCGAACTTAATAAACACATTTACTTCCGTCCAGTGGTTTTTCGCCGCGTTGTATTGAAGATCTTGGGTGCACATGCACTCATCGTAATAGCACATAGGAAAGTCATTTGACGTTTAGAGTGTAGGACTTTTAATAACTGCACTTGTTTTAATTAATTAATTAAATCTATCAATTTTATATAAACCTACCCTGTTGCTTGTGAAATAAAAACAACGCTGAAGAATGTCGTTTACATGTAGCTATTCCGCGAATTCAAGAAACCGCGATCGTGTCAGATGAGAGAAAAACGTGAAAATTACAACCCGTGAAATTAATCCCCTATACAGTACTTCTTGGGTAGACAGTGTGTCGCGCACAAAAAGTAGGTCGCTCTGACCTTTAATAAAGATGCTATGGCCAAATATGGAAAAATCCTGTCTGGCTCATAACAAGAAAACTATTAGACCTAGAGCTATCAAACTTGGCAAAAGTATACATCTTAGGTAGAAGGTGTGTCGCGACCTATTTCAAGGTCACTGTGACCTTTAATTTTAGTGAATTTTTTTAAAAAACTAAGTTTTTTAAATTTTAAATTTCATAATCCTAGAAATGTAAAAAATAGAGTTGTATCCTTATTAAAAAGTATTAAGGTAGGATTCTTCTCTGGTTTCTGACTAGATAAAACATTCAAAGTATATTTGCTTATATGTCTTATATATTTAGGAGCAAGGGATTTAAAAGATCATATTTTTCTTTCCTCATCACAATTGTACAACTTTAAATAAAAATGGTAAACTGCGTTTGAAAACTAGCAGGGACTATATTTTTGGCGGAATGGTGGCGTATGAATATGTCTTCTTTTCTGCCTCTCAAAATTACAATAGAACAATGAATTTAGTTATAATTTGTACGCAATCGAAGACTTGGAGAAATTTTCAAATGTAAGTTAAATTAATAATGAGGGACTAAACTTTCAAAATATATCAAATAAATATGATTTTCCAAACAAACTAGAACTTTGTTAGCTTTTAAACGCTTCCTATCAAAGTGCAGATTTGAGCCAAAAATCCATAAAAAGTATTTTTCTCTCTTAGTAAACGATCAAAACTTTTTGTTTTTGTATCATTTTGTACATCTATAAGACTACTTTATTAAATGTGAAAATAAGAAAAAGTTAAATATAGGAAGCATATGAAAATAACTAATATATCCTAAAAAATGAAGAAAAACAGAGAAAATTCGGATTAGCCAATATCCAGTTAAGTTAAATTATTTATGTAAATTTGGTAATATCATGCTATAGACCCGATATAGTAATATGTTTTTATGCAAAAAGAACAATCTTTAAACTTTTGAAATAGAAGTAGGTATCACATGATTTGCAACAGTATTTTTTTATTCTTAATGTCAAGGAAAAAGATAATGACCTTGACTTGACCTTGCCTCTAATATAAAACGGTCAAATTTAATTTCACTGATACTATCACTTACTGATATTGTCTTCTTGATTCTGTGAAAATTTCATTAATTTTTAAATACTAGAAATATGAGAAGAATCCTACCTTAAATCAAGTAAAAACTTATTTTTTTCATCATATACTTTACAGCAATCTTTAACAAATGTCAATGTTAATGAGAGGAATTCATTTGTCCCATGGGCATAATTATCAAGCACTGGTCAAGAAGAATTTTGATAGCAGAAAGTTGCATGTCAAATTAGAGAGAAATTAATGAGTTTAGTGTGAGGAGGTAACTAGTAGAGCATTGGTGTTATCTATATCCCTTGAGTATTGGGCAAATGGACAGCCAGCCTAGCTGTTAGATTAAAAATAGCTCTTGTTGGCTAGCCTAAGTTTTAAAATGAATTTGATGAAAAGTAATTAAAACTTATTTGATAATGCATAATAAACTCATAATCTGATATTATATAATATTAATCAATTAAAAACACAGCATGCCTACTTGTCCATATGAATTAAATATAAAACCTGTCTGGCATTAAATCTAAAAAGAAATCATGGAGTATTTTATATGTTTTAAAAAAGTGTTTTAGGATAAAAAGTGCAGATCCATTAATATTTAGGGAGTAATGAGTAGACAAGCATCCAGTATTAATTAATGAGTTCAATGTAGGAAGGCTATCTGATCAAGCGCTGCCTTATCTGTATCCTTTGGGAATTAGACAGAAGAACTGCTGGTCAGTTTATAGCATATGTCATTTGATGGCCAGCCTTTCTTTTCAAAATTTATTTGGCATAGATTAAGTTGTTAAGACTAATTTGATATTGTTTATTATGATGGCTGGCATTTGACAAAGTCTAACACAAACAGTATAGAAATCTATCAGTTATGTAATATTTGTTATAATTATGCCTACAGCACAGGGGATGGATAAAGAAATATTTTTTTAAAAAATGGAAAAATCATGGAAATCTTAGAATCAAGGTTGACGTGATTTTCTTGCACTCTAAACTGTTAAAGATAATTGTGTAATTTTTTGACGGGCGTATCATGCTGTGGCGTGGCACTTTATTTCTTTCAGGGAGGAGGGATGGGATTGAGAAATATTGAAATACATGTACTTTAAATGGCAAAGTATTCTTTGCTTTGAAAGAAAACTAATAACTCTATGTACCTTTATACATTCTTGTCTTCAAGACTTTCATTTGTTACTAGAAAACTATACAGCCTTATGAACTAAATAGCAGATAACATTTCATTGTGATTTGAAGAATTATTAGATTATAAGAAGTAGGATATTTAGGAAGAATATCAGCTACAAAGCAGATTTCTATAAGAATTAGATTATGAAATTACAAATCCCTGTCCATATTGATCATCAATTTCAATGTTTTTTCTTTATTATTCATGACAGTGATTGATTTTTGTAATTGCCAGTAAATCTATGTAGCATTTGCAGTGGCTGATTTCCATCTCCTCTATATATGTCATGTTTGTATAAGAATGACAACGTTTCTTCATCTGTTTGAATGAAACAATACTTTATTGCTTTCCAATTTTGTCTAGGAGCTGTGATGGATTTTAGATCTGTTCGTACCGGTAATTGTTCTGAAAAATCTGAGTGGGAAAAGCAATATCGGTCTCATGCAATGAAGCAACAATGAAGCAACAACTTGAAATGCAAAGCAATTTGTCATCGAGTTTGTTCTTTGTTGAGGAAAATTTCTAATCTTTGTGAAATATCTCATTTCAGAACAGAGAAATCAACAGACCAAGTGATCAAACCAGTCAACATAGAGGCACTGAGCAAGTGGGTGGGGTTTTACGAAAATGACATTATAGAAAACATGGCCAAAATAGCTCCCATGTTGAACACTCTAGGCTATGATCCGAACAAAAATCCACCAGATTACGGCAAACCAGACCCCAAAGTGGCTGACAACACCATGCACATAAAACAAAACATGGAGTACTGGAAAGAAAAAGAGCAGGAAATTCTGGCCAAGGAGAAAAAAGCCGGGCATCATAAACCACACTGACGCCTATAGCAGGGAAATAGAGGATTGAATTTAAAATAATTTGTCATATTTTATGTCCAGATGACACATTTCTGTGGCATTTGTTGCTGTACAGGGAATTTGATAGGGCACAAATGTTAGATATTCTGTAATATTGATTTTTGATCAGGTTACATGTATATCTTGTTTTTATGAGAGGAAAGTAGTTCTTATTGGTATATTAATTTTTTATCAGATTTCCTAGAAAATGAAAACTTGGAGATATACTCAAAGTAATGTAATAGGGCTGTGGATATCAGCTTGGTAGCTCAGTGGGTAGAGCACCTGACTAGTGATACAGAGGTTCTGGGTTTGATTCCTGGTCCAGTCATGCATGTTTTTTTGTTGCATAATTTAGTGTCATTGACAGCCTCTTGATATAAAGGTTAAAGTCCTTTAAGGGACAGATGCCTGTAGATCACTTTAATCCAGCTTGGATTGTGACTTTGAGACCAAAGACAATTTAAAGAGGGGGGTGTAATGGTTTAAAGTCCACAGATATTGGCTCAGGTAGCTTGGTAGAGTGCTTCATTAATGATACAGGGGTCCTGGCTGGGTCGATTTTCCTGTCTAGCCGAACTTTTTCATCATTTTTGTAAAGACTATATACATGTACAATAATTATATTTTACATGTGGCAGACTATATACAATAATAATATTTTAAGTGGCAGTTTAATGACACATCTGTTGTTATTTAGCTGATTTTCAGTAAATAATGCATATGCATACTAAAAACATTGTACAAAATGTTATGTTATGTAAATGTATAAATATATGATTCTATTACCCAGTGTATATGCTGAAATTTCAGCAAAGGAATGACCTGTGTTGTTTTTGCAGGTTAACATTTTTTAGTTTTTCTGTCTTTTAATATTTTCTAACTATAAGAATTGACCAAACTTGCATGGATCATAATAATGTATCATATGAAACATTTCAACACTAAATGTATATTGGCATACAGGTAAAACATGGAATTTAAGAAATATAAAAAATTATGTTTATAATAAATCAAAATTTGTCGGATGCACTCTGGCACATTTTCCTAGTGAACAGGTTGTTTTATGCAGGTTTCATTTCCAAGTAATTATGAGTTCTTTAATTACCAAACTGTATATGTACATATTGACAATGAAAATACCTGTGTTGCATTTTGCATGTTTTTTAGTTTTTCTGTCTTTTAATATTTTCTTTTTAGTAAGAATTAAGAGTTGTACATGATCAAATAATGTATCATATGAAACATTTCAACACTAAATGTATATTGTGCATACAGTAAAAATGGAGTTTTTATGCATGTTTCATATAAAAAATTATGTTTATAATAAATCAAAATTAGTCCACTCTGGCACTTTCCTAGTAAGTGTTTTACTTTCAATATGCTGTAAAAGTTACGGGTTACATTTACCAAAAAAACTATGCTTATTTAACATGTATAAACCAAACTTGCACAAAAGTTGAAAATGAAAACTCTGTGTTGCATTTTGCATGCTTTTTTTAATTACATTTTCATGTCTTTTAAATTTTTTATTACGTCTATTTCAAAGTAATTCAGATGAAAATGATCAAATATTTTCATTTTTGGAATGTACACTTTTTGTTGGTTAATTGTGTATTGGCATACAGTAAAACATGGAACTTAAGATCTCTGAATATAAAAAATTAGCTGATTTTCAGTAAATAATGCATATGCATACTAAAAACATTGTACAAAATGTTATGTTATGTAAATGTATAAATATATGATTCTATTACCCAGTGTATATGTACAAGTATTGACAATGAAAATCTACCTGTGTTGCATTTTGCATGTTTTTTTAGTTTTTCTGTCTTTTAATATTTTCTTTTTAGTAAGAATTAAGAGCTGTACATGATCAAATAATGTATCATATGAAACATTTCAACACTAAATGTATATTGGCATACAGTAAAACATGGAACTTAAGAAATATAAAAAATTATGTTTATAATAAATCAAAATTAGTCCACTCTGGCACTTTCCTAAATATTTTACCTTTACAGTACTTTGAAAGCTCTAGATTTTTTGCTTTTTATCAATGCATGGTTACTCATTAGATTAACATGTTATTTGTATGCAGATAAGGGTGGACAGGATTTTGGATGTGTCAGAATTGTACACCTACATTTTAATATTGTCCTGATTCAGTGTTCAATATCAGTATATACATAGTGCTGATACAGTGAATTGTGTTCTGGGTACACTAAATCGTGTACACCTTTTTGTGCTGATTCAGAGTTACTGGTGTACATTAAACAGAGTAACCCAAATATGCTGATTAATTGTTTCTTTGTATCGTGACCAATACATGTACACCTAGATGTGCCTATTGTTTTGAGTGTCTTCATTGTCATCTCTTAATGTATGTCCAGTCTTTCTCCACAAAGCTATTGAATTTTTTGCTGATATAACAATCACTGCTTTAGATATCTGTAAACTGTGCCATGTTTGTAAAATTAAAGATATGTATTAACTCTGCAGACATATGATTGACTGACTAGACATTCACAATAATCCTGTATTCAATTAATTTTGTTACCTGTACATTATCTGTATATGTAAGACTTATATTACCAAGTATGGCTAATTGAATGATCTGCAGAGTTAAAACATGATATTGTAGGGATTTTTGGAGTCATTCTTGTACTGGTTCTACCTTAAATATTGATGGATTAATCCCTCTTTCAAATCCCCTGGGGTGTTCAGTGTACCTTTATTGCTCTAGCACTTCTTTTGACTGAATGATATTCTGTCATTGTGCAGGTTACAGATGATCTTCAGACTTGTCTGCCCTTTTGTTTATGTGATATGTATACCGGTACAAATGAAAGAACAGGAATCAGAACTCATCAGTGGTGTATTGAATAATGAAATATTGACTGGGATAAGTAGAATCTTTGATTGTTCTCAGAAGACGATCTTGGTATCGATATATGACCCCCCCATCAATGGTTGATATACTACTTCATTGCAGACATATATCAATAATGCCTGGACCAGCATACATATAAAATACATGGTTACTGTCTTGAAATAGAGGGCGAGGCTTGCCGAGCCCTCTTACGTTTTCGACCCTAGCCAAAATATCGCTTATATTTCAAGACAGTTATCATGTATTGCAACAAAATTTTTACATAGCTATCAGATTTAGGCAATGCAGTTGAAACTATGACGCCATGGCGTAAACATAGCAATATACATGACGTCACAACATACATATATTCATGTGTCCTTTTCAGGATAAATATATTTATATGTCCTTTTCACCTTTTACATAAAAAATTGTGTACATAATCGGTCAATTGTATGTAAGTATTTCAGTATATTGTAGGCTCTGTGCAATATATGCTAGCTAAATTTGAATTGGGGATTTTATTGATGGAGAAGTCATTGTTGATGAGTGAAGTTTTGTGTTTTCTAGTCATTTTTGATAGTTACCATAGTTGTTGATGCCATTTTGTAGAGACACAGATTTGATTTTGCTACCCGTATCAAAGGACCAATTAACAATTTCCATACTCTCAACACCCTCGGAAGATGCCAAACATTTTTGTTGACTGAGAATTGTTAAGAGTCAGATTTCAATTGAACATATGATATTTAAAATATTGCATTTTTTAATGATTTTTTTTTTCTTTTGTCATTTCATCATCAAAAAGGAATATGATATCATACAGGAAATTTAGAAGTATGAGGTTTGTAAAATTGATTTATCTTGAAGTTTTTTAAAATTGTTTTTCAACAAACAAAACTGGACTAGTGCAGATTTAATATATTCTGACATTCTGTTTAGTATGATCTATGCTTTTTATTTTTAAATTAATGTTACCTAGTATACAGTATACCAAAGGAATATTTTGGAGTCCAAAGTTTGAATGCTGCCAGAAAAGATGTACACAAAAGTTTGAATCTGATTCGTATGTTCATGTTACAAAATTTTTTCTCTCAGTAAACTCTAGGTATAATCTGGTACATTTTCACTATATCAAAGCTAGGAGGTATTGATGTCATGACTGATGTATGAATCTGTATCTTTTGTTTAATTTAATACAGTTAAACTTCGGTGTCTTGAATACAAATATCTTGAATGTCATGGACACGTTGAAGTGATTTTGAAAGCCCAACCACTTATTCTTTCAATATTTTACCCTGGATATATCTTGAATTCTCAGATATATCAAAAAATTTTCAAAAATGAGGATTGGCTGTATATAGTTTTTTTTTTTTTTTTTACTGTTAGTCCTTTGTTTTTAAAGACCAAATTACCTGATATCCAAAGTCAAGTTAATTTTTTGTTAACTTTTTGCCATGGATTTTCTATTTTGGTTCAGTTGCACCTTTAATTATAACAATTTTTTCCTCAAAGAAAAAAAATCTGACATGATACAGCATTGACTTGTGCATCTCTTGTGTATTGCATGTACATAGATTTGATTAGCAAAAGTACCAAAGCAGGACTAATCTCTGATCTTAAATTTTACTTTATACATTTATGATTAATAATTACAAATACTTGGAGCACTTGTAACAAAGAATACACATGGTAGTATTATTTTGAAATGCCCAATTTGTATATATACATACATGTATATTTAGTTTTTTATGTACTGTATTTTTATTTTATGTCGAGGTTTGCACCTGCAGCTGAAATTTGTCCCATAAAAAAGTATTTTTGTTCTACTTACATTGATGCTTGATATATCATATTTCAAAGTTTTTGGAAACATTCTTTCTTGATGGTGAACAAATATTTTTATATTGAACAGGCTTGATATAATTATTATTAGATTTTTTCATTATTTATGTAATGAAGGTGATATTTAGTTTACCTTTCCTATTTTCACCAAACAGTAATGCATAAATACAGATATCAGAAATGATGTACATATATAACAAAGTCTTTTGGTGCCAAATGCATGATACAGGATATGATGGATTTAAGTTTGAATTTGGTGATTGTTTTTACACGGGTTTCATCAATGATGGCAGGGGTTAATACACATATTCCCATTTTTATGAGTACAATGTATTATAGGCAAGAAGGTGTAATATAATGAGATTATTCGATTTTTGAACTTTTTTCTGATGGCTGATTATGGTGTTCTTGTAACATGATCCATTAGAGTTGCCATGCCCGCATTAAATTTCTGTGGAATCATTTTTAATGTGTAGGAGTTTGAAGTTCATCTGCAACCAATATTTACTGGTTCATGAAAACTGTAATTTCAAGAGTAACTTGTATGTACAAAAAGTCTGGGATTCATTGAACAAATAAGTTGACAGTTATTATTTGAACTAGTGATATGTATAAATTCATGGCTAAGTGTGACTTATAACGTCCACAATCATTTGTCCTGCACAAATAATGATTTCACAGTAGTTTGTTATTCAGTCATCTGTTTTAAGGGATGGCAATGGGAATACCTTTTTACAAATGTATTTTTTTTTTAAACTTAAAATTTTAAAGATTTGCTTCTATCTTGTGAAATTTTGGATGAACACAGGTCAGAGTTCTTCATGCATTACGATTCCAAAAGTTTGTTTGAAAACTTCTTCAGCTTTTTTTTTTATTATTATTATTTTGTTGTTTGCTTTAATTAAAAAAGTAAAGGAAATGAGAAACATTGTGGCATTAGAGATAAGCAAAATATACATTCTTCCTTTTTATTTTTTTTGAGCTATAATTTATAGACAAATATCTGTATGTCTAACGTAAGGAGGTTACAGCATGGTTTATTATATATAAATAAACATGAATGATGTATTGTCAATAAATGTTGATTACTGTATATTCTTTTTGTGGTATACTTGATTTTACTTGTATTTGAATGAAGGGAGTAGGGCCTCAGAATTCAGAAGTCTTGATAAGCCTTTGGTTTTGTACTACATTTGAGTACAGAATTTTTCCTCCACTAGATCAATATAGGGCCCTTGACTGGTGTTACTGGTCAGCAGGGGATGCTTACTCCTTTTAGGCCCCTGATCCCACCTCTTAATGTCCAGGGATCCATGTTTATGTCCTCTTCACAGATATGTACTGTTTAAAGTGGGATTGATCTGGTTAACTTCACTGTCTTTCCTTTTTTGGTTACATCTTCCCTGTTGCTTGCATAAAAATACTTTTCGCAGAATAAAAGTTTTAGTAAAACAGCTGTGAAAGAGAGATTGGAGTTGCCTTTAATGGTACACTTTTGACATATTTGCTTTCGTGTTCTTGGTTATTAGTGTTTTATATTGAGAAAACAACCTCAATACAAATGAATAAGACTCATGTGAATGGATAAACAGAATTTATATCACAGATTTATGATTGTCCCAATTTACAATAGCTGTGTACAAAGTTTTAAGAAAGAAAATGAGTGTATTTAGCATGTAATCTACAGGAATTCTGTATGAAAGTTAAATACACATACGAAATTGATCCAGAGGGAGGGGGAGGTCGGGGGTTGAGCCCCCTTTATTTTTTCAGAGACAGAGGGGAACAAAGATGTTTTATCTGTAGTAGATACTTTTTACGTCTAATACGGTTGAATAAGACAAGTAGTTCAATCTCTGCCTTTCCTTTTAGATAGTGTCTTGCGTATTTGTTTCCATCCGGTTACCTTCACTTCCCTGTCCGGGACCCCGCCACCCATACCATGAAGCTTGAAATTTATAAGGCTTTCAAGGGCGGTTCTCATATATGAGATATATCTTTTTTAAAAGAAAAATGTTTAACTTAATTCAACATATATGATAGTAACATACAAGGTTTCAATGTGATATAATCGGCAGATTCTGGCAAACTTTGGCTATATCATTTTTGGGCCATCTTCTGAAGTATATAACTAACTTTAAAGAGTATATGCACAGAAATTCCTGTGAAAGGGAGTATGCATGAGAGAAGTTTTATCTCCTTATAGTTTGGGGATATTGCAATCAAAGAAGAGAAATGTTTAAAGTTTGCCCGTAATACAGGGGGGGGGGTTGTTGCTGCCCCTCACTTTTTCTGAGAAAAATCCTCTGCAGTTTTAATATGTAAATTAAGATTTGGATGCTGCTCCCCACCCCCATCGTCGGTAACCCACAGGTGATTCACATCACACCGATTCTTTCTATCATCACTTGTGGACGCAAAACCGCCGTGGTTTGCGACGAGGCCCCACCTTACACTTTCTGTTGCAGGACTCTCCAAATACTCTTCTATGCAAATTCCAGCATTTAAAGGGGAAAAATGTACCGAAAAGTTAGAGACCCCGATTCCACGAACTGCGATTTTAGTGTGTGGTGCACAGTCTAATTTCTTTCTTCGCTTGTTATCTCACTCGAAACCTTTAAAAACCGATGCTTCGGACCTTAGGTATGTGGTATGGGAGTCCCCCTATAAAAAATCGCTGGATCCACCCCTGCTTGAAGTACTACCATACCCTGGCACAGTTCAGAGTCATTTTTAAGGGAAAAAACTATTGAATTCTGTCTTGTTGGCGAACTTGAGATCAACCACAAACGAAAACAAACATTTTAGCGCTAGATGTTACGCGCGATGTTGGTGACGTTTGACGTTACGCTTTCATAGCGCTACGGAAAAATTGACGTAATGCTTCTAATAGTGTTACTTGCGTGGATGGTACCCTCTCGCTATCTCTTTGTACTTGAAATGCAAGTTTAAAAAGTCGCAGTCTATTTATGATTAAACTAAAGAACGTAAAGGGGGCTTTGGATTTGTGTATATACGTATATGATATTTTTTTTTAATTACTCGAAGCAGTCTTAAAGGCATTTTAATGTATTACGTTGAAGCAGAACGAATTTTACGCGTCAACAACGTCCAGTGGATAAATATGTTGAACCTCCTAAATGTTGCGTGAAATATTTATGAATGGAGTAAATTTATTAATCTGACATTCAATCTAACCGTTTAGAGTAGCACAGTATGAACATTCAGTTATTCATGTAGTCGATGGGGAAAACAATATAATTTAACGACTCGAAAAAAAAGGCATTGTCTTATTTTTTGCGCGTCATTTTAGACGCTGAACATTTCTGTTGAACTTGTAGTCCAATTACTAGCTCCAAAGCATGCAGTTTGATATCAACATCAATGAAACATTTCAAATCTGTAGGAAAAGCATATTATTTTGATATAATTTGTTTCTATTTAAACTTTCTTGTAAATGAGTAAATTTATTGTTTATATTCATATGCACGTTTTTAATTAAAAGCGTTACAGATTCTTCATCTGTAAAAAAAACTATCGCTTTCTATTTCTTGCTAACATTTAATGCAAAATCGTTAATGATGTCACAAACGACATGTATTGTTCTTGTTTTGTGGGGAAAATGAAAATTCTACATTCACTTTTGAACGCTTTACACACGAAAAATGCGCGATCCCTGCTAGATAAATGTAAAGCGTTACACGCTTAAAATACCTTTTATTTGTGTTTAAAATTCTACGTTTTTCATCAAAATTATTTAAATGTTATTTTCTTACTAAAATCGGGTAGTTCTGTTGAAAATCTATCCATTCATACCAAATTCATCCATATTGCGAGAATTTTTTTTTCACCGATGAGTTTAATATGTCCGATTCTACAAGTGTAAAATAGCATCAACATCGCGCGTAACGTCGCTAGTTATTGATGATTGATAAGGCCTAACCCCTTATGTAAGACTGACAAACCTTAGTTTCCTTCAATTTAAAGTCATATTCCATTCAAATCTGTCATATGTACATTTATAAATAAAGCTGTATTAATATAAAGGGTGAAAAATAAATATAACGAAAAGTTTTATTGCTAGTTTTATTTTTCATCACATAAACAACACTCCAAAAATCATGCAAGATTCTACCAGTAGTCAATAACTTTTTTTTATTAATTCTAAGCTACATGATTCATTTTAACTTGCATACAAGACGAAGCAGACTTTTATATGCATTGATATATTCCAATGAAATTTTGGGATGTAGTGAATCCATTGGTCAGAACAAAGTTGTTTTTAAGTTTGTCGAAAGCAATTTTCAAAGGATTTTCCACGTCTGTCAGCATCTCTTTGGCCACGTGTCCATCTCGTGACAACTGTACCAACGTACGGGCATGGAATGCGCAGACGAAGATGTTGCCTTCATTGTCCACGTCAATTCCGGTTGGACTTTTGATAATAGCTTCCCGACAGATCCACTGGATTGCTCCTGATTGCATTATCTTTACTACCGACCCATTGCTTTCGTCGGTCACATATACGCAGTTGCGATCCCCGTCGAAATGGACAAAGTGTGGCCATTCAAACACGAACTTGTGTGTTGAATTTGTGTTGATGTTGCGCGTGACTCTCCCCTGCATATCCATGTATTTCACGGAACCAATGCAGCTTTTGTAGTCATCAGAAAAAGTGACCACAAGTTTCCCACCACTATGCGATACTCCGTGGCAATTTCCGTCTACTGCAATATTGCGGATCGGAATGATCTTTTCACGGACGCGAAAGACTTGGATTTTTTGCTTTGCCGGGAAGGAGACGAGAACATTGTCATCGTCCACCATGCAAACATCCCAAGGTTGATCTTCACAGCGGAGTTGATGGCGGAGAGTGCCGGTTCTTGTGAAAAGTTTAATTTTCCGGTTGCTGTGGTCTGCTAGAACGATCTCACCCTTGCTTGTGAAACCAGCGCCTGTAAAGAGACAATTGCTTTTGTCAGACCCAGTCTTGGCATTGAATTCGGATCGCTTGATTATTCTTTTGTCCCAGTAAATTTTCCGACTTGGATGGTGTGGTGCTTCCAGCCTTTGAATTGGCGTCAGATGCATTTTCCCAATATTATCCTGCACTCGTGCTAGATTGTCTAAGACTGCATCCGGTGACCATCCAAAGGTTATTTCGCTGTCTTTGTCTTTATCGTTTTGGAACTCGTGTTCATACTTCCGACACAGCTCTTCCAGTCGTGGGGCTTGTTGGAGGACGTTCAGTTTCGTTTGAAATTTGACTGAAGTTTCTAGTTTATTTTTGGTCTCGTTAATCTCGCTGACGATCTTTCGGTAACGTTCAACTTGATCTTGAAGCTGCATTCTTTGCTGCTGGTCAACATTATCTATGTCCTGATTAATGTTCGATTCAAGGGTATCGAGGATGGTTTTGGTATTTCGAATCATAGAAGCAACTCGTGCCGTCGCTTTATTCTTCTGGTCCTGGAGGTACTGGAGACTGCGTTCCTTTGTGGATACAACTGACTGAGCGTAACTAGCACATTTATCTGCTCTCTGGAACAAAGAGGCGGTGGACAGTCCAAAATCAGTCCCGATGTCAACCTGGTCAACGCTTTTGACGATCTCACACTTTCTGTGACCGAGCGCGATGCACATGACGCAGCAGGTACTCTGGTGGTCGACGCAAAAGAAATCCAGCTCTTTATGTGGATGGATGTTACAATGGTTGCCAGTAGCAGTTCCAAAGGAGGCAAGGGGCTTTAGAGCCATGGAAGATGACGTTTCACCCAACTCTATGACGACATGGTTTCTTAGAGCTTTCATATTTCTATGGTATTTGGCGCATGTTTCGCACAGTCCTTCCAAACAGTTTTTGCAAAAGTAAATGGCATCCACCACCTCCAAGCTGTCATTATTGCAGGGCTCGCACTTGAGTTTGTTGGCGCTTAGCGAAGGAACCTCAACCGAGGTCAGCTTGTCATCCTCGAATTCCAGGTTCTCCATCAGAGACACGTTCCTGTAGGTCACCGGAAGAAGCTGATATTCATAAGACATCACAACGGAAGGAAATCAAGGCTCGATATAAAGGGAAGGACATCGTATTCCTTAACATAAGACTTGTGTGAACCAAAATTTCTACAACGTTGCTAAAACTAATACACCTGAAATACAAGGACTTTAATTAGTACAAAACATAATGAAAACATTTAAAACAATTGTTGCGCTTTCGTGGCTCTTTTCATTTTCACTTTTAATTCTTTTTCGTGCTCTAGTAGTTGTATAGTGTAAGTTTTCAAAATATAATCTATAGACTTCTTTTAGATTTTTAAATAGAAAATCATCTATTGGGAACAATAATGATCAGAAAATGCAAAGGATTAATAATTTTAAAAATCTTTATAGATAAAAACTTATTTATTTATTCATTCATAAATAACTTTTAAAAAAAAAAGTCTAATGCACCGAATGAGAAAAAAAACAAACATTGTGCATTGTTAAAAATCTAAGTTCTTTACAGTGCTCCTCTTAGCTTGATATTTTCATTTCTTTTATTGTACCTAAGGGCCATAAAAGTCTGGATTCACAGACTTGTGAATTTGTCTGATACGAAAGGCACGACTTCGGTACACTATTACATGTAATTGTTTCGGTACACACTGTCATGAAGGCAAAGTCCCTCTTAATAATCGTGGTTAAAAAAATCTATTGCTCCCTTGGCTATTGGATTTTTTGCTAGCGCTCTCGAGCGCTAGCAACTACGTTAGTCCAAATTCCTTGAATACGCATGCTCGGCCGCCATGGTGGTGCATTCTGGGAAAACTGTGAAAACTACTACAGATAGACCGTACGATAACAGTTTCGTTGTATCATGTTGTAGCCTGAAATAACTGTTTAATTTGCTTACACTTTAAAGATACTTCATATTGATAATATTTCAAATTCTGGGGGTTTTTTTGCTGACGGAAAAGCCCGAGTCATTATCTGATTGTCCAAACAATGACTAAATCTACAAAGATAGATTCTAATTTCTGATTGGTCAGTTCAGCCAATCTTACAAATTCCAGAAACACAAGAATTTACATTAAAAATATAACGAATAAATCCACTATTTGTGTTTAAAAAATTCTGATGTATGGCTTTTAACCTAACATATCTTGACAAAGATGACCCACAGGACCAAGCTACTTCACATGCGTTCCAAACTCTCTGGACTCTACACAACTTACACTTTGAGTTATTTTCTATATTCCTTTCAACTCCCATGTATTTTCTTTGCTTAATTGCCAAGAAATTCTCTTCTTTAAATTAGCTCATACATGCAATGTCTCAATCGGCATCTTCTTCATATTATATTGAGCCCCCCCCCCCATCTCCAGTAAAGGTCATATATGTTCCGTTGCGCCAAAACTTCAATAGGTCAACCCCCCCCCTTGTTTCTTTACCTATGTGTCTATAAAATACGCTTTACAAAACAATAATAACTTATCACTCTCCAGCCTCGATAAAAATTAAAGAATTCAGCAAAATAAATCACTTGATCACGGATCTTCCTTTCTGTGTTTGAAAATTGCTGCTAGCTCACCTATCAAAATTGCAAAATTAAATTAGTATAAATTGAATTTCTTCTTTTATTTCAGGCTGTCCTGATACAAAGGTTTATATCTTAGCTCCTCTAAACCAGAGACTCAAGCAAGATTCTTTGATGAAGTTAGTTCTGTTGTTCATATTTATTTGTTGTCGATATTTGTTTCCCCCCTTTCAGTTCGTTTTCTAATTTCAAAAAGCCGTGATTCAAAGCATTCTTCGCTGAACTTGTCACTTTCCAATTTCTTCCAGAATTAGTTTTTTTTAATAAAAACACCACATTGCCCTATGGGGGCGTATATTGTTTTTGTCCTGTATGTCTGTTTGTCTGTTGTCAGCTTTAACCTTAGCCATAACTTTTGAACCGTGAGAGATAGACTTCATATTTGGTATGCATACTCCACAAATTAAGCTCTTTCAAATGACACCAACGTCAATGACCTTGTGACCTTGACTGTGACCTATATACTAAAAATAGCTTTTTCGAACTTTCGCCATAATTTTTGAACCAAAGGAGATAGACATTTCATATTTGGTATGCATACTCCACTAATTAAGTTCTTTCAAAAGACACCACGGTCAGTGACCTTTTGACATTGACTGTGACGCCTCCGGGCGCATAGTGTTTCAAAAACACATCTTGTTCTATACTGCAAACAGAAATGGGAAGGGGGGAGGCAAATGGAGTTCCTTTAAAAAAATTAACCTTGATCATAACTTTTGAATGAGAAGAGATATGGCTTTCATATCATACCTGTGCATTACCTATGACAAGACCTTTCAAATATACTATGATTTTTGTCCCTTGACCTTGACCTTTTAGTTTAATCTTCATTTAAATTGTTTAAACTTTACATAAAATTGGCCATTCCTTTTAAGAGATAGGGTTACATATAAAAATACGTGTGTTAATACCTGTGACAAGACCTTTTCAAATAGACTATGATTTAGACCCTGTGTCATTGAACTTGCAATTTTACATACATTTCGAAATGTTTAACCTTGATCATGACGTTTGAATGAGAAAAAAATAAGGGTTTTATATTTCACATGCGTATCATCTTTGACAAGACCTTTCTAAATACACTGTGATTTTTCATCCCATGACCTTGAAGTTTCACCTGTTTTTTAAAAAAAAAAAAATTTCTATTACTTCTGGTAGAGAAAAAATAGGGCTTTTATATTTGACATATACATTACCTGTAACAAGATGCTTCCGTATACATGTATACTATAATATTTAACCCCTTGACCTTGACTTTCATGATTAACCTAATCTTAACTTTGGTGATTACGTTTGCATGGCATATGATTGAGCGTAAGTATTCTGACACAATTTGTCATAAATATTGGTATCCATCCACTTTAAGACACCTTGAAGTTCGACTTACATTTCAATTTTTTTAATATAAGTCATGACTTTAGAACGAGAAAAAAAAATAAGGCTTTCCTGTTATACATGTGTATTACCTGTGATAAGACCTTTCTAAATAAACTATGATTTTCCTCCCGTGACCTTGACATTGAAGTTTGAAACTTTTCAAAGACTTTAATCTTGGTCATGATTTTTGAATGAGAAGAGGTAGTACTTTCATATTTCACATGTACATTACCTGTAACAAGGCCTTTACAAATACACCATAGTTTTTGACCCCGTGGCCTTGTCCTATTTTAAAATGAATCTCCTTATTACTTTTGATAGAGAAGGAACAGAGCTTTCATATTTGACATATGCATTTCCTGTAACAAGATTTTTCCGAGCATGATTTAATTTTTGACCTCTTGCCCTTGACTTTCATATTGACCTTATTTTAACTTTGATGATTACGGCATATGATAGGGCGTAAGTATTTGAAACAATATGCCATGAATAATTGCATTCCATCCACTAAGACACAAAAAGTGAGGGGCCACAATTCTTTGAATTTGCTGTCGTCCCCCGCTTTCGCGAAACGAGGAACATAAATCTTATTCGTCTGTCCGTCCGTCACAAAATAAAAAATCAAAGTACTCAGAGGTACAGAGAGCCGGGCTCATTTACAGAGTAGAAGGAATTTCTTACATGAACCACGTTTATATTCTGATGAAAAAATTATTTTAAAACTATCAATATAAATGATAAGACACTGACAGTGAGTTTTTCAATCCTAATACCACGGTCCGATTTGTCAGAATCAGAATTAATCTGGTACCGCAGCTGAATGTAAACAAACAGGCCAGTCTGGTTCCCTCTCCTGCTTTACCTCGTATGTGTAGAGAACCACGATAACACTGATTAGCAAAAATCCTTACGCTAATGAACTATGTTCTTTGACTTAGGACTGAAGTTTTCAAAGTCATTACTACTAATGTTTATTTATATAGATAAAAACTTCTTTTTATTTTTGTTGCTTTATTTAGCGTTTGTATTATCTCAAAAGCGGTTGAGAGTAAGAACTATATTTTTGCACGTAACTTTAAAATGGCGACTAACTTCCTGCCTTGAACAGGATGACATAAGCCGGCAATTGCTCTTTGAGCAATAAGCCCGGCTAATGAAAAATCTTGGTCATATCTTTTGAATGAGAAGAGATAGGGCTTTCATATTATACATGTATATTACCTGTGACAAGACCTTCTAAGTACACTATGATTTTTGACCCTGTGACCTTGATGTTTGACCTCATTTTAGGTAAATTAAACGTTACTTTGAATTGACAATAACTTTTGAATGAGAAAAGATAGGGCTTTCATATTAAAGATGTATACCTGTGACAAGGCCTTTCTAAATACACTATAATGATAATTCGTGACCTTGACCTTGAAGTTTTACCTACTTTATAAAAACTTTAACCTTGGTCATGACTTAAGAATTAGAAGAGATAGGGTTTTCATATTAGATCTGTGTATTGCGTGTGACAAGACCTTTCTAGATACTATGATTTTTGCCCCATGACCTTGAAGTTTGACCTACTTTAGAAAAATATATAGACTTAAAATTCGCCACAACTTTTAAATGAAAAAAGATAGGGCTTTCATATGAAACGTGTATTATCTAAGACAAACCCTTTCTAAGTACACAATGATTTTTTATCGCGTGACCTTGAAGTTTAACCTACATTTCAAAAACTTTACCCTTCCTCACGACTTTTGAATGAGAAGACATATGTCTCTCATATTAGCCCTGTGTATTGCTTGTGACAAACCTATTTAAATAATATATACACTATGATTTTTGATCTTGTGACCCTGTCCTTGAAGTTTGATCTACTTTTCATTAAATGTTGATTTTCCCATATTTTTGATTGAGTAGAGATAGTGCTTTCATATCTGACATGTGCATTTCCTGTGACAAGATATATCGGAGCATGCTGTGATTTCTGACCCCTTGACCTTCACGCTTCAACTTTTTTTGTTTGTTTTGAAAAATCAATTTCGGTGAGGTCTTCTGAATGACATATGAAAGGGCATTCATATTTGACACAAAATGCCATAAAAATTGACCAATGACAATTACTAATCTGAGCGTTTTGGTCCAGGGGCCTTTTTGTACTAGATTTTACTGAATTGATAAACTAAAATATATACAATGTACCGATATTTAAACATTGGAATAAGTGTTAATTGATTTTTTTTTCGATGACGCCAGTAGGAAATCCTTTGATTAATACCATACCTCTAATTTGCTGAAAGATGTCTTTAAAAATACGTTGAAATGTCAGAAATAATTAAACTTTTCCGTTATGTTAACTTGTTTGTCACGAGTGAAAGAAAGAGAACCAGGTTAGAATTATGCATCTGATATTTTTTATCAATACCTTGACATCTGGTTCATGGACAATTTAAGTATTGTATAAATACTTTTAGTGAATGGCTGATACTAGTATCTTAAAATTTCCATTGCTGATTTGAAAAAAAAAAAGTCATTTCGCTCTTTCATAATTCTAACTTAATCACTTCACTGAAATATCCTTCTTTTTAAACTAAACATCAATCAAGGCCAAGCGTTTCATACTATTTTTTTTTTAGACAATACACATAAAGACACTCAAAAAGGTTTATGTGCTTATGATTTCTGAGTTGAGCATTGTTTTCTTTCTTTCTTTTTTTTGTTTTATACAAAACAAAAAATCAACAATGTTATGGGTTTAGAGAAGGAGAGGGTTTAACTCCAGAGAGCACTTTTTAAGTTTTAATATACAGTGAACTGTTAAATATGCATGGATATTAATTTTAAAATATACATTAAAAAATTCAGCTTGCGTGTGAAGTAATTCTCTGAGAAATGTGTGTTCAAACTTTGTTAGGTGTGAAATCGAGATGAAAAAATATGAAAGGAAGACGGTCAGTTTTGCGTTTCATAATTAAATAAATTACCACAATTAACACTCATACACTGTAATAAATGTAAAATGTCAAGTTCAACTTATTTGTGCAGCATCACAAGTTAACCCTGATTTCACCGTTTGGAGCATACAAGAGTTAAAGGCAAACAAGCCTTTCAATAAACATTTTCACAAGTAAAGATTTTATTTTGCAAAAAGTGTGAAGGTATCCCCCCCCCACAATATAGGTGCATGCTGTAAATATGATCATAATTTGCACTACTTGTTAATCATCGACAAGCTGCTGCATTTCATTTATTAAGAAGTGGCCTATCGACTTCAATGCTGACCTGAATGAATATGGCCGTTCTTCAATGTTTGACAATTCAAGTTGCCTTTTATTTTCAACACAACTGAGTACTTGTAGTTGCCCATAATGCATTGCTACTCATTCATCAGTGGGTACAGTAAACAGATAGCTAATTTACATGCAAATTTATGCTGACATCAGAAAATCTAGTGGTCTCGCGATCAGTTCAATTGAGGAAAAAAGTGAATTTCCTCTCCCCAAAGATCTTTAATTGTAAGTTTGGAAGAGAAAAAAATCTAAGATGTGAAATTGTACAGAATGACAGATGACAGACAAGGAAAAGGATGCAGATGGACCATACAAAACTAGCGCCTGCTGCTGGGGCTTTAATAAATATTATACTAAGAAACTACATATATAAAACTTGCTACGAAAACTGACATAGATTTATTGATAATGTTATTGCACATTCCTTTGTTCTCTCAAAATACAATACAACCAGTTCTTTCTCACATTAGGTATTGATGGACATTCAGAACTCATTCAAAAAGTGTTTTAACTAAATTCAAGCAGCTCACAATAAGGATCTTGTTAATAGATCATCTGTTTTAACAATAAATAGTACAAATCATTTAGAAAAATCATTCAGAATGTCAACAAAAATCTTTTACATTGTTGACTGAAAGCAACAGTTGGTTTTTATTAAACATCTGTATCAGACATGTTTGTTGTTTAACGGGTAAGTACAATACATGTACTAAATAAAGTGAAACAATAAGTAATTTGAATTTTGATAAAATTTGAACTTAATCAAATGACAATCTCTATAAAATTTTTGAAAGACTTATAATGTTCATTTCTAGCTTAAAAATCAGTGGATGTGTTTATCAAAATAAAAAAAAAATTTACTAATACATGTGTAACCATAGCTTTTTAAATACATGTAAACATCGTTCTTGAAATGAGGTCAACTATTTCTACACAGCTTTTCCTAGCATCTTGCACACAATATAAGGCACTTCCCAGTGATTCTACATCATTCTATGCCCCTATGATACAACCCTGTAGGTATAGTGAAATTGTATGAACTACATATAGATACTAAAAATATTATGCATGATAAATGTACTTTAAAATATGAGTAAAGATGGGGAAGCATTGGGCCCAAGTGTTTAACTGAAACTTGATATAGGATGAATGGTCGAATAAAAGCTACAAACAAATTTAAGATATGTTGGTTGGATAAAATATTATCAGTGTATGATCACTACCATAAAAATATCAGCAGAATTTGAAAATTTTAAGAACAAAATACTTTAAAATTTCATATTTTTATGGACTCTATGTTTTCAAACATGCACTAAAAATTAATAAAAACAACATTGGGGTTTAACAGAGCTTATTAATAACTGGATTTAAGAAAGCTAACAGACTTGTATAAATTACAATTTTTCTGAGTATTCGGGTACTCAATTGGAAAAATGTCTGAGTAACCTATTATCAAATATTGACCGATTTGACATCCCTAAAATGAATACAACCCAAATTTGTACATAAACTTTAGTACGAGATCCTTTACATTGAATGCCCACTGAAGAAAATTTTTGGGACCCTGTAACTTAGCTAAAACTATATAGAGCTTCTAATTTAGAGATCCACTGAATTTTCATTAAAATTCTTAAATGGAGTGGCAAGAAAAAAATACAGTATCAACAATATCACATGACATAATTTCTACATGAACAGTGTATCATGGTGGGATTAATAAGTAAATCTGAAAGACAATGAATGTGCTCAGCAAACACATGTACTAAGATTATCAACATGATATATAGATTACTGTTCGATATTAAAGACATGATGAAAGAAACACACGAGAAAAGAATTCAAACTCCTAAAGAGGAGTTACAAATTGAATTACAGATATACATCATTTTGACAGTAGTATCATTATACAAGAGCTTGTATGGCAATAATGAACACAATATTTGAAATGAAACTTGTGTCAAATATTTAAAATGCAAAATAAAAGCAGATTTTTAAAATGTAATTCCCAAGTCCTACCCTTCCCACACTGATTTCAATTCCATCAAATGGCCAGCACTACAGGAAAGTAATAAATATTGATCATAAAATGCAGCACCATTACAGCTTAAGTGGCCTTCTAGGCAGTAATACTGGTTTGCAAGCATTAAGGTATGGATTACACAAAGGTCAATCCCACATATCACATTTTCATCATAGTTCCTCGAAGAATGCCACACGTGCTTGAGCAGAATTTGCTTTAGCCTGAAAAGAGAAAACAAGAGCTTTACAATCTTAAGATATGAGTCACAGTGATTGATTCAGTTTTCATCCTATAATTTTGTTAAATTTGTTCAAAAATCATGTAGGACAAGTCACCTAAAAAAGGGTCAGAAACTCTCAAATGACTGGTTATCAAAACGGGGACTTCAATACAGGAAGTAAGAGATTTTTGAAATAGATCTGCATAATCAGAACCACAACCAAATATTTCAGATGACAGTGTAAATTCTCTATGTAGAATATTGTCTCTAAGTGTTCAATATTTATTATTTTCATTGGATATTGCTCTCACAAAGCTCACTTGTTTGCTTATTGTATTCATTTTGTTCTCTTGCATTGAAATCCCTAAAAGATATTGCCCTAATGCAGTTTGCCTATCTTTCTACAGAGTCTGAGTGTAGAAAATATCCCCTCTCTGTTTACTACATTCACTAAGCCCCCCTGTCTGAGTGGAATATTTACTATCCCCTTCTGGATACTACATTACAGCCCACCTACCTGTCTGAGTGTAGAATATTTACTATCCCCTCTCTGGATACTACATTCACTAAGCCCACCTACCTGTCTGAGTGTAGAATATTTACTATCCCCTCTCTGGATACTACATTCACTAAGCTCACCTACCTGTCTGAGTGTAGAATATTTACTATCCCCTCTCTGTTTACTACATCCACTAAGCCCGCCTACCTGTCTGAGTGTAGAATATTTACTATCCCCTCTCTGGATATTGTATTTTATACAGCCCGCCTACCTGTCTGAGTGTAGAATATTTACTATCCCCTCTCTGTTTACTACATTCACTAAGCCCGTCTACCTGTCTGAGTGTAGAATATCCCCTCTCTGGATACTGTATTTATACAGTCTGCCTACCTGTCTGAGTGTAGAATATTTACTATCCCCTCTCTAGATACTACATTCATTAATCCCACCTACCTGTCTGAGTGTAGAATATTTACTATCCCCTCTCTAGATACTACATTCACTAAGCCCACCTACCTGTCTGAGTGTAGAATATTTACTATCCCCTCTCTGGATACTGTATTTTATACAGCCTGCCTACCTGTCTGAGTGTAGAATATTTACTATCCCCTCTCTAGATACTACATTCATTAATCCCACCTACCTGTCTGAGTGTAGAATATTTACTATCCCTCTCTCTGTTTACAGCCTGCCTACCTGTCTGAGTGTAGAATATTTACTATCCCCTCTCTGTTTACTACATTCACTAAGCCCGCCTACCTGTCTGAGTGTAGAATATTTACTATCCCATCTCTGGATACTACATTCACTAAGCCCACCTACCTGTCTGAGTGTAGAATATTTACTATCCCCTCTCTGGATACTGTATTTATACAGTCTGCCTACCTGTCTGAGTGTAGAATATTTACTATCCCCTCTCTGGATACTACATTCACTAAGCCCACCTACCTGTCTGAGTGTAGAATATTTACTATCCCCTCTCTAGATACTACATTCACTAAGCCCACCTACCTGTCTGAGTGTAGAATATTTACTATCCCCTCTCTGTTTACTACATCCACTAAGCCCACCTACCTGTCTGAGTGTAGAATATTTACTATCCCCTCTCTGGATACTGTATTTTATACAGCCTGCCTACCTGTCTGAGTGTAGAATATTTACTATCCCCTCTCTGGATACTACTCTCATGCAGCCTGTCCAGATCTGTTTCTTTCTCTTCCACCTTTAGCACCTCTATTTCTGATTTGAGCTCCTTTAGTTGTTCCTGAAGGTGTTTTGACTTCTCCATGTATTCAACCCTATAACAAACCATAGTCAATTTCAGAACTGTACAGTACCAGAAAATAATCAAATATATACATGTAATTTTACACCACTCAAATAAAAATCTTATATTTCTTTTGTTCCTTTTGGTGATTCGTGAAAACAATGTCAATAATGATGATTTGAAAAATTTCCAATAGTATGTTTTTGAACCTTTCTCTTTCTATCTCCTGGGACAACTGATCCATGTCCCCGTCCCCCAGAAGTTCACAGCTGATCTCCCCGTCAACAGGAACATGAGTTGGTCCAATGTGGAAATCTGAGAGGTCAGAGGTCAGTGAGGCAAGGGGGAACATTGTCTACAAAAAGAAATTAACAACATTTAAACTTATCTATAATTTGTAAATCTCAATTAAATTTTACTGTTTGGATTTTATATACAGTTTATGAGCTGTAGTTTAGCATTGGGAGAACAATTTTTTTAAGATAGTGTACTTTGTATGATATATATTTGACATAAGATAAAAGACTAGCTATATCAATGCTACACTGGCCCCTACCGGGTAGGTTGGGGAGACTCGGGCCACCTCCAGCAGCCTTTCTTTGGCTAACTTTTCTGACAGTCGCGCCTGACTGAGCTCTTCCTTCAGCTGTTCTGCTTCTTTGGCTCTGAATGAAACATTTGAATCTATGTATTAAGAACCTCTATGAAATAAAAGAAAAACAGAGGTCTGACATATAATTCATTTTTTCTTTCCGATTCAATTTCATCAGATGACCAGCATTTCTATCATACTCAAATTACATTACAATGCATATATTTTATACTACATTTTATTTATTTGACTCCCACTAATTTTTACATACATGTATGTCATAGAATTATCTTTTTCATAATTTATATATGCTTGTATTAGAATAAAATTCTCTGTCCAAAACACCCACCTTCTTTCTGAGTCCTCCAGTAACTTAGTGGCAATCATTTCATATTCCCTGGCTCTAAACTCCATTAAGATTCTCTCCTCCTCAGTCTAAACAAAACAAATCAAATTCATAGAGATTAAAATTTCTTTCTCAGTTTCTTTCTACACCAAAAAATCTATAATTATGAGTTATGTACCTTGATGGCAGTAATTTTAATGCTTTGTATCTCCCTCTCTGTGTCAGTGGCTTTCTGAGTCAGGAGCTGTGCTTCCTCCTCCGCAAATCTCGCCTTCTCCGCTAACAGCTCTGTCGTCTCCTCAGATCGCTTCTATAATCATTCAAATAAGAGAAATTTTAGAAAAAAAAAATTGCAATTAAAACTCCTTTTCTACAATGTAGTGTATTTTTTTTCAGACAACTTACCAACATTTCCTGTGCAGTCCTTACTTCCTCCTGCATTTGAGACAACTTTCTCTCTAGATCTGCCTTTTCTTTTAAGGCTTCCTCTTTCAGTTGCTTTTCTTTGGCCAGTTTTGCCCTGTCACACTATTAAATTTAAAAACATTCATCTCAGACATGTAGCTTACTGACAGCTTTCCTTAACTGACTCATATAGCAACCAAATTTAAGATAATATTCGAAATAACTGCATGAACATGATGACAGATACAAATTTTGTTAATTTTAAATAAACTTTTCCACTTCAACGTTCACTTACCCTTTTCCGCTGTCTCTCGTCTCTGGCATTGGCTTTCATTTGCTGGATCTCCATAGAATCAGGTTTTCTCCTTCTCATAAACAACTCATGGTTTCCTACACATAACTCTAAAATCTGAAGAGAGAATACATTCAGATATTACTACGTTTATATGGGTCTTTATTCTCCATTCTCAATTTATTGAGCTTGTATCTAAAACATAAATATTCTCTATCAAGCTAACTGCATGCTGATTTTAGACAAAACTTTTTTTGTATATAAATATGCCATATGGAGAAACAAAAAAAATATTTATATTTAACTCAAGTTATGAATCTGAAGAACGTCTATTAAACAAAATTATATTGAATACTCACTAGTTTATTAATTTTCACTTTTGGTGCATAGAAAATAAAATCTGGGACTTTCTTTCCAACTGGTTTAATCACAAACTGAAATGACACAAAGTATCGATAAAATTCACTATATATAAGGTCTCATCATTTTATCTCTTCATAATCATACATTAAGCATCAATTGCGGGGGGAAAAAATGCTTCAAATATTGCTGACTATTTCTGATCATACACCAAAAAGCTGCTTATAAGAAACATGAGCAAGGACAGTGTTTAACACTGCAGTAATTTTTGGACTCGCCTTTTTTTCTTTAAATGAGATGTTTTTGACTTCACTCCAAGGGAAGGTAATTTTAGGTTCTAGTCTATTGTTCTGGTTATATACATTAAGTCCTAAAGCATCCACACCCAACCAAAGTTCTGTGTTCTTCTTGTTCTGAAGTGCAATAAAATAATATTCTTTATTGATGAACATCCTTGTTCTTTTAAAATTGCTAAGATTCAAGTCTTTTTCATTTTCATCTTACTTTCATATATTCTCTCATTTAATTTGTCTGACAATTACCAGTATCCAACAACTTGATGAAAATGAAATCATCTTATTGCAAGATCAAGGATAACAACATACAGCTGTTTTGTACATGTCTCATTTATTTGCTTCTAATCATAAGCTCCTTTGCATTTCATAATCTTAAAAACTATTTTTTAAGCAAAAGTAATCCCTGTTTAGTGTTCCTGATGACCTGATCTAGTACCTTAATCTGAAAATAGTTCACACCATACTGCTCCAGATCTTGTGCTATTTTTAGATACTCCATCTCAGCTTCATCACTATAAAAAAAAAAGTTCAGTTAGCTTTATTTTAACGATTTCTCCCTTTTTTTTAAATACAAAAAATATGGTCACGAAAACTATACAGTTGTTTTAACTTAAATGTAGACTTACTTACTCAAAAAAAAAATCTTATCTAATAAACAAAATCATAATTATGTGCCCTAGAAAGTCTTATGATAATAATAAGGAATCTATCAGTTGTTCTACAACTTAAAAAAAATTGCAAGCACTGTCTGTGTTATGTGTTACAGAATCAGAATACCTTGGCATCCCTTTATAGGTTTACATGTTATTACTGTATACCTGGACATTCCTTTGTGGTCAGCATACCACTCCTTTATTCGATCCTCCCACATCTCAGGGGTCATCTGGTACTGGTCAATCACTCGCTGGGGTAAAAGGTCATCACTGGACAACATACCAGGCTTGTAGTTTGCTGGGTCATAATCTCCATACTTAAAGAAATCATAATCATTTCCTTATATAATGATTTATGATAAATATTTAGAAATCAAATAGCATTTTTATTTCAAATCCTGTGCTTTCTTGAATATAGATAGTCTTGTAAATGAATACACTGAACCAAACCTTTGCTTGAACAGCATAGGAGGCCAACAAAACGGAGGCCTCAGGGGGACAGTAGATGTCCATGTTAAGGATGGACTGCTTCACTTGCAGGAAAAATAAATGCTGTGTTATCTCCTGTATCAACTCTTCTGAAACATCCTCTGGGTAAAATTTGGCAAGAAACAGAAAAGGGACTGGAGAATCTTTGGGAACATCTTGATCAAGAACCTGGAAATTTAAGATTCTCGATTGATGCAATGTTTGAGTTGTTTTAAAATACCAGGTAATATCAAATGTTTCAAGACATAACTTTTCAATAAAAGGTCTGAGCAAGTCAAATCATATGAAGTGATAAATTTGCTGCACAATTATTCCTTATGTTTAGAGTATCTATGTGGATTTATTAATTGAAATATCGTCACATTTGAAAAAAAGACGGAATATATGAATAATTAGCACAGCTAATAATAGTCTTATCAGCAGGAATATGTTATTCCAACACTTGTCCTTAGTAACTTGCTAAGAAGAAAAAAGAATCGTTAAGTTTATAAATGCATCACACTGTTACAGCTGATCATCTTTTAAATTCTAAACTCATATCAATATATTTTTTTTTTTTGGATATATTTTGAGGGATTAATATGATTTTTTTTTTTTCATGTTACTATTGTTGTTTACATTACGTTTGTTTCATAACTTGCATTATTGGTCTTTTGCAACTGTTATATGAATTCTAAAATTCTCATTTCAAATGACACCCCCACAGGTATGTGCAGTGTTACATGTATGTATTCTATATTCTACCTTTCTGTCAAATTTTAACCATGAAATGTATCCTTTGGAGTCAACAAACTGTAGTCCAAAGTACCAAGTTTCCCGCAGTCCAATAGTTCGACATACTAGCTCAAATAAATCTTTTCCTGTTGCCTTGTGCTAAAATTATAAATAAAATAAACAAGAAAATTAAACAATCATTCATATGGATATTTAATTATACCACTAATTTCCTTATAAATTTTATGATGACAAGAAATTGAGAATGTTTGTTACTGGGAACAGTCGCTGTCAATGTTGTCTTATAGGCAGGTACTAAATGGGTAAAAAAATGTCAATAATTTAACTGAATTTTAAAATGCTGGCAGTTTCTTGCCAGGTGATGTTTGAATGGATAATAAAAAAGGTCAATGGGGGTCAATTAAGAGATCAATGGGGTTTCTTCAGATCACTGTATAGCTATCTATGTGAGCGATCAAAGGATCTCAGGGTTGTCCCCAAGACGTGGGGGCTGACGGATTTCCTCATCTACAATGACACAATCCCTAAGTTATTCTGGTATTCCCCTTCAACCCTATGTTTGGTATGAACTCTGAACCCATCTACTCTTTAATGTCCCCCACCATTTCAATTCTAGGGAAACTCGGGATCTATTTTCAGCCAAATGGAATTGTTCTTTCTCCAAATGTCACATTGTTAAAGTCCATTTGTTTTGCATACAACTTAAGCATTGCTAGAAAATAAACAGACAACAAACCTCTATATATGAAAATTCTAGCTCAGCATCCATGGTTGTAACTCGAACTGCAAAACTCTTGCCTCCCCCAGCCTGGCTTGAGGCCTTTTTCATATTAACAAAAGGCATGTTGTAAAAGAACAGCAGGTATCAACTCTTCCTTTCCAGCTCTATGTTTGTAACTTCATGATCGAAGTTAAAAGAATACCTATCTGTAATGAGATGAAAACTCTTACTTTGAGGTTTTTAAACTTAAGTTTAACCTATCTTCTTCTCTAAATCTCATTTCAAATGTTTGGCTTACATTTAGAAATTGAAATAAACAGCAGAAAAAAGATTTATCCCTGCTTACTCTTAACAGGATTATTTCATTGAAAAGTTAGGTAATCATCATTTTAAAGATGCTTTTCTTTAACTATGGACAAACTTGAAAAATACTTTTGGTCCCTTTGTGGATTCATCTATGTTATGTTAGTGCTTTAAAGCTAATGTAAATATCCCTATCGTAAAACACACACGCGACTCTGACTAATCGCTAAATATTGTAAACAGGAAGTTTTGGTATTTAGAGCATGCGTGAAATTTAGCGGGAAACTGCTGATGGTGGTAAAATCAAGACGTATAAAATAAAGCACAGATATGACTAATTATAACCTTAGTGCAGGGGCCATTGAGGTAAGTTTTCTCTAATATTTTGGTTTCTGATTGCAAGATGTAAGAAAATTCAAAGAAAATAAAAATACAGACCCACATTTTTTTTGTTGCCATCTGTAAATTTCAGTCTTGTCACCGTTTATGTTCTTTGTTACATACTTGACAAGACTATTCATTTTTTAGGCGATTATCAATGGACAGAATTTTGACAAACCAGTGCTGCAAGTTATTGTAAGTTGTTTAGATTATCAATGTGGTATTCAATATTCTGTGTAAAATTTATATATTTTGTCAATCTCACTCAGTGTTTGAATAAAACGTCCTTTCTTTTATTTAACTGTAAAACAAGTTTTTATTTAACAATGGCACGATTTTCAGAGTTCTAAGAAGATTACAACACAGGGATCCAATGCTGATAGATACAGATTGCTGCTTTCAGATGGTGTCGTCAGTTACTCACGTGAGATAGCTACCAAATACGCTTTTAATCTTAACTATCTAAGAATCCTAGAAAACTTAACTACTTTTAATCACAATAGCTTGGAACAGTATAATTTTGATGCGAAGAAGTAAGTGCCCATTGAAATTTTAGAATGGGACAGTTTTCATCCAAATTTTTGATTTTACAGATGCCATGTTGGCCACACAATTGAACAGTTTAATGGAGTCAGGAGAGCTAGATAATTTAGCTGTTGTACAAGTAGACAAGTTCCTCTGCAACACAATACAAGGAGACAGGTAAAGCGATAATTCATAGGGGGGGAAAATACACCAGTCCAATATCGTTAAAAATGAAGGTTTTATTCACACAATACATTTCATATAAAAAAAAATTGGTAAATTATATTCATAATGGAAAATAATAGCTTTGATATTCAATATTCAATTCCAGCACATCTCACCAAAAGTCAGTAATTTTTTGACAGCTCATATGCACATGTTGGTTAAAGTATTGGCTGTAATTTAGAAACCTTGGTGTATTACAGGCGTGTGTTGATCATTTTGGATTTGCATGTTCTACACAAGGGGTCAGAGGTCGACCAGAGATTAGGAAATCCTCAACAGTACAAGGCAGGAGCTGTTCAGGGCACGGAATCAGAACACAGTAAGGAAATCAGAGGGGGTAGAATTTTTCCTGGGTGTAAACATTTGATGATAACTGCTTTATTATTTTTTTTTCAGCTCATTCATCCTTACTCAGTTTTAAGCTTCCAGGCATATAGCTTAGTAATTATAAGGGGAGATATCTCTTTATAAGACTTAACCAGTTGTATGATCAAATGAATATTTGTTTATTTTATTCTTTTAATCATACACATGTATATAACTTGATAAAAATGGCATAAATTACTGTATGCCTTAATGTTGTGAGTTGTGACACCTTAGTTGTGCAAGATCATGATGGTAATATTGGTACCTAAAATTAAAAAAAAAGTTTTGATCAGTGTTGTACATAATCTATATTTGCAAATTTTTCCCTGGATTAAAAATTTAGCAAGCAGAAAGTTTTTTTATGACATAAAACTGATAGTATATATATGTTTGTTCATCAGACTAAGATACAATGAGCAATGCAGAAAAAATGATTGTTTTTATTTCCCTTTTATTATAAAAATTAAATTAAGGCCATAATAAATAAATTGCTAGATTCTCATCCAAATTTTTTTAACAATCGAGGCGGGCGGGCGGCTTTTATTTTATATTTTTTATTTTTTCAATTTTGCAGATTTTTTATTGACCTGGTCAATCGGTGTAATTTTATCTACAATACCCGAATAAAAGTCATAGTAAAGGTTCAATATCTCTTCACATTATCACCAATCTTTTTCAACCAATGACCCTTGTTTAAAATATATACGCATGTATTACAGCAATTAGGCCTACCATCTTTTCAGCTGTCAACATCATGTCCACTTTCGCAGGATTTAAAACGAAAGTAGGATGGTAGATGAATACCGATCCCGATCAGAATTAAGATGAAGAAAAACAGAAATAAAAAAATCGAGGCGGGGGTATAAAATCGGGGCAGGCGGGGATGAGAATCTAGGAATATTTTTATTATGGCCTAATGTTCAATTTTGTTTTTGTAGATTCTGCACAGTGCCCCCCTCAGATGCCTAAACAGGAGGGGGTGGGTCAAAGCTTTATTGGTAAATATCTTATTAATATTAATAATCTTAGTATATAAAAAATTTAGTTCTAGTACAAAGTTATTTTATTAATTGTCATACTTGCATAAAGCTTCATTGGAAAATGGCATTAGAGTTCCTGTATTTGTACAAAGCTTTATTGGTAAATGTCATAAGTTTCAGTATTTGTACAAATATTTCAGGAAATATTACAGGAAACGATCTCAAAAATCCACCCAAACTTCTCTTCTTTGACACCTGCTGAAAAACTTATATGAATATTGAATAATGAAAATAAAAAAAAATTATGCTTACTTGGGAATTTTTTTTCTGAAAATGGATTAAGAACCAATGTATAAGTACATCAGTAGATCTGTCATCATGTATATGCATGTTAAGCCATTTAAATGTATGAATACATATACTGTATGAACATGTTTAGCATCACATTTTTGTATTGTTTTGTGATCATTGACATTCTTCTGGACATTTGTATTATGTATGATCATTAACTCAGAGAACAATATTAATGTAACTTGGTCATTTATATAACTGTTTATATACATGTTTATAAAAACAATTTATATTTTTAAAAATGTTTAAATTGTACATTTATGTATGTTGAAATGCCCTTCGGGGCCCTTGATTAGTAAATAAAATATCCTGTATCTTGTATCTTGTACATTTTTGTTCCTACCAGAAAAGAAAATTTAAGATCTGCATGTTTGATATCCAAATTTTTAATCTAAATTTTAGGGTCTGTGTCAGATAAGCAGGTCAACAACAATGTGCCGAAAGGTATTTATTCGTGAGAATTGCACTAAATCTGTGAATAAAGAGAAAGATATAAAAGATAATCGGACTGAAAAAGCTTTTAAATAAATAGATAAATGTACATTCTGTTTAAAGTTACGATTCTTTACCTTAAAAATATTTCTGTTCTACTTGACCTGAAAATGACAGCTGCAGGGAATATGAATGGAGCACCCAAGAGCAACTACTCCTTAAAGGCCAACACACCTGGGGGTACACCTGGAGGCTCCACAAAAGTACACAAGATAGACAGTCTAACACCTTACCAAAACAGGTAAAAATCTCTACAAGATCATCAGTCTATCAAAGCAGTTAAAAGTCTGCAAGATTGACTGTATAAAACCATACCAAAATGGATCAATCTACACCAAATTGACAGACTCGTGCATAACCACAAATATCAAGTTTCCACTAGAGCTTCAGTATTGCACCTTACCAGAAATAGCAATAGTTGTGTAACCTTTAAAACAAATAAGAAAAGAAAAGAGTAAAATGGTGTATATGTGTACTTGCAGATGGAGAATAAGGGCTCGTGTAACCCAGAAGAGTGGAATCAGAACTTGGTCAAATTCCAGGGGGGAGGGAAAGTTGTTCAGTGTCACTCTCACTGACGACTCTGCAGAGATCAGGGCCACAGGATTCAATGACGCTGTCGATAAATTTTACGATTTACTGGAAGTCAACAAGGTAAATACCAAAGGAGTAATCAAATAAATATGGACCTCTTTGTGTCATCTATTGATTCATTCACCATTGATAAGCTATATGTATTCAATTGTTCATGGAATTTTTTCTGAGGAGAGCCCTATTTTACAGGTGTATTACTTCAGTAAAGCCTCCCTGAAGACTGCCAACAAGCAATACACGACTGTCCAGAATGATTACGAGATGACGTTTAACGCAGACACCATGATTGAACCTTGTGATGATGACAGTAGTTTACCGACGATGAGTTTCAACTTCGTCAAAATCAATGAAATGGACAGCAAGGCTCCAAACTCTCTTGTCGGTGTGTTGAAATTTTTATCAAAAGATTATTTTAATCTAATACATGCAAGTATTAATGACCTAAGAAAATATAATACAAAAGCTTTTGGAAAAAATTGGGGGAAAAAATAACAATCAATGCAATAAATCTGTTGAAATGGAATGCGATTAGTTTTATTTTTAGGTAAAAACTGTTCATGCAAAAGAGGTCTTAAGGGAATTGATGATGTCACCTATATTTTGATGTAATAAGATTTGCTGTTTTGTTAGATGTTATTGGTGTAGTGAAGACCTGTGGGGATGTGACCACCATTATTGGTAAACAGAGTAAAAAAGAGATCACCAAGAGGGACCTACAGATTGTGGACCAGTCTGGGATGTCCGTCAACATGACACTGTGGGGGGCCGATGTAAGTAAAACTCGGGGGTGGGGGCCTGATGTAAGTAAAACTAGGTCATTGTGTGGGATGTCCATCAACATAACACTCTTGGGGGCTAATGTAAGTAAAACTAGTTGTCTGTTGTCTGGGATATTCCGTCAACTTGACTCTCAGGGGGGGGGGATGTAAGTAAAACTAGGTCATTGTGTGTGATGTCTGTCAACATGACAATCGGGAGGGGGGAGGGGGGGGTTGATGTAAATAAAACTAGGTCCCATTATGTAACTAGGATGAAAGTAGAACAACAGAGCTGGATATTTATAAAAGAAAAAAAAACATTAAATGTATCAAAGGTGTGAGATAAAGATACTTCATGTTCCAAAATAAAAATATCAGTGATGGTGAGACATATCTTTGAGTTTTGAGTGATTAATTCAGTTAGGTTTTTCACTGTTGTAGGCTCAGCAGTTTGATGGTTCAGGCCATCCTGTTTTGGCAGTCAAAGGAGCAAAGGTTTCAGACTTCGGAGGTAAGATATGTAGTGCTAAAAGTAAACTGTAATTATAGATCATGATGTTTATCCTTTCTCATTTAGATTTATATATGTTTGTAGACTTCAGGATGTGTGTTATTGACTTTTGAACCAAAACTTTTTTTAAATGATAAATTTTTGTTGTAAATTATTTTTTGGCAAACATGAAACATGCAGTCGATATTGATATTGGAAAACTCTGATTTTTAGGTCGCTCCCTGTCAGCCATGGCCTCTAGTCAGATCATTCACAACCCAGACCTACGAGAGGGACACATGCTAAAAGGCTGGTTTGAACATGATGGTCACAATATGGACTTCCAAGGATATAGAAATGACAGCATGGGAGGAGGTGGAGGAGGTAAGGCTAGCATGAACTGCTCTTATAATGAAGAGGCTTACAGGACTCTTAGCTTGGCTGATACTCTAATTAACGCAAGTTATGTGCAAATTTTTTTTGGATAAGATTTCAATAAAAAAGATACTCTACAAAATTCTGTAGTATATGGGATCAAGTGCGATTCACAAATTTTTATAATCATGTTAATGCACTTGGACATTTCAAAAACACAGATCTGTATGTTGTCTTTCCAGGTACAACAAATTGGAAGAGCTTTGCTGAGATCAAGTCTGAGAACGTTGGGGCAGATAAGCCAGAGTACTTCACCACTAAAGCCACAGTTCTCTTCTTACGGAAAGAAAACTGCATGTACCAGGTGGGAAATCTACAAAGTCTAAAGTAGACAAAAAACATATCCAAATGGAAAAGAGGAAAAGTCAAAAAGTACACAAATTGGCCTAATTTCAAAATAGGACAATTTTGCACCTGGATATATCTACAGACTATATATTTTTTCAAAACAACTTTCTTTTTTCAATATCTTTTTCATATTTTCCGTAAGAGGTCTTCAAAATAGCATATGTATATGGCCGAATTTCGTACATTTTACGGAACGTCATAATGACGTTGTGAATTTTAACACTTCTGAGTTCTCATAAATAAAGTGGTAAATATTTATTAATTGATGAGAATTTGACAAAAACGTATTTTACAATATATATACAGATAGTACTTTAATATTTTGTTAATAAAAGATAACTTAAATTGAAATTATAATGTCAGGTATAAACAACCTTAGGTACATGTACAAGTGAAAATGACAGCGTGTCCATTTAGCGCCTGTGTTTATCGCAGTACACGTAAATAATTAGATACATTGTAACATTTCATTATTGACATTGATAATGTTTTGATAAATTTATTAATAATTTACACAAACTTTAAGCATTTGATATTTTAATCAACCTGCATATGTAAAGCCAAGTCCAGGAATGTAGCAACCGGGGGTGGGGAGTAAATGTTAAAATAAAAATAGTACCACATACAACGTAGAGAACAAGTGCTGCGTTTAATGTTTATTCCTCATATGTAAGGCAGTCCCGAGGTACCGCGTGATATTTACACATTGACTTGTGAAGATATTCTTTTTCTCAAAGTAATCATCCTCATGTTTTAGCAAAATGTTATCACGATCATCAACTGCAAAATTTTTAGAAAAAATTATAAATCGATTCATTTAAAATAATCAGTACAGTGTGTTTATTGACAATCACAAGACAGGGTTATGAAGTTTCATTTTCCCCTGTCATCTTTCTGCTTTTCAACATTTTCAACTATCGGGTATTTTCGACACTTGTGCATTTTCGAGCAATACCTATACTTCGTTGAACGAATACTTCCGAGAGCAGCTTTAGCAAACTTCTAATGCAAGAACGCCGTCTAATCAGAGGCAGATCCAGGGCCGGTGCCTCGGGTGTGCGCACCCCTCCCCCCTTTCGAATTTTTAAAACAAGATTTACTATATTAAAAACACATTATTAAAATCAGGTTTCCTTATTTTTGTGTGTGGGGTGTGTGTTTGTGAATTTAACCCTAGGGCAGGGTGCCCTAATTTTTTTATCTTGAATTATTCATTACATCCCGATCTATCGAAATATCAAAATTTTATTTATGGACAGGCCTGCCCCGGAAGACTTTTAGGACAAAATTATTAAATCTAAATGTCACTTTTTTGTTCTCTCCTATAAGTCATTTTTTTGTCAAAGTAAATAATCCTATGATGAGCGATGTCGGAAACTAGTTTTTTACCACTCTTTTATAACATATGTCATAATTAATAAATTGATAAATTCATTATTTATGTAAAGGCCGGCTAAATATTACACTATTTCTATTACATATTATGTTTTTTTTTTAACAGGATGCTTTACATTTTGTTTGTCAGTAATAGACACCCCCAACCCTAAAGCATACACATGGAAAACGAGGCCACAAACTTGGGCTGACATATTTAAAAATCACGATTTGATGAATATATTGGGTCATTTACTAAGAATATTTTTTAAAAAGCATAATCTACATATTAAAATATTAGTGCCCCCTCCTTCACTCTCTCGCGCGCGCTCTCTGGAACATGCTGTCTACCTTTTGATATTCAGACTAAATGAAAAATATCAATGTCCGAGCAAAATATAACCATAAAAAGATTCAGTAAACATATACATCTGACCTGTATTTAGCTATGTTATTGTAGACATTTACAAGTTAATATCGCTCGCGATCTACCCGCTGCATGATAATGATTATGTAACACAGTCACAGTCTCACAGAATATATTGAATACATGTAAGTCTATGCACTTACTTAAATAGTAATAATGTTATTTATTTAAATTTTAAACATTTTTTTATTATCTAAAGTTACTTATTGATCTATAATCATCACGAGTACGAAAAATATTGAAGTTCCCAAAAAAGTTTGACGTCATTTTCTGCACATTGTGACGTCAAGAGAAAAAAAATTGACGACTTGTCAAATGTTGAAACAAAAAACCAAAACAAGTAGACCTATTCTGGTTATAACCTGGCTACTTTGGAGGGCTTCTGTTAAACAATGGTCCAGAACAGACATGCAGATGTGGAAAGCATAGACTAACCCGAATACATTTCTATTTTTTTTTTTATGTTTTTAATTGAACTAAGAACTGGGGTATTAAAATCTGTTTAGCCTACGCTATTTACCATGCATAAATAATGTATTTATGCTAATATAAAATGGATTTATGGTCGTGTTTATATAATTTACAGTAATTTTTCTTATGAAAGATTTAATTCTTGCAATGTGAGGTTTTAATAACATGAAATTATATAATGTAAATTTGCTTCTGAATGTGCCAGCTGACCAAACGACATTCATAAATATTAATTTTAAACATGGGGCGCATTCCTCTCGGAGAAAAAAACTTCTTCAAAAATACGCGCAAGTTACCAATGATTGATTTTATACTTTAATTTTTTTCCGAGAGGAATGCGCCCCACTTAAAATTTTAAAATGAATCTGAAAAATCGGTGAAAAATTCTGGAAAAGTCAAAACCATTATAGGTTTTAGCCGTTAATTGAAAAGCCAACATCCGGTTTGGCTAAAACTACCCACCCATGCATTGACGAAGTCGAGTAGATACGGAAACCACAAATAGTTTTCAAGAAAATGATGATTTATTTTTTAAGAAATTCACAGGCCCTATATTGTACTTTCTGACTTTTGTTCTTTGAAATATTGTTCTTTGCATTGTATTTCAAAATATGGGTATTGATTTCATATTGTAGGCCTGTCCTACAGACTCCTGCAATAAGAAGGTTGTGGACCAGGGAAATGGAATGTACAGGTGTGAGAAGTGTGCCAGGGAGTTCCCTAATTACAAGTGGAGGATGATTCTATCGGTAAGAGGGCAGAATTGTCTGATTTAACATCCTCAATTTATTATTAGGTGTAGTAATAGATCATTATCAAATATCTGTTTAGATTACAAAAGAAATTTTGTTGTACATTATGTTCATAATGGGAAGATATTTTATATTTTAGGCAAATCTAGGTGACTACTCAGACAACCAGTGGGTGACCTGTTTCCAGGAATCGGCCGAGGCTATGTTAGGAATCCGTGCTGATGAACTAGGATCTCTAAAGGACTCGGTAAGAGTTGTATTTTTTAAAAAAAACTTTCTTACTACTTTCACTGTATGCTGTTTAATATTTATAAACAATAATATTTATGTTAGGGGAATTTATCATGCTATTAATAATAATGTACATGACAAAATTTATCATTTGTGTTTTCATTACAGATTTTTTCTTAGTAATGAGTATTCTACAAAAAGTGTCCCTTTTTTTGTCTTTCCAGAATGAAACAGCATTTGATCAAGTGTTCCAAGATGCCCTTTTCAAGTCATACATCTTTAAACTTAGAGCGAAAGTGGAAACTTATAATGTAATATCAATATTACTTTGCTTTGATTTTAAGACAAAGAAAAGGAAGTACATGTAAATTTTCTGTAACAGTAAATTTTGAAATGGAATTGTTCAGAAACAAATGAATAATATTAATATCTCTTTAACACAGGATGAAAGTAGGTTGAAGACAGTGACGATGAATGCTGGTACTATTGATTTCAAAGAACAATCTCAGAGACTGATAGAGGAGATCAAAAGATTACAGATGTGAAGGCACACCTCTGTCATCTTAGATATACAGTGCTGTTGTTAGTGAAGTGAAGATGACAAATGGCGTCTTTGTATTTACATGTGTATATGATGTAAATTTCAGGTGCCAGAATAACCTCATTTCCTTAATTCTTTGGACATTGGTTCTTTAGTTTGTTTATTTTAAGTTAGTGTATTATCAGGGAATAAAGGGTTTAGAAAAGGGATTCTGAATCAACCAGAAGATTATTAGTGTATAGTTACAACTTTTCGTCATAAATCTGTATGAATAAAGCATGCAATTGGGGGGTATTTACATTTTAGTTTTGATTTTTAAGGGTCAAAAAGTTATACAAACCTGTATTAACTGCTTAAAAAGAGTATTAATTTTTCTATTTGCAAAAGATAATGGGATTGATAAAAAGAATATTGTCAAACTTAAATTTCATAATTTCAACAAAAAATATGTTCATCACCAAACACAGTGCAATTATGCTGTACATTAGTATATTCATAGAAAGTATCAAGGATTCTTCTTCATTTTAATGATTTTGATACGTGCAGTAATTGATACGTGCTCTTTTGTAATAGCACTAGAAGGAACTATAGAGTGCTGTAAAAGCTGTACTGTATTATGTGTATATTAAACCTGTCACTGATATCCTGTGGACAAATTTAAGTACAAGTAAGGCATGGAAAAGATTTCTTGTAAGTGTTTATTTGTATAAACAATGAAAGAACTGAAATAAATTATTCAAGTAACATGTCTTGGCTATTGTTACTGAACGTTAACACTTGGCAAGGAACTGCATGTCCACTTTTTTTCAACTATTAAATAAATCCTTGTAATTCCATTCCAGTGATGTTGGTATTGCACTGGCATTTAAAATTCATATTGTAAATGCATTGATCAACTTCAGTAATTCTTGTCCTTTGGAACTTCATGAAATATGAAAGGAACTTTATGTACTTGGTACATTTTCCTGAAGTACATGATGTTTACTTTTCCCAATAGGAGGAAATTGTAAGATGGAGGTAAATATTATGATTGCATCTGATTCACATTGAAGCCTTGTGTTATTTTAGAGAAGTCTTTACTGAGAGATTTAATGGACTGCACAGCCTCCCTTGTAGAGATGGGTTTTATGTGACTTGTATCAGGCAGGCCTTGTCTCTTGGCATCAAGAGCCAACAAATGACTCACTTTAGAATTAATTTTGGAACACTCTTCACTCCTTTCTTGGATTCTCGTCAGCTTTTCTTGTTCATAGATCTAAATTAACAGAAAAACAATATGTATTTGTGAAACACTGATGCTCCAATATATGGTAGCCCATGACAATGGTTTAAGTTTCTCGAATGCAAGTTAATATACAAGGTCAAGAGAACAAAAATGTTTTTTCCCAAAGAGAGGTCTTAAGCTGTATCAATGAATATGCCTCTTTATAAATATGAAAGCCCAAGAACCAACCATTGAAAATGTAATGGCCAAGGTTAAAAGTTTTTAAATTGTGGGTCAAGGTCAAAGTGACAAAACCAATGATACCCAGGGAATTGACTTTTCACATGAAATAGGACCAGGTAGATGTGAAATATTAAAAGCCCTTAGTGCCAATTGATCTAAAAGAATTACTAGGGTTGATTTAAAATATATATATATATATATATATATATATATATATATATATATATATATATATATATATATATATATATATATATATATATATATATAAAATCCAAATTCAAATGATAAACTCAAACTTTTATCTAAAGCGCTTTCGCCCCATGCGGGCTCATCAGTAGATTTGAAATTGTAAACAAGTTACATTATGACGTCATCCTCGTGACGTTATGTAGGCAACGTTAAACATAATGACTGTGACGTAATAGTAATCACAGTTAAATGAGGCGCACAGATAAAGTTTTACAGTTCATCTGATCAAAGTTAAGCGCCTATTATAAATGTACAATAATGGAGACATTTTATATAAAATGTACATAATAAAATAATTTGATATAAATTCCTTTTAACAGTTCAATTTTGATTTAAACAGATTTATAAAATATTGTTCTTTGGCTTTCCGTAATTGTTCATTTTCCTCTTTTATTTTGTAAAAAGGAAATATATAAAAATGTCCTTTACCACAAGAATCAAAGTGTTCACTACATGGCGTGTTTCGTATGGTCGGATCCTTAATCTGTTGTTTGTGCACGCGAATACGGTCGGCTAATTTGGTTCCGGTTTGTCCTATATAATTTTCCTCACATGTAGGACACGTCATACAGTATATAAGGTTTTTAGATTTACACGTCATAGAAGATTTAACGTCAAACTTCATTCCGTTTTTAAAAATAATGGTTTGTCCGGTTTTTAAAACTTGACAGGTTCCGCATCGTGGATCCTCGCACTTAGAAACCATCGGTTTCTCGGGGTTCGATGTAAATTTGGCAGTGGTAAGAATCTTTTTCAAATTGGGAGGTTGACGCCTGCTGTGTAGTATATCCTTTGGTTTAATAAGGTCCCTTAATGTTTCTGATTGTTGAATAATAGGGAAAAATTGTTTGGCAGTTTTAAAGATGTTGTGATTTCTTGGGTTGTGGGTTAGAACAAAAGGGATCTTTTCGTTGTTCTCCTCTTCGTGATGTCTAATAGTACGTAATTCGTTAATGGGTATTTCCTTTGCCTTTTGTATAGCAGCCTCAATTAATTTTGATGGATATTTTTGTCTAGAAAGAAAAATTCTTAGTTCACACAGTCTTGTATTTCTGCGATCCTCATCAATAACAATAGTACAAATTCGCCTGGCCATATTGAATGGGATGTTTCGTTTAGTATGGGAGGGATGGCATGAGTTGAAAATCAAATATTGATGGGAGTCTGTGCTCTTGTAATAGAGATCCGTTATGATTTTTCTTCCCTCTTTTATAATAAGAATGTCTAAAAATGGCAATTTGTTTTCACTGATTTCCATTGTAAAATGCATACTTTCATGGAGCCGATTTAGAATGCTGTTAAACTGTTGTAGATCTTGTAGAGATTTTGTCCAAAAAATAAAACAGTCATCTAAATAACGTTTCCAGTTTCTTTCAATGTATGTACCAAAATCCTCTCCAAAAAATGTTTTGCATTCTGAAAAAAGTTTTTCCTCCAGAAAACCTAGAACGAGAGTTGCGTAGGTAGGGGCGACTTTTGTCCCCATTGCTGTCCCTTTTGTTTGTAGATAGTACTTGTCATCAAAAAAGAAATGATTATTTTGCAAAACTATTTTAAGTCCTTCGAGGATAAATTCTTTTGAAAATCTCGGCTGGATTACATCTGGGACAAAATCTCTACAAGATCTACAACAGTTTAACAGCATTCTAAATCGGCTCCATGAAAGTATGCATTTTACAATGGAAATAAAAAAAAAGAAAAAGAAAATGAAGTTTCCAAATTTCATTTAACACAAGCGCTTTCTGGATTTCATAATCCGTCTTCAGGTGTACATAAATTGAACTGATTGTTTTGCTTAGTAACGTTAACTATGACGTCATGACGTCATGAGAGTCTTTGCAGGGAAGGAAGTAATCTATGACGTCATAGTATGGCTACGTTACGTAAAAGTTAGGGAAAATCAAATTGGACAATAATGGACAATAAATCACATATTTTTCAGTCTCAATAAACAAAGTAAACAGAAATTCTAATTGATGATATATAAAATTAGGTAATTTCTCAATGTTAATGTTTGTTCAGTTTTGGTGAAAAAAGATTTATGAAGTAGTTTTCTTTTGCTAATCTCATTGCAGTGGAATCTTTTGCTAATCTCATTGCAGTGGAATCTTTTGCTAATCTCATTGCAGTGGAATCTTTTGCTAATCTCATTGCAGTGGAATCTTTTGCTAATCTCATTGCAGTGGAATCTTTTGCTAATCTCATTGCAGTGGAATCAGTTCAATTTATGTACACCTGAAGACGGATTATGAAATCCAGAAAGCGCTTGTGTTAAATGAAATTTGGAAACTTCATTTTCTTTTTCTTTTATAATTATTTTCACCTGTGTGACATCGACTGTGAACTATTTTCAACTATATATATATATATATATATATATGTAGCTCAAACTCCAAGGTCAAGGTCGAAAGAAGGGCAGACCCAGAGGAATACACGTGAAATTTGAAAACAATAATTCTTATTTTTCAAAAATTGTAAAATATCCTTGATATTTCCAAATAATTTTTTCGCGCTTGTGTGTTTGGGGGTAGCTGCAGAACTGTAGCTCTGCGAAAAAATATATACATGTATTGACACTCCGGTGTGTCAATATATATTTTTTCGGAGAGCTACAGTTCTGCAGCTAGAAAAAATAAAAGTTGAAATCATGGTAATGCATGATAGTTATGAAGGATAATACCTTTCGTCTCTCTTCTGCAGCGATTTGTTTGGCCTGTATTTCTTCTTGTGTAGTGTGATGACGTTGATATTTTGTTAATCTCTCAGGGGGTTTAGATTTACGACAGGGAGACCCCATATCCACATCAAACGAGGTATATTTACTGTCTTCTTCCATTTTTAAAGCACGAGCTCTTGGTTGTTTAGGACGCTATTTATAAAATGTCAACTTCCGGTTGAAATATGCACAACTTCCGGGAAGCATGTTGGCATGGAAAATGACTTTGAAAAGGGAGATGAGGATTTTTTCAGAGATACATATGTGCGGTACCTAGGTACGGTATCTTTTTATTATTCTTTTGCAACAAAATGATGCGAGGAAAACACAAACATGTTTTTGATTAAATGCCAATCAATAAAAACACAGGAGTCTGAAGTTTTTATCGTAAAAAAAAAAAAAAAATCCGGAAAAAAATTTTCCTACCCTTAACTAAAAAAACCCCAGGATGGCAACGTGTTTTGGGGGGACCCACCTAAACAAATAGATCTGGGCTTGGCCAGAAAAATCTCGCGACTAATTCAGTATCCGGAGTGTTTGTGCTATTTATTCAAGTTAAGAAATTAAATCTGCTTGCTGACTACGGGCCGTTCCTAGCCCCTTTTCCACTTTGACAGCTCATCCTGGACTCCATGCCACTAAACCGGAAGTGAACTCCGAGGTGAATATATGACGTAATTGAAGAAAAAGAACCAAAAAAATGCATGTAAAACTTCATGTCCAATTTTATGTTACCATACGTGATCAATAAAAAGATATATTTTTCAAACAAAATAATGCTTTATAAGGGCGCTTAGTCTAACTGTTTGGCTCTTTGTCGACATGGCTTTTCAGTGATTTAAATTTGGCGCTTGTAAAAACTGAATTATCTGTCCTTGGTACACATCGTCGTACAAGTAAGAAAAAGAATAAATAACTTTTTAAAGTTCTATTGAATATATTTAAAATAACTGAATCAATTTACGTTGAACAATTATTTATTTTATTTCATTTGAACAAGTTTTTATAAACGTCAAATATACACTGCGAGATTCTCTTCCGGTTTAGTGGCATGGAGTCCAGGATGAGCTGTCAAAGTGGAAAAGGGGCTAGGAACGGCCCGTAGTCGTCAAGCAGATTGAATTTTTCACATTAAATAAATAACAAAAACGCTCCGGAAACTGAATTAGTCGCGAGATTTTTCCGACCAAGCCCAGATCTATTTGTTTAGGTGGGTCCCCCCAAAACACGTTGCCATCCTGGGGTTTTTTTAGTTAAGGGTAGGAAAAAATTTTTCCGGAATTTTTTTTTTTTTTTTTTTTTTTTTTTGGACGATTAAAACTTCAGACTCCTGTGATAAAAACAAGGACTGAAAGAAGACTTTTTTTTTGTATATTGCAGGATACAGTAATGAAGTCGGCGAGGCGTTTCGAGCCCAGGTTCATGTTAGATGGGTCTACCTCAGTTATTTTGTAGCCAGTGGTTATGTGGTGGCAGACGCCATACATAAAGGCTGGGAAACTTCTCAGGTAGACAGGGCCATGTATATAGAACATATCATGGTCTCTTTTATAACAGTTATCTTTTCCTCAGATTTCATTTGTAAGATCATAGGCACTTCACTTGTTTCGTATACTGGATACCCCTACTTATTTTGTGGTATTCAAACAAGTGCCTGTGTATAAGATTGAAAGCCACTGGAAGATTCAAAAGAGGAAAAAAGGCCCTCTCCCCTATCTTGACTAACACATTTAAACAGGTTGGGAACACATCCCCTTTAGCGAGATCATCTCGCTAAAGCGCGATTATCCCTCTCTAGGGGGAGAAAATACATCTCGGAAAACCGAGATTTGTACTCCGATTCAAACTGTAATCGTGTTAACTTCTGAAAAAGGAAAATCCGGAAGCAAGTCAACCCATTCGATAAATATTTATTGTCTCATCTCAATAAATTTGCTTCAAAACATTGCCTCTACTGCTGCAAATCATGGAAATCAGAATAAGTTTATGAACAATAGCGTAGCCTTCCTACGGAGAACCACAGGTGATAATTATCAGTACCATTAAACTTACTTCGTTGTTACGGTTATTGTAATTGTACGTTTACCTTATTTTTTTGATACGCCTGCTTGAAAAGCGGGATTATATATCACTTTGGACTTTCCGTAGGGCATGGCGATCTCGACGCGAAGTCTGTTTGGTGAACATAGATTCTCAAATCGCCTAATTGACTGATATTAAGCCACGCCTTCTTAATGTGGATATTCTAACAGATTATATTAATTCTGTATATTTTACCCGTGAAATAAAATAAGATAAACGTTCAATGTCTGTTTTGAATTCTTGTCCTACATAAATTAATCAACCCTAAAAATTATTTTACCCTATACTATTGCACTGTCTCAAACTTTGCAAGTTATATTAGAAACGTGATATTTTAGACGGCTAGAAATGGTACATGTACATGTAGATGGACGGTTAGGTGGGGGGGGGTACTAGGAAAAATACAGTAGGTAGGTTGTGCGACTAGATCTCTTTAAATGTATCATATACCAATATTTTAATCAGGCGTGGTAAAAGCTATCGACATAACCATTTTCAAATCACAACCATTTTATCTGAAAAACAATTAAAGACTCTTTAATAAGGAAGCTATTCATAAACGGTAGATCATCGCTTATATAAAAAGGTGACAATAGCATCTCAATAACTCAAAAAAGAAAACAATTACAAGGCATAATAAAATGTAAAATTCGAAGTATTACATGCAGTGTTCTAGATATTCTTTCAAAATAAAGCATGCCTATAGCAGTATGCATCCGCCGCCAAAATACGGCTGAAATTTTGCCGACTCCACATTTAATAATAAACAATCAAAACTTTTAGCTTTTTTTTTTATTTTATTGAAATTTTGGGGGCAAATTTTTCAGACCCCCCCTTTTTAAAATATAAAAATGCCACCTGGTCTGTCTTCTTTCATGTATAGCCTTTGTTTTGGAAAGTATCTGATTCCCTATTAAAATTTATACATGTAAACTTATGCAGGATCCCAACATATGTTTCCAACGCAATTAAAATGTCCTCAAACGAAGAACTGTTCATCGCCACCGGTAAAAACATGAAGAATTTATGTCATTAAAATACGAATACGTAGGGCATACTTCTTTAAATTATAACAACACGTTAAAAGCAGTAATTTCAACAATGCAATTTCGCATTTTTTGTTTTCTCTAATTTCGTATTGTTATGAAAAGTAATTCAAGGTAACATGTTTTTCACTTTCCACAGGTACGTTTCAGTATTAATGAAAAAGGGTAAGTGGTAACTGTAAAACTGTAGAAAAAAAAGTTCGAAGCTACACCCCCCCCCCCTCTCTACCCATACGAAATAGGATTTTCAGGTTTGGACAATGGTCAAATTCTCCTCTTTTTGTCATTTTTTTTTTCAAGTTGATTTTTTTATCTTTGAATTAGCCCCCCCCCCCCCTCCTTTTTACCAATTTGCTTCCGACGCCGTTGAATCATGCTTTTCTGAATTTACAAGTTTACCATGTATCAACATTTATACTAGCACGTCAATATCGGTTATATAGACTCAATATATTTATATTGAGTCTATATAACCGATATTGATGTAGTATATTTGATATATTTGATTTTTACTTTTTTTTATTAATTTGCTTTTCAATATTCTATTAAATTAATGGTTTATCACTATTCTGTACACATCTCACTTTATACTTTTTTTTAATCATGACTTTTCCACAAACGTTACAACCCTGTTGCGCTTCCGTACTACTTAGCGTCAACCAAAGATTAAATATTTAAGCAAATATCATGGGTTTCTGAAGAGCATTATTTTCAACATTTTTACAAGAATGGAAAATTAAGACCCTAACGAATATAATTTAGATATCTATACATGTTTTATATGCTTCAAAAACATATATGACTGTAAATCTTGAAACCTTCGCTAAAAAAGGCACGATTTTCACGTGGATTTCAGCCTCTTATAATCACACGCAGCAGTGATTGTCTTAAATTTCTAGCCAATAATGTCAGTTTTTTCTAGTAAATTCACGCTTTGATGCAGCTTTCTCCCGGATTTTCAATACGCACGAGATTTTTGATTATTTTATAACGAAAACAACAAAATTACCGTTTATGGTAATGTTTTTTCTTCCGCTAAAGAGGGATAATCCCGCTTAAGCGAGATGATCTGGCTAAAGGGGATGTGTTCCCAACCTGTTAAAAGAAAAGATTGATTCTTTTTATTTTGTTTCTTAGAATTGTATTATGTAACGTTAAATAATAAGCCTAGAGTTAATTTATTAAATAATGAATAAGTGTGGCACAAAATTTAGCATCATTTTAGTTGTGTTATCTTATGATTTACAGATATATTGCTAAAATAACCCACTTATCCAAGATTTAAAAAAAAGACAGAAAAAAAATCAACAACTGAAAACATAGGTCTGGAGCTTAAAGGGCTTTGCCCCTCGGCCCTCACCAAGGCTTTGTTCACACACCCCTCCCCCCGGCTTTTCAGGAGGGAGGTCAACATTACCGCTACATCGCCAAAAATTTCAACTCATTACCGCTACATTTTTAAAAATTTTTGACCGATCATTACCGCTACATTTTTTTGACCAAAAACAACTCATTACCGCTACATATAGAATCAACTAAGTCATTCCCGCTACATGTATATCGAATGGTATGGTAATGAATATGAGTTCCACAATCACTATGTATATAGTGAAGTACAATTTCGATTTTAATTCTAACCAGAATGAGTAATATATATATGTCTGAATTCGAAATGTAGTTACATTAAACTTCACTTGAACGTGGCTACTATTGAGAAGTTAGCAGTATTAGTTATCGATGGATATAAATTTAGTAAAAATAAAACTTTTAAAACTCAAAAGTGTTGAGGAGATGGGATATTTGAACCTGACCATGTAGAAGGGAAACAGCTCTTATGTGTATGTGTGGTTCTTTAAATCAATTTGTACATGCACGCATAAGTGGCTGACTAACGAAAGAGGTAATAGCGGTAATGTATACTTTTATATGTAGCTGTAATGTAACGTTTTTTGTAGCGGTAATGAAAATTTCGAAAATGTAGCGGTAACGATACGCACCCTTTCAGGAACCCTTAGAACTGAAATCCGTGTTATTTTAAAATTATATCATGAGAATGAACAGAAGGAAGACCAAAACCCTTCTTGCTCTTTTGATTGCATTGATTTCCAATTATTTGACTTGGCTAGCCAAAAGCCAGTAAATACATATGCATAATCATCTTGGAAACACGTATAAGTTTTTCATGCACATACTAAAAAAATATCTTTGTCAAGTCCCTGCCTTCAACAGAGATATACTTAGCCTCAAGTAAAAATTATCCAAAAGTCATAAATTCAGTCAAATAAATCTAATTTAAAACTGATTTTGAAATCCAAACAAACGAAACTTTTAACTTTGTTTTTTTAGGCTCAACTTTAATTTTAAACATGTACGTTTTAGAATTCAGAAAAAAAGATCTACGAAAGGGGTGGGGGTTGACACTTTAAGAAAGGGGGACGGGGCCAGAGGGAGTTATGATACCAAATTTCATTGCAAAAGTTCAAAAGTTTCTCGAGATATTGCATGGAAATGAAAGTTTTACACATTCATAGGATTTTTGAATTTACGACCTTGACCTTTGACCTTTTGACCTCAAAATAATTTGGAGTCTCTTTTAGGCCATATGGAGTTGTAGTATAAAATTTCACTTGAAAAGCTCAAATTCTTCTAGAGATATCGCACGGAGGCGAAAATGTTAAAATGGACAGGAATTTTGACCTTTTGACCGCAAGATCTTCCTTAAGACATTAGCAGTTTCTCAAAGCTTCAAGATATCACGTGGAAACGAAAGTGCTACAGAAAGACAGAAATACTGACAGATCAAAAGAGTTGGCCTACATTTAAATTTTAGTGAACTTTTCAGTGAATTAAAAAAATACGTAATAGACTGTACCTATAATAATGACACAATGAGTTATATTATTATAGGTATTACATTTTTTTTTAATTTACAGCCACGTAGCATCGTTTTTGAAAGTGGGGGGGGGGGCAGCCAGAGAAAAAAAAATCTTTTTTACTTACCTGAAAAAGTTGACAATCAAAAAAAAAGGAAAGTTTCCCAAAGTCGAAAAACCTATTTCGTGTGTGTGGGGGGGTTAGAAATCAACTTTTTTCCGATGCCAATTTCTTTCAGTACCAATACTTTTATACTACATTTTCCTTACATCACAAACAGTTGGGGGGGGCAAGCAGTCTTTCAAAGAACATTTCCTATATTATAAGTAATGTTGGAAAAAAAGTGGGGGGGGCAGGCCCCTGTTGCTACGTGCCTGAATTTACTGAAAACCTCGGTAAAATTGATAGGTATGCGAAATCCTGTGAACAGATATAGACGGACGGACAGACATACCAAAATTAATATACCCGACTTGAGACCAGAAACATGTAACAAAGAATCTTATTTATACAAGCTATTTTATTTAAATACAACTACATGTCTCACTGTAAGATGTTTCGTATATGTTTTTTATCAGAAATCCTGGGAAGACGAGCGTAAGAAGAGACAGCGTGTTGGGTTGGCAGTAGTAGACACACTTATCTGGCAGGGTCTGGCGTCCGTGGCGATCCCGGGGTTCACCATCAACCGCATCTGTACCTACACCGGGGTACTGCTGAAGAAGGCCACCACCTGGCCCGGCCCCACCAGAAAGTGGACTACCACCGCCGTGGGACTTCTCTCCATTCCCTTTATCATTAAACCTATAGATAGGTCAGTTGACTATCTGATGGAAAACACTCTCAGGAAATGGTATGTTGGACCAGTCCTGAAGAATGTGGTTCATCACAAGAGAAATGACTGACAAAAGGAATGTAGTATCCTAGCGTTACACGATGCTCTTAATTTTTTTTCAAGCTATAGATTCATTTGGTAGCTTTTTTCCCCTATTGTGCAAAAACAAACATTGACATTCAAGGATAAAATGGTCATGATTTTATGGACAGCGATATACATTGTAAGATCTTAGGTCAATCTATGGCCTCTGAGGTGACTTCGATCTGTAGGTGAATATTTATTATTGTAGAACGATGACTGACAAACGCAGATGACAAAGATATGACCTCGTTTGACCTCTGCACAGACGGACAAAAGTCTGTCCAATTGGACATAAAAGTGTCATTATTAGAATTTACGTAATGAATTAGGCTTAATGAATAACGATGAGTCAGCGGAAGTTTTTCTTTATTTTTATTTGGTTTGTTTTTACGTATCAAATATTTGAAGTAATTTTTTATTTTTTTTTTCAAAAACAGTTTTCATCTAAAGTTCGTTCAAATAATTTTTATTTGTATATACTAGTACTCCTTTGTTGAACTAAATTGTTGTCACTTTTCAAATACTCAGTCTGAGATAATCGTGTTCAATCAGGTTTTGATCTTTTATTTATATTTTTTGATTGTTCAGTATTGGAATTTTAGTTTATTCTTATAGCAAGTTGATCAAATAAAGTAATGTTAAAATCGTTGAAATTCTATCGTTTTCAATAGCGTTTACACTCGTAAAAAATACATGTATATGTATTACAGTTGAATGAAAATTATTCTTGTAATTGAATACTAGTAAATTCAGTTATGTTTGCCAGTCTCGTGAGCACACATGTACACAATTTGATGTCGGCAATACTGGAGTTCTAAAACACATAAATTCGGGTACATGTAAATATGCCGTAGAACCAGAAAAAAAACTCTGCTTTTACGGGGTGGAATATCATTCTCTTCAACACAGTCTCAAGAAGGTAGGAAAACTAAATTTCTTGGTTGCTTCAGAGTTTGGCATGACCGGCACATAGGATGGGCGGATTTTGTGATTTCCTTCTTCTAAATGTATATCTTAAACCTTTACATATCATCTACAAAATAAAAAAAACAACATCAATTTACATTTTCCAAACTACATACACGAAATCGTTCGCAATATAAGACTAAACGATATTTTTAGCATTAGAATATGTGTTTCAATTAGATTGTGCAATGTAATTACATTGCATCAAAATTTTGGAAATTTAATTTAACGAATTAGCCGTAAAAATCGCGGTGTATTATTTTAGCGAAAAGTAATTTATAAAATAATCTATTTGACTGGACATCACAATATAATATCTAATATTTACATCCACTGAATATTTATTCCTTTATTTCTTAAGAAAACCCATTGCTTTAATCACTGCATGAACTACATTAGGCCTGTACTGATTTCTTGATCAGTGGCTGTTCCATCAATGAAACGTATAAAGACGTTTGCATCATTAATACAATAATTAACCTTTTTACTTCTACTTTAAATGATTATTTAAACGGATACAAGCTAATTCAGAGAATTCGTGTCCCCCGCTTAGGGAAAAAGTCGGATCCCCCTGACTGAATTTGTAGAATTATTAAATGTATACATGTATACTGAAGCAAATAAAATACATGTATGTCAATATGCATATAAGGAATTGAATGCATATTCTTTATTATGTGTATAGAAGATTCTTTTTATATGGAATATTTATCACACTGTAATGATGATTTTATAACCTCATAAATTTTTCATTTCACATGCTGAATACTATCATTTAGTAAAAAAAAAAAGAAAAGTATTTAAAAAAAAAAAAAAGGATCGTCCGAGATTCGATCCTGAGACCTCTCACATGTGAAGCGAGAGACATGCCACTAGACAACGGAATCGCTTTTCGTGAAATCAAGTATATACAGAACTGAAGTCACATACATGTATATATTCATGTTCGGTATTCTCAAAATTTTACACAATCCATGGTGTTTGATTTATTTAGCCTTTATTAAACAGTTCTAATAGATGTAATAAGAACATAAAGTCCGCCGAGAACCTGTTTTATACGCAATAACTCTCCTCATGCCCCTGTGCTAAAAATGGCGACATGTAATACTATAAATACTGATAAAACAAACGGGGCGGGGCACTTTGAGAAGGTTGAGAGAGATCCTAGGGAGTTTTTGTATACATTGCATAAGCTCAGAATCTTCTTGAAATATCGCCCGGAAATGATAGTGTTACACACAGACAGAATGTATAAATTTACGACCTTGAACTTTGATCTTTTGACCTCAAAATCAATAGGGTCTTCATTAGGCCACAGGGAGTTGTTATGTAAAATTTCATTGCAATAGCTCAAAGGGTTCTAGAGATATCGTGTGGAAACGAAAGCAGAATTTGCTTATTTATGGGGACAAAATAAACATAAACAATAAAATGTCTTTCTTTCTTTGTTATTACTGGAATTAACACTCTCAGCTATTGAAGAAAAAAATTACATAACCCGCTTACGCGGGTTATGTATTTTTTCTGCAACAGCTGCTTCCGTTAATTCCAGTAATAACAAACAAAGAAAGTATTTAATTGTTTAAGTAAGAAGCCATATGTGTTTAGTACTTAATGAATTGTTTGCGATATGTACTGTGTAAGGGATTTCATCACTCTCGCAAATAATGCTAATTTTGAATCCTCGCTAAAATTTCCACTTATACGGCAGTTGAACCATTTTTTCATAGTTAATCAAATTCATGTACTTGTGTTCGAACAACCAGATTAAATTTGCAAAAAAATATATGTAATATCATGCAACGATATACATGTATATTTCCTACAATATTAAACATACCGTCAAACACAGATAAATTTGTTCCTGGGATTTCCTTCCTTTTGGACATACTGGCCAAGAATATTTTCTTCATTGATGGACGATGCTCAATTATAGCTGTGGCGAGGGAAGTCATGGTGAAGTCTTTAGGGTAGAACATATAAGTCATAAATGACATGACATCGTCTGAATTATAGTTGATTCCCTTCATTTCGGTTTTGGCGGGAAGAATGGATGTAGTTAGAAGAAGATCAGCTGGCATAAGTAGATTTCCCACAAAAGGGTGGGGCGTACTTAACATGTTATCGGAATATCCGTAATCTGAAATATTTTAAAAATATACCAAGGCTTTCAATGTCTTAGATTAATTGATGGTCAAATTTTCTAAAAGAAACAAGACAAGTCTGTGAAACACTAATGTCCCCGTAGGACAGCTTATGGCGACGGTTGAATTTTCTCAAATCCATGTCAAACTCAAAAGGCCAAGGTCAAAAGGTCCAAATTTTTGGTACCCAAAGGAAGGTCTTGTCACAAGGGATCATTTGTGAAATATGAAAGCTCTTGTTCTCACTGTTCAAGAGTTTTGGTCAAGGTAAAAGTTTTCAAACTCTAGTGAGGTCAAGGTCAAAAATATTTATACTCGCTGAAGGTCTTGTCACAATGAATGCACTTTTGAAGTATGAAATCCCCAACACCAACTGTTCAAATGTTATGATGAGTTATTTCTTTGAAGTGGGCCAAGGTCAAGATCAAGAGATCAAATTTGGTGGTACTCAAAGAAAGGTCTTGTCACAAGAAATACACCTGTGAAATACGAAAGCTATACCCCCACACACTCAAAAGTTATGAGCAAGGTAAAAGTTTTTGCGAACAGACAGATAGACAAACAAAAAGACGGACGGACAGAGTAAAACTATATACCCCGAATCTTAAATTAAGGGAGCATAAAAATATTGATAGAATAAAATTAAAAAACATGAAACAATGCCCAAGAAATATGTAAAAGTACACATAAACTTACTGTATCTGTAACCATAGGTTGAGGATCCAAGTAACAAACTCAAAAGAAAAAAGAAAACGGCCATTAGTTTTTACTTCCTAGAGTCATTACATTCTGGAATATTAGTAAAGAATGAGTTAATTAATTATCAAATGATTAAAAGTACAGTCATACATATGTTTATATACCGTGTAATGATTGCATGCAGGTGCACTGACAAAAAAAGAGTCGATGACCAATAATTGTATTGTTTTTCATTTCACAATGAAACAGTGTGTATATGTACTATTTCACGTGAACACTTAACAACTTAAGGGAAAAATACATGTACGTACAGGAACTAACTAATTAATCCTTAGCTAATGATTCAGTATTGTCAAAAATTATACATCTTTGTATTGTCAATCTAGCTGTTCATTGCATGCAGCAGCATGGAAGGAACAGCCTTTGCAAGATGTAATGATGGGATCAACAGAATTTAAACCAGGTTTCAAGTGACAGAAGAGCGTTAGTGCTCAGCAAATTTTGCATATTCTTACAATAAATACTAGTATCTAATAATAAACAAAAGTGTATCGACTTGCTTGTACGATGTATGGTTCTTTAAATTACTTAAAGAATCACTGTAGAGTATGCCAGGGGATCAACGATACTCAGTAGTTGGAAACGTGGAATAATTTGCATATTAGTAACGGGCGAAATCCGTTATGCATAAATTATCTCATGTTTCCAACTATCGTTGATGTTCCTAGCATACTCTATTAACTAGACAGCGATTACTTATATTTCCATTTCATTGTGAAATAAACATAAATTTAGACTTTAACAATATAGGCCTAGTTTAATAAATTTAAATTACACGAGACCTCCCATGTCAATTTCGATAGACCCCGCCCACCGACGTCAAACACAAAGACAGCGAGATTTACATGCATTTCAGACCTCCCTCTCGTCAGGCACAAATACAGACGCACGAGATTTACATGCACATTAGGCCTCCTTAGCTCCTGACGTATCGCTTGGCAAAATTTACATGCAAAGATTATAGAGTTATTTTTTTTTACTAATTTATTCAACAGAATTTAATTTTATTGAATTTAATTTAAAAATATAATGCTTCAGATAAAGAAAAAAACCTGCCATGGCCTTCAACTCGACATTGAGACATATCGATGATGCATTAGCAATAGTTACTTCATTTCATGTGTAGACACGATATACCCCAGTTTGTTTCATAATTGGATATTTTACTAGATAAAGACAATGAGTGGTAACCTAACAAGAACGCTTTATGATAAACGTAACACTTTCAACTTTTCTATCATCGACTTCCTTTACTTATATAGTACTATACTAGTATCCTTAATTATCATCTGCGTTAGGAGTTTTTTTTATCGTCTCAGTTCATTCAATATATGCAAGAACATGCTCTACACAAACAATTACTTAAACGAGATAAGTTATTGACAAACAAGTTGATGAAACAAGATTTTCAAGTCTCTCGTTTAAGATTATTTTGCAAGTTCTACACAATAACCTTGAAGCAGATACAATCTATCATTACGTCAGATTCAGTTGGATTTTTTCATAGTAATTGTTAGACAATTACTGTCTATGGATTTATTTCCCGAATACTGCCTACGAAGTTTTTTGCCGATCGTGGCAAAGAGTACACTGCGGGAGTGAACGGTCAGTAGGGATGATCCTCCATGGCACTGATCAAACATCCAGCCTGTGTTTGGCACCTGATTTTTATTGTGTGAATCAAACATCACGAGTTTTATAGTTTTATTGTGTGAGGCCAGTGTTTGCTCTGATCCTGATTTTTATTGTGTGAATGTAACAAATTTTAATAGTACTACAAAATATCAAAGGTTATCTCCAAGTTTCTATATTTTAAATTTCATGTAAAGGTGTCAAAAACACATTTTTGCAAAATCGGTTTAAAAATCAGTTATGAAAGCAATTACTAATCAAGGAAATAACAACAGGTTTAGAGTACACATTCTAAAAGTTAGATTGGAATTTTTTTTATGATAAAGGACGCCCTCAATAAATTTTTATGTAAGTTTCACAGAACAAAGAAACCATCACTAATTGTTCCGGTCAAACTACTTTTCAATTGATACGTTCTTTAACAGGTTTTTCAGTTGATTGACCATTTACATTTTCTTTGATGAATTGGACTGAGACAAATAAAATGTGTCATTTATATATAGTCTTAAAAAGATTTATAAGACCAAGCTACTCCCACCGTTAAACAACAGGAAGTTAAATAAGAGGCTTAGAAGATTATCTCTCAAACAAGGATACCAAACGTAGCAAAAAATGAAATCCGGAACATTTTTCTTTTTGGTGCTTCTGAATTTGTCCTGTGTTTATGCAACCTACAAAGGTAAATACTATGGTTATTACTATATAGACAGCCTTAAGAGCAAATTTTTATTTTATTATAATATAATATGTCGTTACATTTCAGTTTATTATTTCCCTCCAACGAAAAACTACAAGAAGAAATGGATTAAATCCAACCTCTCAAAAATGCAGACACCTTCTACAATGTCATCATCTTCTGTTTCTAACACTGGAACTATAATGACAAATGGGATGCCTATTTCAAACACTATGTCCATGTTGTTTAGTCCAGGCCAAAACAGCATCTTCCCTGCTATGGCAAACTCTGTCATACGTGATAGGACGTCATCAACGCTCAACAGAGTAGCCAATCCTACAAGAATGACTGCTCCGATGATGTCTGCAATGGCAAATCCAATGATTTCCACAATGACAAATCCAATGATTTCCACAATGACAAATCCAATGAGTTTAACAATGACACATCCAATGATTTCTACGATGACAAACCCAATGAGTTCAATGATAACAAATCCAATGAGTCTCTCAATGGCAAATCCAATGACAAATCCAATGATGTCCACGATGTCAAATCCAATTTCTTCAACGACAAATCAGATGAGGCCAATGATGACCTCTCCAATGATGTCGATGACAAATAATCCAATGATGTCAGTGATGAATAATAGGATGATGACTGGAACCTCAAATTCGATGACAGGAAGAAATAATGCGTTGGTTAACTCCATGACTCCCACCACCCGGCCTGAATCAGCATTGCGTGTTCCAAGTGCAGACGAGATACTGAGTTCCGCTATGATGGAAGTCGTTGGACAGTCTACCATGCAATCCTCCCTAGCGGGAAATAAACTCAGTAGGTTTTTCGGATCAAGCTATTTTTGAACATAGATACGCAGTTACTGTGTTTTTATTAAAGTTTCAACTTTATTAAAGTCTATGTTCATTATCATTTACAGGTGCTAAATCCGGTGAAAATCCTAAAAACAATATAACTGGAACCAGTTGTTAAATTTTTCGTCTTAATGCGAGAATAAATTTGCTATAAATTCTTTTATAATGTTCTTCTTTTTTTTTAAATGATGACACAGTGTAATGTTTTTTAGTTTTTCCTTCTCAAATGCTTTTCTGTGGAGAAAAAAATCAAAGTACTCAGAAGTACAGAGAGCCGGGCTCATTTAAAGAGTAGAATGGATTTCTTACATGAATCACGTTTATATTCTGATGAAAAAATTATTTTAAAACTATCAATATAAATGATAAGACATTGACAGTGAGTTTTTCAATCCTAATACCACGGTCCGATTTTGTCAGAATCAGAATTAATCTGGTACCGCAGCACTCTCTACCATCGGCTCATACATTCACGGTGTCTGAGAGAGGAACGAACGACAACTCTGCATAGTAGATTGGTACCGCAGCTGAATGTAAAAAAAAACAAAAAAACAGGCCAGTCTGGTTCCCTCTCCTGCTTTACCTCGTATGTGTAGAAAACTACGGTAACACTGATTATCAAAAATACTTACGCTAATGAACTATGTTCTTTGACTTATGAAGTTTTCAAAGTCATTAATACTAATGTTTATTTTATATAAATTGTTGTTGCTTTACTGAGCGTTTGTATTATCTCAAAAGCGGTTGAGAGTAAGAACTATATTTTTTGCACGTAACTTTAAAATGGCGACTATGGGGTCAGCATCCTGCCTTGAACAGGATCACATAAGCCGGCAATTGCTCTTTGAGCAATAAGCCCGGCTAAAAATCAAGATTTTTTTATTTTTCAAAAGAATGTAGCCCTTATATTCAATTAATTACCAAACACTTTCCCGACTTTTTTATGTCCCTAAATCAAGAAAGATTTGACAAAAACATCGCTTACAGATTCATACAACAATACTGCTCAAATGCTATTTCCCCTCTATAATTAGATAAATGTGATTTTGTACTATCTTGATTTTTTTGCCATGTTTTAAGGCATAAGTACGGAAGCCCATTTAGACCTATCAAAAATATTTTTGAATTCGTTATAACGATTTTTAGAATTCGTTATAACGAATTTAATTTGTTATAACAGATTCTTTGAATTCGTTATAACGAATTTAATTTTTTATAACAGATTCTTTGAATTCGTTATAACGAATTTGATTTAATATAACAGATTTAATAAATTCGTTATAACGAATTTAATTTATTATAACAGATTTATTGAATTTGTTATTACGAATTTAATCTGTTATTACAGATTTGTTGAATTCGTTATATTCAATTCAAAAATTCGTTAAAACAAATTCTTGAATTCGTTATAATGAATTCAAGAAATCTGTAATAACAGATTTAATTCGTTATAACGAATTCACTAAATCTGTAATAACAAATTAAATTCGTTATAACGAATTCAGTGAATCTGTTATAACAAATTAAATTCGTTATAACGAATTCAATGAATCTGTTTTAACAAATTAAATTCGTTATAACGAATTCAATGAATCTGTTATAACAAATTAAATTCGTTATAACGAATTCAATAAATCTGTTATAACAAATTAAAATCGTTATAACGAATTCTAAAAATCGTCATAACGAATTCAAAAATATTTTTTGATAGATCCTACATGGGCTTCCGTACAGATTCCGTAACAGATTCATTGAATTCGTTATAACGAATTTAATTTGTTAAAACAGATTCATTGAATTCGTTATAACGAATTTAATTTGTTATGACAGATTCACTGAATTCGTTATAACGAATTAAATCTGTTATTACAGATTTCTTGAATTTATTATAACGAATTCAAGAATTTGTTTTAACGAATTTTTGAATTGAATATAACGAATTCAACCAATCTGTAATAACAGATTAAATCCGTAATAACGAATTCAATAAATCTGTTATAACAAATTAAATTCGTTATAACGAATTTATTAAATCTGTTATATTAAATTAAATTCGTTATAACGAATTCTAAGAATGTGTTATAACAAATTAAATTCGTTATAACGAATTCAAAGAATCTGTAATAACAAATTAAATTCGTTATAACGAATTCAATAAATCTGTTATAACAAATTAAATTCGTTATAACGAATTCTAAAAATCGTTATAACGAATTCAAAAATATTTTTGATAGGTCCTAAATGGGCTTCCGTACAATCACAAGGGAGCAACATATTTGATAAATATCAATCATGTGATCTTAAAATTTTTTTTTAAGATCTTTTGCTTTTGCTCTTGCTGCCTTACGATTTTTATTGAGTGTTCTCAAATATGCCATTTGAAATTAACTACAATACAAAATCAAATTATTAAACCATTATTTATACACTGAATTGTCTATTATTCTTGCGTTTGCCTGATCATGCTAAGGCTGGTTTGATCGATCGACACTCACTTCTCTATGGCACTTGATCCACACACCTCTGGTGAATTACAAGTCCGTTTTTGCTCCGCTCCGTATACGTAGTTTTTTTTAAAATGGACTTTTTAGTTTGATATCTGTTCGTTATCTCCATATTTTATTTTATAGTAAAAACAAAAGATATGAAATTTTCCTTTAAATATAGAAAAATACAAATGTAGCTTTTTTTCCCTCTCAAATAATTTTTTTGGGGGTGAGGATCAAAAGTGCTTAACTTTACAAACAAAGATATAAAGAAGGTTCAAGTAAGCCTTTTACAAAGTCTCTGTTTTTACTCCTCACTAAAATGTCAATAGCAATGAAGGGGAAACTTCAGGAGTACTGTGTAACAATATTCTCAAGAAGTGGTGAAGATCGTATGATACGTAAATACTCCAAGGCACGTTTGAAAACAATTAAGTCCAGGCTTAAAAAATCATTGACAGTTTCTTTTTCAATAACAATAAAATTCATAAATTTACCTACCTTTGATTGGTCATTAGCCAATAACATTCTGTTTGTATACCCAAGTACTCTGAAGCTGATATTAAAAAGATGCTCCGATTGACATAATCAATGTGGTTTTTGGAGAATAGGTCTTCCAATAATCTGTTGGAATTCCCATGGGTACCTTTATTAGTAGTCTCATTTTGCATTCATATGAGGCTTTTTTAAAGCAGATTTTACTCAGCATCTTATACACGAGAAGAAGAAAACATGTGCTGTCGCCTTCAGCTCAAGATATATTGGCGGCGTATTTTAATTAACAATACTTATTTCAATTCATATATCGACAGAATACATCCCAGTGAGTTTGAATTAAAAAATATATCTGAGTCTGACACAACTGTTTCAGTTTCATATTTGATTATTATTGGAAAAATATTAATGGTAACCTAACAATAAAGTTTTATGATAAACGCGATGGCTTCAACTTCAAAATTGTAAATTTCCCTTACCTCTGTAGCAGTATACCCTTATTACCTGTATATGTGGTTTATATCTCACAATTAATTGGTACGCAAGAGTTTGTTCTACATTCTCTAAATGGGGTAAGTTATTTACAAATAAGTTGATGAAACAAAAATATCAAGTCTTGTTTAAAGTCAACATTTTTTCTATGGTCAGTACCATTGCCTTGTCATAAAATGCAATCTATAATCAAGTCAAATGCTGATGGACGGTTTTCATATCAATTCTTATGCCATTTTTTTACACTGAATTGTCCATGGATTCTTCTGTTAAATTCCGATCATGACAAGTAGTGTAACATATCGGCAGGGGATTCTCACTTCTCAGTGGTATCTGATCCCATTTCTAATGTTTTAAAGATCTGTGTTTGTTGTGTTCCCGATTTGTCTTGTTTAAAGAGACGCCATCGCTTGCCGGTGTAACGACGAAAAGTAACCCCCGTAGAATATTGACCAGGGGGTCATTTTTCTACAAGTAGGGTCATTTTTCGACTGTAGAAAAACATTCCAGACCAGTAATTCTACAACTCCACACACGTTGAAAAATGACCCCCATAGAATTTTGACCCCCTACTTTTTTATACAATAAAACCTTATATATGTGTCTCCTGATATTTTTTCATACTTTCAAATGCAAGTAGGGGGAATTTTTTATGTACTTTAATCCTTCCAACCTATATTTGATTGCATATCTTAATAGTAGCATCACTATCAATGTATCTGGTATGAATTTATTTTTGGCTTGCAGAATCTCAATGAATATTTATTCATTGGGGAGCATAAATTTATTATTATATTTTTAGGTGTTTTTTTTATCAATCAAAGGTTTTGTTCCGAAAATGGCATATGTTTCTGATAACTATAAATCCAGGTACATATGTTTCTGATAACTATAACTCCAAAAACATAGCATACATTCAAGAAAAGCAACTTTATTTAACTATATAAATATAGCTCTTACATTTAACTTACATATACATCTGTATGGAAGAAAGATATGGAGATAACGAACAGTATTCAATATCAAAGTCCATAAAACAATACAAAATAGGAGCAGAGCAAACACGGACATCCAAAACATCAGAGGTGGGATCAGGTGCCATGGAGAGGTGAGCATCCCCTGCAGATCGGTTACACCCGCCGTGTGATCCTTGTCATGATCGGGAAATAACGGAAAAATCCGTCGTCAATTCAATGTAAAAATAATGGACTAACAATCAGCACGAAAAACGTCAGTCAGCATTTGACTTAATGATAAATTGTATTTGCTGCCCATAGAACTTACGAAATAATGACTTTAAACGTTCTTCTTCTTATTTCATCAACTTGCTTGTCAATGATTTACCTCGTTTAAGAAAATGTTTATACGTAGATCAAGCTCTTGCGTATCGAATCAACTGAGATATATACACTTCGTATGCAAGTGATGAAGGTTTATTGTTGCGTGAGTAAGGGAAGTTGAAGAGAAAAAAAAAGAAAAGTTAAAGTCATCACGTTTATCATATAGCTTGGTTGTTAGATTGCCTTTAACGTCTTTTTCAAGTAAAATATCCAAGTATGAAACGGATGTGTCAGACTTCGTGGTGTCTTTTATCTCAAGCTCTTCAGGATATATAGTATCGACGTAGAAATGGAAATTACCATTGTTAATTGACAATACGTCGTCGATATATCTAAATGTCGAGTTGGAGGCCACAGCAAGTGTTTTCTTCTTTTCAAGCATAAGATCTTGCACAAATTCTGCTTCATATGAATACAAAAATAGGTCTGCTAATAACGGAGCGCAATTGGTACCCATGAAAATTCCAATAGATTGTTTGAAGACCTAGTCTCTAAAAACCACATAAATTTTTTTAATCAGAAACTCAAGCGTCTTTTTGATGTCAACTTCAGAGTACTTGTGTGTGTAATCAGAGTGTGTTTTAACAAAATAATTTTGCAAATGACCAATTACCAGGTAAGAGAATTTACGAGATCTATTAAATAATTTTTACTGAAAAAGCAGCTGTCAATGATATCAAAAAGTCTGGACTTTAATTTATCGTGGGGAATGGTTGTGTATAAATTGAAAAATCGTAAGTTTTTAAGCTGTTGATTTTGGTAAAATCTTGTGATTTCAAATTGTCCAAAAGTTCTTTGGAATTTTTTAGAATCCACATCTGATTCACACCACTTCTTGAATATATTGTTGCACAGTACTCTTGAAGTTTTTCCTTCATTTCTGTCAATATCATAGTGAGATGTAACGAAAGAGGCATGGTTGAATATTTACTGGAACCCGCAATGTATCTTTGTTTGTAAGGATTCTTATGAAGTTTCGGAATCCAATATATATATATAGGGTAGTTCAAATTCATTTTGGCTCTATGGAATATTAAAAATATATAAAACTGACATATGATATTGAAGAATTGCTTTCTCAGAAAGGGATGTATGAGTATAGTAGGATTACCACTCGTAGAATTAAATCCAAGTTCTTCTAAAATACAATTTGAATAATGAGCCTTACAAACAAAGACAATATTGTTACCTGCTTTGTCGATAGGGACCAGTACATACTGATCATGTAATCTAATTCTTTTTTCACTTCTGGATTACTGAATACAGAAGGATAGATGGTTTTCATATTGCCCCTCAAACTTTGAATATGCGACTTAAACATGGATCTGATACATTTAATCCATTCTGACAGAGTGCCGTTTTATTTTTCATATCTGGCCCATTGTCTGGCGTATTTTTCAACAGAATTCATAATATTTATGAAATTCCAACGCCAGTTGAAAGAGCGGGGTTATGCATTCTGTTTAAAAATACACAGTCACTTTTTAATTACCTTATATAAAGTACTAATTTTTTTTTTCGTGTATATACAGGGAATACAATACACATCGAGAACGTTGTTATAATGATATCAAAAATTCCTCCCAAACTGGCAAAAACTTACATCTGAGTGAATAACAGTTCAACCTTCAGGGATATCTATAAATTCAAAAAAAAAAAATACTTCCCTTTTCAACACTTTTTAGCCAACAGACACCTGACCAATGGTTGCTGTTACATCCCCTTTCTTCTGAGATTTTATAGACATTACCTTTGCAAACTAATGAACTCTATTAGTCAATCATGCCATTACACTGTACTTCGATATAAAGTCCTAGCACATACCGGACCGTCTAAATGTTAATGCTAAAGTAAAAGTGTGGAATTTTGGGTTGAAAGTGTCTCAAACTCCAAGGTCAGTGTCATAAGGTCAAAGTTGGAAGTACACAAAAAAAGGTCTTTTCTTAAAAATACAACTGTGAAATATGAAAGCCATAGTCCCATCCAGTCTAAAGATATGGGCAAGATTTATGCGGACAAATATACAAACAGACAGACGGACAGGGAAAAAACTATATACCTCCGAAATTTCGTTTACTAGGGCATAAGTATAACACGGAAGTAACAACTTTTTCATCATCCAACATTTGTTTTTTTTTCTATTGGTAAAAAACTCCCAAAGTCATTATATGTAAGTACATGTAGAACGGGGAAAACGATACTACATGTGCCAATTTTGGGAAAGACGCGCACTTTTTTTTCGTAGTTAATCATGTTTTATGCTGAAACCCCCATTTTGTTAAGGTTTTGTTGACACTAGCAAGCGACAAAAGACATTTTACAGGTTTTGAGCTAACCACATTTTGTTTCCCTTGTATCCTAGGTCAGATGCAATTTAATTTCGTACTTATTTTTAAAAATTAAATCATCCCTATTTTTTATGAGAAGTTTGAAACTTCATTCATAGTAAACCAAATATTTTTATAAGATCTAATTTTCTAAGCTAGAGCCCTTTTTCGCGCCAGTTTTAAAAGTAGGGATCAAAAACGTTAAACTTTTAAAAAAAAAAAAAAAGCTTTATTTTTGATTTTTGCAAATTATTTATCCAGGGTAAAATCAAAGAAATCTAAAATTAATTAATCATGGAAACTTTTTTCCCGACACCAGCTAGAAAATAACCTTTTTTAAGATTAAAATGACAACTGTGAAAACTTACTGCATAAAATGTAATAAACGTTTCTTTGAATGCGCGTATCTTTGCTCTAATAGCCTTTAGTTAGAACATTTTAATATTGTTTTCCTTAAATGGGGATAAAACGGTTTGCATTATTAATGTAAGGTATTGTATAGCTTTGATTTCGTTATCTAAGCTTAAAAGCTTTCAGAAATAACACATCAAAGCATACGGCAGCTTGATATTACCCGTATACTTTCGCCTAACAAGAATATTCCTACCAAAACACATTGTTTTTGCATAAAAAAATGACAAGGGGTCATTATTCTACGGGGTCATTTTTCTGCAATGCACACGGAGAAAAACGACCCCAAGGCCATAATTTCTACAGAAAAGTGGGTCATTTTTCTACGTAGAATATTGACCAGGGGTCAAATTTCTACGTAGAAAAATGACCCCCGGTCAATATTCTACGGGAGTCACTTTTCGTCGTTACACCGGCTGGGGGTTTATTGTGTGAAAACTACAATAGCGAAACTCTTCATTTTTATACCATATATAACTTACATTAACTTCAGTGTAATGCCAAGTTTGGGGGAAATCTACCGGCCAGGTATTTTTAAGGGACCGTCTCAAAATACAGGTACATTTACTACATAATTTGTTTCACGGAATTATATAGTGCAAAAGGGAAAATGAAAATAACCCTACATACAGTATAGGATTATATAGGAAAATGCCAATTTTTAGCACTTTAAAGCAAATTATACAAATACTACAAAAGCTTTTTTGTTCAAATTATAATATTTGATGACTAATACTATATTGTACATTATATGTAATAAACACAAAATTCTACTGTCTTGTTACCATAGGGGGCATCTCAAAATGCCAAAAATTAACGACTTTTCCGGTTTTAAAAGAGCACTACAAAATATGAGGGGCGCAAAGGATTTATATGAAAACATAAAAATAATGGAGAAATAAAATTTCAAATTTCTCTGTTTTATATTTAAGGAGCATATGTTTATTACTTTTTTTATAACATTTTTAACTCTTTCTTTGAGAGCTTCAGTTTATCATAACGTCAAAAACACACTGTAACGACGTCAACCTACCTATCAACTGCAAAATCGGATAAAAAATCAGGTATACGAAATTGTTATTACATGTCTGAACCTGTAGTTTCTTAATTTTGTTTAATTTTATCAATTAAGCTAAAAAAGTTGCATTAAACAGTAAATACGCTTCATTTTCCTTTGCTGCGCGAAATATGGCGCAATGAAAACCACGGACGGCCCCCGTAAATTGACTTTGAGCTTGAATACTGCTCGTTTTCTCCATGTTTCATTTCATTCCCTCTTACTACCAGGGAGTCCACAAAAATAGTCTGAAATGTCCATCTGAGAATTTTACCCAACATCAATGTTTACACAAACAATATTCAATATGCATTTTGTAGTACTCAACATTTTTTAAGGGATGGAAATTAAAGGCATACTGTAGTTTCAGGCTTCATCCCACGTCAGAATTTTCTATAAACTAACAAGGATGCTGTAATAAAATAAAAATGACATTCAAGTCGAAGATGAATCGTTTTGGCCCTAAATTGATATTTGCTGGAAAAATAAAGCTATCCTTAATATAATATTAATAATTTCAAGTCATATACATGTCTTCTGCTATATTAAACTCAGATTATGCATGAAAGAGGCTTTAAATTTATTTCAAGAGAAAATGTGACATGTCCATGAAAAGGAAACGATGGTTAAAGAAAAATTGATTAAGACTGTCTTAATGCGGAAGTGCCTGGTAATTCATAGATATTTTAAGAAGAATGTAAAAGCAATTCATGTGTTTTAAAATAAAAAGTTGAGAATGCAGACATTTGTGTGCAGACTGGTTGATGAGTATCTTAAATAAAGAAAAATATTAGATAAATTATGCATCATAAGATATATAATCAAATTATAATTTGTTTATCCAAAGCAAATCTCTTTGTTGCTAATAGAAAACAAATCTTAAAACACTATTTGAAAATATAAAATATATAAATATAAGTAAAAATGCTAAACTTTTGACAAAAGACAAAGCTATAATTAATCGAATTGTATACCTAATTAAACTCTCTGATCATGCGATGAAATTTGGTGAGAAAACTTTATAGTTATTGTCATTATTAATGAGATTTATACCAAAACTTGACAGTCCAAAGAAAAAGTTTATCACATTCGCGTCGATTGACCGAAATCCATTGTCCAAAACTAAATGAACAGAGTTGAAAAGAGTATATATATAGTGGTTTCATAGAGATATAAACATAATTTCGATTTTAGTTATTTCACTTCAACACAGCTTTAGATTTAAGGTAAACTTTGAATTCTTTCTACTATCTCTTTTTTTTTTTTTACCAAAAAAGTAATTTTCTTACTATTTGAGTTTGACTTTGTAGAACTTTTTGCCTAATGAAAACTATGTGTTTTATTTCAGATGAGATCATTCATCATTTTCCTCTTTTCGGCGCTGATATGCTATGTAATGGCTATTCCAAAACCACTGAAATTTCACAGTACGTGCATTGCTCTCTTTCTCTTCGCTATTAGCAGCAAAACATTTTTTTAAATATACCAAAAGTTCAAAACATTTATTTGGTATAAAATAAATATTATTTATATTTCTATTTAGAAAATCGCCAGAGGGTCATGTCACAAGGTGCATCTAATCCAGCAATGGCATCGGGATCTCCAGTGGGCATGCGCGACTCCATTATTCCAGCCGCTTCTATGCCTAACGCCATGGGAGCCCCAGGAATGGCCAACCCTGTGACAAATGCCATGTCCCCTCCCTCTGCAGCTATGGCAAATCAAGGCATGCCGATGCCCGACGTGATGGCTGGTTCAATGAATCCGTCCAGTGGCATGTTAAGCAGTTCAATGTCCACACCACTCCTAAGAGACGCGGCGCAGTTAGCGATGATGACAGGGACCTCCATGCCAGTGATCACTCAGATGATGACGACGTCACCCAGCATGCGAACTGTCTTGTCTATGATGTCAAGACTGGCGGGAAGCATGATGGCACGAGGTCCCATGACGTCTATGTCTTCTGCTCCAATGATGTCTGCATCTCCTATGAATTCTATGATGACAAGTCCCATGTCTACAATGCCAGCAAATTCAGTGACGCCAATGAATACAAATGCCGTGATGAATATGCCGTCTACTAATGCTATGGCACCAATGGCTACAAGTCCTATGATGGCGAGTCCTATGACGTCGATGGCAGCCAATCCCACAATGCCAATGACAAGTCCCATGGCAGGAAGTATGGCAATGTCTCCTTCTATGATGTCATCTTCAGGCAGCCCAATGCCGGAAGCTCTAATAATGTCAAACATGCCGATGGGTTCAAGTAATTTGATGGGTCTTGATTTCCTTTCACCAAGTGCGCGAAGAGCTTTGAAGAAATATACATATCATAAATATTACTAAATTTTTGTGATAATTATGAAAAGGGGACTATTTATGTGTAATTGCGTATAAAATGTATGAATGTTAATATTTTCGTTTGCGTTGTCTCAATATCTAAAAATAAAACCCTGAAAACATTTCTGTTGTTATTTCTTACAAAGCAAGTTTTGAGCAATTAATGAGGTTTTTTGATTCGACTTTTATGTATTAAAACATGTGAATGTGAATCCGCAATTTTTCAAAATAAAAAAATTATTAATGCATGCATATGCAGATAATTATCAAGTCAAAATAGTACGTCCGTACTAGTTTAGAAACAAACGTTTCAACATTGCAAAACATGTTGCAGCTCTGTTTCCATTGCCATGAGGCTTTTTAATTCAATGTTATGAATAAGATGAATATGTTATGAATAAGCTGACAATGGAAACCGGATTTTTTTATGTTTCAAAGGTTGATAATAACTGGTACGTGCTCCAAAAAAAAAAAAAAGAAAGAAAAAAAGATGGTTATACTACAACGTAATAATAACCCGAAGTATTTCTATTACATTGGAGTCAAAACTTACAAGCAGAGCTTTTTAAAGAAAATTTTAAAAAGCCATACTTATATACAAAATAATATCTTTTCAAATGAAGTGGAAAGGACATGAATTTCCTACATGAATTATGAATTTTCCCTTCAAAATATATAGCGATATTTAGTATGAAATGAAATGAAAAAGTAAGACAATATGAAAGATGACAATACTCAGAATACATATCTATAATTTAAGACAGTAGATTTATTCAACTTTTTATACATGTAGTAATGTTCTATTTTTCCGTTACACTTTTTTCAATCTCAACATTTTGCAAATTTCATTTATATATATATATATATATATATATATATATATATATATATATATATATATATATATATATATATATATATATAATATATAGCGATATTTAGTATGAAATGATATGAAAAAGTAAGACAATATGAAAGATGACAATACTCAGTATACATATCTATAATTTAAGACAGTAGATTCATTCAACTTTATTAATTTAATAATGTTCTATTTTTCCGTTACACTTTTTTCAATCTCAACATTTTGCAAATTTCATTTTTATTGAATGAAACATATGGAGATAACGAACAGTATTTAAGATCATAAGTTCATAAAACAATACAAAATAGGAGCAGTACAAACACGAATCTCAAAAACATTAGATTTTATAAATAATAGACTAACAATTAGTACATATGAAAAACGTCAGTCAGCATTTGATTCAATGATTAACTGTACTTGCTGACAAGGTCATTGTATCGACCATAGAACACTTTAAACAATTCTGCTGATATTCTTGTTTCAGCAACGTGTTTGTCAATAATGAAAAACGATTTAACACCTATCTCCATAATTGATGGATTAGATGTGACATGATTCGCTGGCGTTTTCTATTTTATAAGAATGGTAATTTTTTAATACCAGAAACATTTTGAAAGTCTTCTTTTGCAAAAAAAAAAAACAAAAACAAACAGAGGATAATGCCAACAGCAGAGAGAGAGAGAGAGAGAGAGAGAGAGAGAGAGAGAGAGAAGGAACCATTCTTTTCCAATATAGTTGTGCATAATCTTATATTATATTTATAATATGCCCCCGTAAACGAAGTTTCTGTGGTACATAGTTTTTATTCTGTCTGTGTATTTGTCTGTCTGTTTTTCCTAAAAAAAACTTTAAGCTTGCCCAAAACTTTTGAGTGGGTGGGGCTATGCAATGCCTTTTGTATATATTTCACAGGTGTATTACTTGTGACCAGACATTTCTATGGGTTCCACCAAATTTGACCTCTTGACCTTGGAGTTTGACCTATTTTTACAAAATTACAAAATTTTAGCTATGGCCGTTACTTTTGAACAGTTGGAGCTAGGGCTTTCATACTTCAAAGGTCTATTCATCGTGACAAGGCCTTTTTATAGGTTAGAAAGAGTTTTGTCTTTGATCTTAAAGTTGGACCCACTTTTTAAAAAACTTTATCCTTGACCATAATTTTTGAACAGTCAGAACTAGGGTTTTGGTATTTCATAGATGTATTCCGTGTGATAAGTCCTTCCTTTGGATGACAACATTTTTACATTTTGACCTTTGGAGTTTGACATGTATTTAAGAAAATCCAACCTCGTTCAGCTACCATACAGGGGTATCAGTGTTTCACAAACACATCTTGTTTCTCATTGAAAATATCAAATTAATTTCAATCCAGTACAGGTCATCGGGGTCCGAGATAGAAAATGATTCAAATTTTACTTTTAAGACATGTACAGGTACACTGATCACAAAATTAGATTTCTTTCTTTTATGTTGTGGTCCTGCTATAGATTGCCTGCAAATGAACAAATTTCACAAAAATGAATTTTTAAAAGAATTCGTACACGTAAAAATTTCAAGGAAGTCACTGATGAACTAATAGAGCTTTTAAACTGTAATCCTAAAATGTACAATTCAATCGACAGTCTCTAAAGTCATCAGCCCTTTCTATGTTTTACTTTTGAAAATTGGGTTAAGAAAAGATTCATTTAACCAAAATTGATAAATATCATTAATAACAACTCTGGATTTTCTTATTTTTTTCTATACGAATGATGCATGGCACGATTCAAAATGAATTTTACAATATAAATGATTGGATATCTATTAAAGATAAAATAAGGAAAATACAATATTAAATAACAGAATAAAAATTAAAACCTATAAAATTCAGAAATATAAACATTATGAAACATCTTAAATTAGTCAATGGTTGATGCAAGTCAAAAAAGATAACTTTTCCCATTATCATTTCCCGATCCCACCTCTGATGTTTTGGAGGTCCGTGTTTGCTCTGCTCCTATTTTTCTATTGTTTTATGGACTTTTGATCTCGAATACTGTTCGTTATCTCCATATCTTTCATTCATTCAGTGATGAGACAAGTCTTGTTAAAAGTTTAGACACACGCAGACATAAAAGATTGAAAAAAAAGTCCTATACATTTGAGTAGACTTGATAAATTATAAAATTGTCAACGATTTTGTCATTGACAATATATGATTGGCGATGGACATATAAAATTTCACAGTTAAACATCAAAGAAATTTGATTAAAAGTTTTTCCTCTCACAATAAAATTCAGATCATGTTGACAATGACAAGACAGTTCGTCAACATTAACCAAGGAACGTTCGTTTTGACCGACATCTAAAGCATGTTAACTCCCTTAAACCACTTTCTTTTTTTTTTCACCGCGACACTTCAATGAACTGTTAACTATTCATTATGTCCATGCAAATAAAGTTTTGCGTTAATGATATATTCTCTATCATGAAGTTTGATGAACGATAAGCTAATCAAGAAAAGGATTTGAAAGATTTTTTTTCTTTCGAAAATGATATCAATCATGTTTATGGTGTTGTCTAATTTTCTAATCCTTTACGACTTTTTGTATAAATGTGAAGTTATTAAACTTTTTATTACATATGGAGATATTACCGATGTAAGTATAGGATGTTCTTTAATTACACACTTTTATAGTGCAAATTAGAATTTTACGTGAGATCAATGGAAACTGTTAATAATTGTTTTTAAATTTAAAAAGAATTGAATTATTAATATACTAGAATGTTATATTATTTATTTCTATATTATTATATATATGGACCTATCATGTTATTATTTATTTAACTTTTATAATATATACGTTTTGATTTTGCGATGAAGAGAAGAAAAATAAAATCTGTGATTAGAATGAAATTGCATTCTGAGGAAATACATATCTTAAAATATCATCTTTTGTGAATATTTTACTTTGTAAAATAAAAATTGAAAAAAAATTATTCATTGATAAAATACTAAGAAAAATATACCTGTACCATAAAGCACATCATTTTGCAAAATTTTATATTTCTAATTATAAATACATACAAAAATAGAATTTAAGGGATATGTATAGAAGAAAATAGATATCTTCTTATGTCTAATATGTTGGAAAAAGACAAAGTTAACATTGTTTGGATTTTATTTTTTCTAAAGAGAAACTTTCTCAATTGATAGAAACTATAATTCTATACCCAACAAATATGATACAAAATTAGGAGAGACATTGATAAGATCTGAAGCATTATATCGACATAAATGATACTTTTAAACTATAATTCATTCATTGAGCTGTACAAATGATAGGAATTTATATATTCCAGTGTCGGATTTAATGATGAAATCATATGTGACAGTCTTCTGGGTTCTGTTTCTGTTAATTTTTGTATTGAATTGTTCAGGTAAGTATAAAATAAATATTCTTATAAATCAAAATTTTCTGTTTCCAAGACTTGTAGATAATTTTAATGTAACGAATGCCTTTGCCGTACTCTTTCATAATTCAAAAAAAGTTTTCTAAATCTTAATGCAATATGGTGAAAAAAATGAACATAATTTTTTTTTAACTATCATCTCTCTCTCTCTCTCTTTTTTAGCTCACACAAGAACTTTGTACACACTCCCTGGTTCTTCAATGACGAATCCAAGAGGGAAAATGTCCGCATGGTCAGCACCCAGCAGTCGGACAATAACTACACAGAAACACCCGAGTCCTCTTGGTTCTGCCATGAACCTACAAAGCAACTCAAATCTTATCACCCTTAGAGACTTAATGTTAAACGATTTGTTAGGAAAGCATATTTATTGACAAAGGCCATAAAAAACAAAGTATTTCAAAACCATGGCCATATTAAATGATCAAGATAATAAAAGTCCCTCGAAGTGTTTCAATTTATTTAGAATAACACTGAAGTTTTTCTTTATCAAATCTCCATGCATGTTTAAATCTTGTTTCTATAAAACCTGTGTTTTACGTGACTTACGAATAAAATTATAACATGGAAATTCTTGTTGCGTAATTAGTGTGAATTTGATAACAACTACAGACATGTTACGCCTTTTGTACTGTTGTTGTCACATCTGATGTAGGAAATGTGCTAGTTTTATCTCCTTGTGTGTTTAAAGGTACAATTCACCATCAAATTTGAATGTTCCACGACGCCATTGTTCGTAAAACATTTCATTTCCGGTCGTTAAAACCAGTGTTTTGTACAAATTTACGGGAGAAAAGAGATCCAAGAAATATTAAGACACTAATGTCATTGCACTTTGATTAAGTTTGAAATACACACGTCACTAATGCAATTGCTACAGATTGCAGATTATGCATAAATTAAGTGAACCCAGTGTAAATTAATCCTCATTAATGAGCCAAAAAAATATTGATTATTATTCATCATATCAATATTAAAATGATAATTAGGTTTATCCTTTTCCCTAGAACATGTTTTAATTTTTATTATTTTTTATAACACGTTTTAAAAATCGAATACTATAAAATTATCTTCAAGCTATATCTGTAGATCTCTTAGTTTTTTGCCTCCCAAACACGTCTACCTTTAACGGTTAATAAAAACATGTTTATTGTTTTATTTATTAATATTACTTTTTTTTTTGATAAAGAAGCTACACCAAATATTAACTTTTAGGAAGAACCACTTATTATGAAAAAATGTTGACTGCAGAACAATTTTACACACTTTGTTATATATATTACAGATAAAGATACCACAGAGTCTGACACATCTGTTCTATATTTAGATATTTTACTAGAAAAACGTTTATGGTAATCCAACAACCAAGCTTTATGATAATCGTGATAACTTTTCAATCGTCACCTTCCCTTACTTATTCAGCAACATACCTTAGTCACATCCATACGAAGTTTATATCTCCCAGTTGCTTCGATATGCAAGATCATGCTCTACATATGAACAATTCCCGAAACAAGGAAAGTTACTGACAAAAAAGTTGATGAAACAAGAATATCAACAGTCTCGTTTAAAAACATCATTTCATTCTATGTTCGATACATTGACCTTGTCAGCAAATACAATTTATCATTGAATTAAATGCTGACTGACGTTTTTCATACTAATTGTTAGTCCATTATTTATACACTGAATTGACGACGGATTTTCCCGTTATTTTCCGATCACAACAAGGAGCACACGGCGGTTGTGACCGGTCGGCAGGGAATGCTCACTCCTCCATGACACCTGATCCCACCTCTTATATTTTGGAGGTCCGTGTTTGCTCTTAGTAATGTTTAATGAACTTTTGAGCTTTAATTCTATTCGTTATCTCCACATATCCAGAGCTGTTGCTGTTAGATCAGACTGTTTACAGTAAAATATCCATTATAAACAGACAACCAGCTTTAAATAGCATATAATGCAAAAGATGATACTTTGAAATTAAAAGTGTTTATTCTGATAAACATAAAATATCACAGACACAAGTGAAAGACAGATAATATTTTAATGTCACTTCCGGTGAAATAGAACTCTGTTACACAGTCTTTTTTATCTTCAAAATTCCAGGGTTTTTCTTCCTGCTAAAAAAGTAAGACGAAAATTTAAACAATCATTATCCATGGAAATATCAGTCACATAGTTTGTAATATCATGTATCTGAGAGTGTTTAAAGGTTTTGCATGCATTGATATTAAAGTTTAATTATGATCTGCTTTTTACTATCCAGTAAAACTCGTTTAGTACGAACACGGATAAAGCGAATTCACAGATATAACGAAGTCATCTTGGATCCCCATCTATATAAATTAATGATTTTTTTTAATTCGGTTATGGCTATAACGAATTACGGATGTAGCCAAATAATTTCATAGGTCCTAACGAATTTGTTATAACCGAGTTTTACTATTATTATTATTCGCCCTGATACAAGAAACAAATATTTAAATTGAATACAAGCAATAAAGGTTTTCTTCGAACGCAACTAACCAGCATCTGTCTTGATTTCTGGTCTCTCCATTCTATTGTTGGACATCATGGAATTTGAGTTAGCATTATTATTCATCATTGGCATCATGTTCATCATCATGGGCCTAGGCATCATGGGCATCATTGCTTGTTGGCCCATTTGGAATGGTATGATCATCATAGGTTGAGTTGGTTCCTCAGCATTATTGCCTATTGGAAGCACCAGCATACCCATGCGGCCATATGGAAGACCTTAATGAAAAATGTATTGTTTTTGTTTACTTTATTATCAATGGAATGGATAATTTTTGACTAAATATCTGACTTTAATCCTTAACAAAAGTGTAAAACAAAAAGTTTACATTTTTCCCGATATACGATATTTTAATCAACTAGACATGAAGAGTTTCATAGATGAAAGAGAGCAAATTGATCGCACCCGTAACAGGGCACGAGCTCCGTTACTTTTAATGTTTACGATTCACCGGGTGCGTTCAATTGTTAAAGTCTGCTCATCAACTGCACGGACTGACAATATACTTTGTGTATGTTTTGCTTTTGAACATTTCTACTCTGAATTTTCTGGATTATAGTTTTAATATTTTTCATTTATACACTACAAGACTGCCACTTTTCTTAAGTATTAAGAATAAAATTAATTTTTTTGAAAGTGCATGGATGTGTCAATCAAACCCGTCTAAAAATTTGAAGTTTGAAATACTTTTAGATGAAAAAAGATTTCTAAAATATTTTTGTGTGAAATGCTATAAAAATATATATATCGTAATATTATACAGAAAATATTAACTTCAAATCTGTGTCCATGCACCTTTAAATGTTTTCACCCTTAGGTCTACCTAATAATATGTATTAATAAAAAATGTGCAATAAATTTTAACTTCAACTATAAAGAACTTACCATTGATAAATGTTAAGGCTGACACAGACAACAAAACGATGAAGGACATGCACGTTGCCATCTGAAAATGAATGTATAGTTGAGTTAAAGATGACACTTAAAAAGGAAAGAAATCAGAATGTTTTTTCTTAAGGTTCAACATTTCTACAAATTGCAAAAAAAATAAATAAATAGATAAATTAAAGATTATTATAGAGATAAATTAATATTTGAATCGTTTCTGCTATATTATTGATGCTTAAAATCCGGTAATAGAACAGCAAAAAATTACTTTTCAATTTAGAATCAAAACAAATTGCATAATCTTCATTGAATAACCTCACCTTCAGCTATTACCGATTTTGACGGGAGACTTCTCGTGAAAGGTCCTTTGCCTGGGTTACTTATATAATATCAGGAGACCACTTTCTGCGAATGTAATCGTTTCCACACGCAGGAAGGTGACATGTTTTTTGACTGAAATAACGTGATCACTCCGCAGTTCTGCGTTTTGCGACATTCCTCACCGTGTAAAAACTAGTTAAGTACAGCGATGAATAATTGACAGGAAGTCAGCTATTTCACTGCTGAAATTAACATTATTTGAAAAACTGATTTGGATTTGAGTCTTTAGGAATGATTAAGACAAATTTTCTCGTGAATTGTTCCGTTTGGCAAGTCATACTGTGGATTTTGCAAATGAAGTTTAAGTGTTCAGTTTATTATTTTCTTATAAAAAAAAATACATATACATTCTTACATTTACTGGATTTTAACTGTTATATAGTATTATTTGAGAGCATACATGACTGTGAATCTATATTGAAGAATGTGAAAGCAAGAAGATATTTCAAAGATTTCAAATAGTCTCAAATTACATGCATTGTATGACAAAAATTAATCCATGATAATTTCGATAAAGTATATTTGAAACTGAAAAGTAATTAAAAATGGACATTTTTGTTGACTACATAGAGAGAAATAATATGTCTTTGTTGTCAGTTGGAAAGGAAAGTGTGGAAAACATATTTAGTTTTAAAATGTTTTTGACATATAGAATACTCAGAAAATAGATTTTAAAAAAAAATTACAAAGCCTCCAAATATTCATCAATAAATTAAAAAAAATATCATGAATAGATTACTAGTAATCATAATGAATAGTTTTGAAATAATAATGTTAATCTGAAAAACAAATGCAATGTGTGGTATTAAGTTTCTGCTGGGATCTGAGAGGTAATAGGTAGGCTAGTTTTTACATGGATGCGCATTTATATATAGAAAATGGAATTAAATTCAACTCTGCTTCCAATATTTGTCAATTCATCAACATTTTGGCCTTTGTTTTCGCTGGGGTTGTATAAGAAACAGTGGAAGCAAGAAAAATCATTTTTATTTTCTCTTACAATGAAAAAGAAGAGCTGTATTTTGGAATATAGCTAATAAATCTGATAACTGCAATGTATAACATATCCATCAAATGTACATTTAATATATAATACACTTCAGGTTTTTTTCAAAGAAGAAAATTTCAAAACAGACACAGACAAGAAAAAAGGATATGCATTTTTTTTCATAGGACACTTCCTTGTGAATCATATATCCAGAAATAAAGGAGAACATTTCCCTTGAATGTAACAAAGCGAAACAATGAATGAAAATAGATATGCAATACCACAAACAAGTAAGTATAATTTGTAACAGACAATCCCTAATTAGATACCTTCTCCAAACAAAGGTTTCAATCCGCACCTATTATTTTCTACTGATCTATTACCCTATTGTATGGTGGCATATTTCTGCCCCTTGTGTGCAAGTTATTTTTCTATTAAATATGTCGACATGCAAGATAGATATGTTGACATGCAAGATAGTTATGTCAACATGCAACATAACTATGTTGACATGCAAGAAAATTGCAATCAAATAAATATTATAAAAAATCTTCAAAAATCTCAAATATCGCATACATGTGACATCAAACATGCTAGATGCTACTTATTTATGTTAACATGCAAGATAAATATGTTGACATGCAACTTATTTATGTTGACATGCAACTTAGTTATGTTGACATGGAACTTAGTTATGTTGACATGTGAGATAAATATGTCGACATGCAACTTATTTATGTTAACATGCAACTTATTTATGTTAACAGGCAAGATGAATATGTTGACATGCAACTTATTTATGTAAACATGCGACATATTTATGTCGACATGCAACTTATAAGTTGCATGTCAACATATTCATCTCGCATGTCAACATACCTAAGTTGCATGTCGACATGAATAAGTTGCATGTCAACATAAATAAGTTGCATGTCAACATAAGTAAGTTGCATGTCGACATAAGTAAGTTGCATGTCGACAAAACTAAGTTGCATGTCAACATAAATAAGTTGCATGTTAACATATCTAAGTTGCATGTCAACATATTTATCTTGCATGTTTACATAAATAAGTAGCATCTAGCATGTTTGATGTCACATGTGGGCAATATTTGAGATTTTTGAAGATTTTTTATAATATTTATTTGATTGCCATTTTCTTGCATGTCAACATATTTATGTTGCATGTTGACATACTATCTTGCATGTCAACATATCTATCTTGCATGTCGACATATTTGATAGAAAAATAACTTGCACACAAGGGGCAGAAATATGCCACCATACTATTGCACAAAAATGCGCTGAGCTTTCAATTTACCCCTCTGAAAGTGCAAAGTACATACATATTTTTTAACGTTTAAAAATTCTTCTTGGTAAGACCCGTTCATATAGGTCTAACTGTTAAGGTGCTTTAAAGAGTTATTCTTGTCTTATTTCTGACAAATCGATAAATTCAACATTTTTGCTTATATGTCTTATAAATTTAGATGTAAGGGACTTAAAAGATAGTGCTTTTCTTTCATCGTTTATTTTGTACCTATTTGAATAGGAAATCAAAAAATCTAAGTTTGAAATAAGGCAGTGACGATATTTTTGGAGGAACGACTTTACAAAATTTCTATTGAACAATAAATTCAATTCAATTTTTCAAACATACAATGAATTCTTAACATATGATTAAATGTAACTGAATGTAATTAATTGTAATTAAATGTAATAATGTAATTAAGATTATTAATAATTATGGAATTTCTTTTTAAATCATACATAGCATAGTTCTTGTTAACTTTGTAAGTTCCAATTCTAGAACAAATTTGAGCCAAAATCGGCAAAAATGGTCAAAACTAATATATATTTTGGTATCATTTTACATCATTATATGACTTCTTTAACATATGTGAAAGGAAGAAAAAAATTAAATAGCAGTACCACCCACATACCTTATTGAAAAAGAATAAGGCATCATATTGTCGATTTGGAAAAACATTTTTTTTTAAAATTATGTCGAATAAAAAAAAAATAAGGACATGGACCTCATCTTGCTCCTAAAATAAACTGTTCAAATAGATAATTAATACCGTCACTCATTTGTATATTCTTCCTAAATTTGGAAACTTCCTTAAATCTAAATACACTAAATATATGAAACATTTCACCTTAAAAGTAAGGCTTGTAACCGTAGATGTAGAAATTATTAAACATTCACATAAAACATTATTTCCATTTTTTAAATGGCTGGGTATAAAAACTAATGTTTACTCTTTTCAACAAAACTGATACAACTGACTTTGTAATAGTGTATCTATCTAACAATTCTTTAGCCAAAAATCCAGGATAAGCCAAAGTAACATACCACGTACACTTTAACTTAATGCAATACAATTGTGTACAAGTATATAAAACAACAAAAAGAGAACCTTATGGTTCTAAATGATCCTCTATATAATTTTGTCAATTTTGTACCTTGACATGTATATGGATATCAGTACTGACATTTTAGAGTAATTTTCTTTTCTTTTTTATCTTTGTTTTATGTAAGTTTTGTTTCTCAAATAAAACTGACTTAATTTTATATTCCCTAGTGGAATTCAAACTTCACAGGTGCATATCATGTGATATGACCTTTTCTTGGGTATATTTATGTTTTTACCCTTGAGCTTGGAGTTTTACTTATATTTTCAAAACTTTAAATAGGGCGTTTATATTTCCCAGGTATATTTCTTATGACAATCCCTTCTTTACGAATAATTTTGATTTTTGAAAAACTTTACCTTTGTGCGAAGGCTTTCATTATTCAAAGACATAACCTTGTGACAAGACCTTTCTTTGGATAACAAAAACCATGACATAAGCCTAGAAGTTTAATCTTTTTTCAAATACATTAACCGCTGCCATAACCTTCGATGGTTAGTACTAGGGCTTTCATATTTCACAGGCATATTCCTGACATCAAGAATTCCATGGCAGGGGCGTAGCCAGGGTACATCTGATGTGGACGCCTGGATAGGCTGGGGTTTGGGGCCGCCATAAGGCCCCCAAAGAGTCCAGGGCGAAGCACTAGTTGGGGCCCAGGGAGAGAATCCCGCGGAAGCTGGTGAATTTTCGACGATTTCGATGTGCATGTTTGACCCTTCTAAAAGCATTTTTCTAGCACTTTTTCATTAAGGTCTGTTCTTTCCTTGTACAAAATGCGGACAGTCACTCAAAAATGAGAAAAGATCTGTCCAAAAGCAAACCCACTAAAACAATTTTAGACTTTTGAAGCTCGACAAAATACGTATGGTAACATACGGTAGTTGGTTAGAGTGGTTGACTGGTGTAGACAGACCACGTAATTGACTGATAGTCAGCTAGGCTTACATTAATATTAAGAATTACTCTCTAAAGATTGAAAATAACAAAGACAGAGGAATTCTTTTCAACACATTTTCTTGCACATTACCTTATATGTACATTGTATACATTTTAAAATGAATGTTCATAAATATTCACAAATCTGGTATCTTAAACTTTTTGCAACAATTATAAAAACATGTAAAAATATACTACTGGTTTTAAGGAAGTGTACAGATGTCAATACTTAAATAGGCCTTGTTATCATTTTTTACGAATTTTACCAATTTTTTGATTTTTGATGTTCATATATAAAGCTGAATTATGATTTTTGAAGTCTCGCATGAATCCGATATTAGGTTAAAATTGGGGGGGGGGGGGGGTACCGTTTCAGAAGTTAAGCATTGTGATTGGAAGTCAATTTCCATTAATAGAAATTGAAATTTTTGGCATTAAATAAAATTATCGTTTGTTTTAAGGTAACTGACTGGGGTTTTATTGTGTGACATCTACAATAGAGAAACTCTTAAGAATGTAATTACACTTGGAAAAAAATCAGCAATATTCGATAGTAAACCAAAGTCCGAGAAAATCTTTTGATTTCAGTGAGGTGTATAATATCGTATTTTCCCCCTAGAAATGATTCTGTTGATTTTCATTTATTTTTTTATCATTAATTCTTAATATTTCTAAGTATTTTTTTTTTTTTTTAATTATTTACTAATATTTTGCAAAAATGATGGGTACGCTTTACAATTATTACGCCTGCCTCGCTCTCCTCTCATCTCTTTCTTTTTCTTTTCTTTTCTTTTTTTTTTTTTTTTTTTTTTTTTTTTTTTTTTTTGAAAATGATGTGGACGTTTTTGCGTACAAACGTACGCCTGGCTACGCGCCTGCATGGGGTGCCGACAATTTTGACCCCAACTTTTACGTTCGACCAACTTTGAAAACTTGAATCTTGGCCATAACTTTTGAATGGATGGTTCCAGGTCTTTCTTTTTTTTCACATGTGCTTTCCTTGTAACAGGATTGGGTTCCATTATTTTTATCTCTTGACCTTGAGTTTGGCGTTGGACTTGTATTTAAAAAGGTTTAACCTTGGCAATGGGCATCGGTGTTTCACAAACACATCTTGTTGCCAGTCATAATAACTGTTAGATCCAGAAACATAAAGTTGTACAATTGATAAAGGTTAGAGAGTTGTGTTCATAGTAAGACGGCCTCGTTCAGTTGATTTTTTGCTTTATGTCAACTATTATTATCAGTATTAACAGTAAACCTTATTTTGTGTATAGACACATTTTGTAGACATCAAGCCTGGAAGACAGACACATTTTAGAATTGTTATCATGGAAATCATTGCTTGTTTGTTAATTCAAATTGTTTAAGAAAAACGGCAAAGGTTAACTCTTTGGACTAAGGATTGTGTCATTTTGTGTATGCATATTCTTGATAAGTTTTAAAATACAAATAGACTCCCTTTTTACTATGTATAATTTTTTTTTCTGCACCGTATTGATATTTCTTTATTTTGTGTTTTTATAGGAAATGAATTTTAAAATCTGATATTTTAAGAATGTCAAGATGACGAACGGTTATTTATCTAATTTTTTCAAACAGAACAAATCTGTGAAGAGGTCATTAACATAGACCCATAGAAATACAGAAGTGTTATCAACAAGATGCTTATCTTGTATTCTTTGAATAAGATCAACCATATGTGTAGCACAGACGGAATCCGCTATGATGGAACATTATACACAGCACCATACACGTTTGACAGTATCTTTATCATAAATGCTTTTGTATGATCAGAAATGTTTCAAATACACCTTCCTACCGAAGAAAGACTTAAGAAAAAAAATTTCCAGCAGCGAGGAAAAGTTGTCTACTGGATATTTCCACTGCTGTAAAGCTGCTTGGTTGGATGAAGATCCATGCAAAAGTACGGTCTCCGGAGAGAATACAAATACTAATATGTGCCAGATATTAAAAATGTGTTTGTCTTGCAACCCGACAACCAATTGACAAAGATGACATTTACTGGCTAACTACCTTAGTTAATGCACCAACAGATGACACTTTGCTAAATTCACAGAGTACATAAGGGAGGCATGTATAGAAGGCAGATTCGCACCCCCTTCTTGGAATCAGTTACCCAGATACAGGAACCATTTTGGGGACTAGTACAACATATTATTCGATGAAAGTTAGATTGCATTTCTTTCAGGAGAAGAGGGGAATAACAATAAAGAAATACCGCAATGAAGAATGACTACAGTGTCTGATTAAATTGTAGGATATTGCAGGATTTGCAATCTGATTCATTGTAAACTTCCTAGTGGTCCACAATTAATTAACACTTTTTGCCACTAATTAAACATATTAAAAAAATCTAATTTTATACTGCATATATTTATTAAATATAAACAAAATACACATGAAAATGATTTATAGTGGCCTTGATAGTTGACGAGTATTAATATCGAGCTGAAAGAAAAAAAACGCTAATCATATTATACTGTATTATCATATTGTATCATATTTAATTACATTATATTACACTATACTATATCATTATGCATAGAAATAATCAATGACACTTACCTTTCATTCCAATGCCTGTAATAAGAATATACACGAGGATTTAGAAATATTTAATTTTTATAATAATAAATAGCTACATGTATTTCCTTTTGAATAATTTTGTCTTCTACTTAAGTTGTATTTTTTCATCTTTAAACTATTACTAAGGCTGAAAGAAAATCAACTTGTAAAATGCTTTTTCCACATAAAATGGAAAATAGCCGCACATATTTACCAAAATCTACCTGTGTTGATTACTTACCTCCCATGCCACTCATAGATCCGATACCGCCCATGGATCTCATACCGCCAATAGAACCAATACCGCCCATAGATCCCAATCCTCCCATAGATCCAATGCCGCCCATGGATCCCAATCCTCCCATAGATCCAATGCCTCCCATCAATCCTTTGCCTCCCATAGATCCAATACTGCCCATGGATCCCATGCTGCCCATGGATCCTATAGATCCAATACCACCCATAGATCCAATGCCGCCCATGGATCCCATGGATCCCATTGATCCAATGCCACCCATGGATCCGATACCTCCCATAGATCCAATACTACCCATGGATCCTTTGCTTCTCATAGATCCAATACTGCCCATGGATCCCATGGATCCAATGCCGCCTATAGATCCCATGCTGCCCATGGATCCCATAGATCCAATGCCACCCATGGATCCTATGCCTCTCATAGATCCAATACTTCCCATGGATCCCATACTGCCTATGGATCCCATAGATCCAATGCCACCCATTGATTTCATATTCATTCTTCCGCCCATAGATCCTATTCCGCCCATGCTTCCCATTGAACCAATGCCGCCCATGCTTCCCATTGAACCAATGCCGCCCATGCCTCCCATTGAACCAATGCCGCCCATGCCGCCCATGGATCCAATACCTCCAATGCTGCCCATTGATCCAATACCGCCCATGCTTCCCATCATTTTACTTAGGGGCATCATGCTCGTGCTCATAGATCCAATGCCACCCATACTACCGCCCATGGAACCTATACCGCCCATGGAACCTATGCCTCCCATTGACATCAATCCACCGCCTATTCCACCTGACATCATCCCGCCGCCCATTCCACCTAGAGATAAGCAGTTAGAAAAAAATGGCAATTCAAAAATTGATATGAAGTGGGATTTTTTTGTTAAAAGGTTATCTTTAGTCATTTCCATTTAATATTTTCAAATCATTTTTATAGCAGACATTTAATTTAAAATTTATTAAACATTTCTTTAAAGATACAAACCTGGACCATAGCTTTTTGCAGTGACCATAGATACGGCCAGCACAGCGGAAACAGCGTATAGAAGAGATGCCATCTGAAAAAGAATCAGTGAAGAACGGTATCATGGGTAGATACTCCACAAGGGTTTTTTTAACAGTGAAGAACAGCTTAAAAGATAGGCTTTCCGCAAGATTGCAAAAATGAAAGCATGGTTCTTCTATCAACTTACCTTTGGAGAAGCGGGAGACTGAATATTCCAATAGGAGAAATGAAACTCTGCAGGGATTCACTTACCATGTGAGTTTTTATAGAGATGAGATAAATAAGTTTCCTGATGTAAGGGTGTTGATTGGATAAATTTTGTGTATAACTTTGTTGTTGGACATGGTAACCTGACAGGGTAACACAAGGGTTCCTTTAGATCCCACACAGTATTTGAACAAACAAAGCCTTTTTTGCGTATCTTTTGTTAAAATCAGACATCTTCAACACATGTTACTGTGTTTTAATAATGAAGTAAAATCAACAGAAACCCTTAGGTATGCGTCACTGCGTTTCTGAAAAATGTCGGAACAATAACCTGTGAAATTTCTAAAAACAAACACAACTCTTTTCACATTAAGAATATAATTATATATCTTGCTTATTTTGCAGATTTTTAATTTGATTTACATGATGACTCTATATTGTACATGTATATTAAATCCATTCACAATTTAACAATTTAAAGGTTTATAATTTATTTTATGAATATTATTAGATTTTTAAATTTTGATCTACGTATCACTTACATCTCATGCCAGAATATAGGGATAAGCATGATCTAGGAGACATTTAATTAAGAATATCAACATTTCCCCCATATCTAAGAGGTTAAACAACAAATAAACATTTTGGACTGCAGAAAGAAAAAAATCCACTTTTATGGCTATGGTCGAGATGCATTACTTTTATTACCAATACAAATCAAATTGCATTTGTATTCTGAAGAATGATACAGCTTGGTTTCTTTTTCTATTAGAATTAAAGTTAAAGAGCAATATCTCACACAAGTCTACCTACAGCATGGGGCATTCGAGAAGATAATCCTTTTTGCCACAAAATTTCTATCTTAAATATGCTTTGCTTAAAAAAAAAAATAAGTGATTTGAAACTTATTTTACAGTGTGAAATATTTTGCTCCACGCTGGCTTTTTCTGGCCATAACACAGTTTTAATTCTTTTTTTCAAAATAAAATACTAGCATACAATGTAAACTACAGAAGGAATCAAAATAGAGTTTTGATAATAAAACCACGTAAAAATAGAAATAAAGTAGAAATCAGAAGAAAGAAGAAAGCCCTATTTAAAACGGACAAAGGACAGTCTGCAAATTGCATAAAATATAATGAGAAAAAAGTTTTACTTTTAATTTTGAATCTTTCAATAAGACAGCAAGTAAAGTAATAGTCAAATATTAAATTAATTTGCAGGATAATTTGCAGCCTTTTATTTAGAGACAATGAACATAAATCATCATTCTATACCAAAGAATTTCCCGGGGTATGAAGAATAAGTGACATTCAAATAAAATATGCAACCTACATAACGAAAATACTAGTACCCCTCGTGGAATATTTAGACCTTTGGACATTTTACAATGAACAACTGAAAGAATCAAAATAATTTTGATAGTGAAATACAAGAAAGAAACAGGCCTCTTTTTAAAACGAACAAAGGACATTGCAGTAAATAGACGCATAAAACAATTATTTTTTTTAAGTTTTAGAAATATTTTAACTATTGTCTCCTTTATCAAGATGGCAAATGAAACATATCGAGATAACAAACAGTATTCAAGATCAAAAGTTCATAAAACAAAACAAAATAGAGGCAGAGCAAACAAGGACCTCCAAAACATCAGAGGTGGGATCAGGTGCCATTGAGGAGTGAGCATCCTGGCCCTGCCGACCGGTCACATCCGCCGTGTGCTCCTTGTCACGATCTGGAAATACCGAAAAAATCCGTCCTCAATTCAGTGAATAAATAAGGGACTAACAATAAGTATGAAAAACGTCAGTCAGCATTTGACTCAATGTTAAATTATATTTGCTGACAAGGTCATTTTATCTCATACGTGTGGATGATTTAGCCCATGAGATAAAGCTTTGCTTTATCCACGGATAGATGCTTTATCAATAGCACTTCCGGTTTTGACACGATCCCTCGCTTCAAGATTTTATTTTTATTGAAACTTTTATTTGTGAAAATTATTGCCCTTATAAAATGAATGATAAAGAGCAATAATATCGTTAAAAGCAAGAAAAAGACTCGTATATACCAAAGAAGTGTCTTATTTTATCAAGGAACCTGTATTAGCTACTTGAAGACAGATGTTAACCCGCCACCTTAAATCGTTTTCGGAGAAAGTAAAGCCTAGCAGTTATCTTGTTGTTATTTTTTTAACATCTTCAATAATGCTTTCTTATATTTTACTATGCCTACCTAGTAATGTAGGTGAAACTTATCATGGATCAACAATGAATCTACAAGTAAGCCTAGATCTAGCCTTGCCTACCACGTTTTGTACTGCCACCGTACAAAGAGTTAATTTTTACGAACCCATAGTCCTTACAATTTACAGTCAGAAGTTCGTTTAAGGTAAATCTCCAACAATTGTTACATAATGTTTTCAAAGACGCAGATAGCAAAAATTCTAAATTTTGAACACGATCTACTTTCTTTCGAGGCATGTCAACGTCAACAGTGCTACGTCATCAAGTTATACGTCATCACTTTGAATAAGCAATCATTCATGTAGTTTCGAAGGGGTAGTCTAAAAGTTTAGTTAAAACGAAAGTCGTATGAGATAAATAGAACATCTATAATTGTGTGATTTGATATTGGCTTTATCCAACTCGTTGAAATGGTGTACATTCACTCGACAAGCCTCGCGAATATATATACCATTTCAACTCGTTGGATAAAGCCAATATCAAATCACACAATATAGATATCCTCTATGTATCGACCATAGAACTTATAAAATGATGACTTTAAACGGGACTAAATTATTGAACAAAAAAAGTTATTGAAACAAGAATATCAGCAGTCTCGTTTAAAGTCATCATTTCGTAAGTTCTATGGTCGATACAATGACCTTGTCAGAAAATACAATTCAAGTTATCATTGAGTCAAATGCTGACATTTTTCATACAAATTGTTAGGGCACTATTTTCACACTGAATTGTCTTGTCAACAGATTTTTCCGTTATTTCCCGATCATGACGAGGATCACATGGCGTGTGTAACCGGTCGGCAGGGGATGCTCACTCCTCCATGACACCTGCTCCCATCTCTCAGTGATGTTTGGGAGGTCTTTTTTCCTCTGCTCCTATTTTTGTTTTGTTTAATGGACTTTTGAGCTTGAATACTGACGTTTTTCATACCAATTGTTAGTCCATTATTTATACACCGGATTTTTTCCGTTATTTTTTGTGTTCGGCAGGGGATGCTCACTCCTCCATGGCACCTGATCCCACCTCTGAGGAGGTCCGTGTTTGCTCTGCTCTTATTTTGTATTATTGTTTTATGGACTTTGAGATTGAATACTGTTCGTTATCTCCATATCCTTCTTCGTTATCTCCATACATTTCATGTAATTGAAAAAGAATATTGCTTATATTGGTATATCACTGTCAGATTATTTTGAATTTTTTTATCATATATTGAAAAGCAAAAAAACTTATAATGGAGATCTTGAATGCTTATTTTTTTTTTACAAATTGTGTGCAAAATTCTAACCTGTCTACATCATAAAACCATTGTCACTATTTGATCAAAGTCAAATTTTAGTTATTAGAAGGATACGTTTATATACCCGCTTTGTATTCTTTCAAAAATCTTTAAAAAATTAAGTTTTTTTTATTTTTAATTGTATTTTTAAAAAAAGTATTTTACAGATACTCTCAAAGTGGTCATGATAACATATTGCGAAAGTATTTGACGGATTTTCACCTGCACTGTAGCAAATGATATATACGTATGGCCTAGTTAAAGTTATTTTCAAAAGATTTTGTTTTCATGCTAAGAGGTTCTGTAGATGATTTTAAAATGTTTCCATCTAGGTTCATATTTAGAAGCCACAAACTGCCAGTGAAAGGATCCCTCAAATGAAGACCTTTGCTGAATGTTGCGTTTTCTTTACAACAATTAAGAACAAGTATTAAATTTTAAGGGAGATGTTCCTTTTTTTAAATTACAAATCTTATTTTTCAACTCATGTAATGAAATATGGAGAAAACACACAGAAATTAAGCTTAAAATTCAATTGAAACATCACGAATTGAGAACAGATCAAAGACTGGCCTCTAAAAACCATCAAAGGTGGGATTAGTTGCCATGAGAGAGTTAAAGCATCACCTGTTGACCGCTCATACAGCCGTTTTGTCTATGTCATTATCGGGCACACGGAAAAAAAATCAGTAGACTACTGTAAAATAACGTTTTCAAAGGGTCAAAATTTCATTGTTTAAAGAAAAATATTGGTTCGTGTGGATTTAATTTCGTGGATGAAGAATTGTTACGTAATAATATCTGTCAAAAATAACATTTCATGGAGGAAATAAATTAGTTGGTCTCTTCATACCTCGAAAACCACGAAAATTCAATCCCCGTGAAAATAAGTAATTTCACAGTATCCAGTATCTAAATGATATATGGTTATTGAACTTATATTGGTGAATATTGGCTCAAGTTGGCTGTACAAATGCACAAGCATGCAATGTCTGGATTTAGAAATTATTCGTAGGTAGATCATGCTCTTACTCGTATGTATCGAACCATCTGGGAGATATAGGTATACCGGTGATAAGAATAAATTGCTAATCGCACATTGTTGGATTTGCGGGAGCAAAGAAAAGTACTATGATACACATCAGTGTATTTGTCTCATTTATAAAAAAAAAATTAGAAGAAAGCATATTTTGTTCAAAGCTTTAACTAATAATTGTTCTCATTTTTTTCCTGATCAGAAAAAAATGATTCTCTTGCACACTCAAGAAGCTCTTAGCACTTGTTAGTTTTTAATGTGACATTCTCTCCATGCTTTATGCTTTCTCTATTTATCAAAGTTTCAAGTATATTTAATCTTACAAGATTTGGCGATACGATCGATTTCATTCTTAAAATAATCCCGTAAATACAGATAAGACATGATAATTTAATTTTGGTTGTAACGCTGTACATGATTGGATAAAATATTTACTTTATATCGTATAAAATGGGTTGCCTACGTCACAATGACTTGCGTCAAAAACGTATCAATCCGCCTGACGTTACATTCAAATTTTGTACAAACTGAAGTCATTTTGTTAGAACAATCATCTTTTTTTCTTACATCAAATGAATGAAAATTAAATTATAAGCAATGAACTTAATAGCTACCCGTTTTATACGGAATATACTGGGTTGGAACAGATTACGCTTTTTAAAAACGTAAACTGCCCCAACCCAGTTTATACCGTATAAAATGGGTAGCTATTAAATTTATTCCTTAAGTGAATTTACAAATAAAAAATATTAACTGCATAAATTATATAACTTCTTTATTTTTTATATAGAGTAGCAAAATCACCATCATTTGAAGGACTGCGAAAGGGAATTCCTTTAGCAAATTCTTATCCATAATAGGCAGCTGTAACAAAATAAAAAGTAAAATTACTTTTTATTAATGAAAATGCAACAATTCTTATGGCTGACACACTAGGTTTAGGAATACAGAAATCAAAACATTCTTCATTACAAAGAAAAAATAAAATAATCATGGTTATCGTGAAGATTTAAGAACTTTCTTAGGAAAAAAATACTAAAACAACTCTTCTATGTAAATGTGATAATATTGTTATGGACAAAAACATAAGTGAACTTACATTTCATTCCGCCCATCATACCGCCCATGCCTCCGCCGCCCATCATACCGCTCATTCCTCCGCCGCCCATCATACCGCTCATTCCTCCGCCACCCATCATACCGCCCATCTTAACGGGCATCATCATACCCTTCATTCCTCCCATACTTCCTCCGCCCATACTTCCTCCCATTCCCATGGGCATCATCATTCCGCCCATTCCTCCTCCCATGGAACCGGCCATCATTCCTCCGCCCATGCCACCGGCCATCATGCCTCCGCCCATTTTACCTCCTTTAAAGGTTAGCCATTCATTATTAGCAAAAACATTTACATGTTCAAACAATAATTTGTTTCACGTATTTCATATTTTGAATGTAAGTGAATGTTGTATTTAGAGTATTCTATAGTTTTTTTCTTCTTTATTTAAAACATTTTTGTAAAAGGATTTGAAAAGTGAAAAAATGCAGCTGGAAAAAAAACCGAGTTAAATTTTATCCTTAATAATTTCATTTATTGATTACCTGGTCTGTAGTACGCTGCATTAGCGACAACAATCAGAGAAAGAACGGTCACAAAAGAGAAGGACATCTGAAACACAAATCATTTGCGATATCTTCAAAATATACATTGCATAATTTAAGTATATTATTGTTTATCCTTTTTCACTCGCATTTAATATAATTTTAATATACTGATTTAATGATTGTGCATTTCTTGCATATTATTATATATATATATTTTTAAAAGTCATTATCTTTAAACTAGTTATGAAGTATATTGTACGACATTAATCAATGAAAAGGCAAAGATAACGAGGGCAATGATCAAACCCCACCTCCCATTAAAAAAACCTATAAACAATATAAATCTGTGAAAAGGCATGAACAAGGATTTCTGGAAATTCCAGAGGTGAGATCAGATGCCCAGGAGAAGCAAACATCCCCTGTTGATCTTCAATCTTCAACTTTATTCTGATTAATACCGAAGTAATACTAAATACAGATATTTTATATCTTAAAATGCATACGTCGGTATCTAAAACAAGAAGACCAATATGAAAATACACTTACCTTGAGCAAAGGAATTAAAACGAGGACTGCGAAGGAATTGAAGAATTGAGAGGCGGAGAACTGTCGGAACTTGAAACCAAGATGGGTTTATATAGTTAGGTATCTTGGTGTTTTTCCGGTAGGGAATTTGTCGGGTAATCATTATGTTTGATGTATTACACGTCACACCTGACACCAAGTGTGTTAGACTTTGAAATATTATTTTTACGACATGTTACTCACCTGATTTCGTGTATGGATCATCGCACAACACACCTTAACATAATTTTATGATCATTTGAAATGCTGTTTTATTTGTTTTTCCTTCAATTTAATGCATGTTAAATTGTTTAGTTCTAATTTGATGGTTTAACCAATCTGCATTTTCTAATTAAGCATAAGATCTAAGAATCAAAATCACGTTGCTTACATATGCCTTTTATATAAATATTGAACAGTATTAACAACTCTGAATTATCTTGGCACAGACTTTCTTCTTTAACATGGTGTATTGAGCAAAGTTTAAACAAAACTTTTCATTATGAGAAAAAAATAATTTCTTTTTTCCTTTCTGTCAATGAAGAAAAAACCAAGTTAAGATAAAATTCTTATTGAGATAATGGTTTGAATTTCGACTTACAAAGTACATGTACTTTTTGGATTTTGAATTCAACCATTTATGACCAATTTATTCCATTTTAGGGCTTTTTATCAACTTTACAAATCTCTGCTTCATAAGAAAATAAAAACAAGTTGGATAAAAAAGGAGCGTAATAAGTGCCTGACGGATTTGTAACAGTTTAGTGGAATACCCAATCTTCGAAGTCTAAATAAATATGTTAATGGAGAACTCAGTATCCTTTTAAGGTATTCAATGTATAATGACTGCATTTTATACCCTAATAAATGAATGGTCCGAGATTTTCAATCATGGTAGCATTTTGAAGATGTTGTGAAATAAAAGGTGTCCCAACAAAGGAATTTACTAAAATGTTGATTATTGCCCAATTAATTGCATCTTGAATTTTACATTAAAATCTTTGGGCAGCGCATGAACTTTTAAAGCTATTGTAAAAAGAAATTTGAATTTTAAACAAATCTCTTGGTGAAAGTATGCATTAATTCTTTCGTCATGCACACTAACAACCTGAATTCTTTAATATGCATTCTTGCAGCATTTTCCTTTCAAGTTAAATACCAATGTCCATGAGATGAATATGAATGTAAATTTGAAAATATAGATAACATATTGACTGTAGTTTCAAACATTGCTTTAGCTATCTAGATGATAAGCAATACATTTACATTTCTTTCCGTCGTCCATATTAAGGCAGCAGTATTGGTAATACTTCATTTTGATTATCTGATATAATTTGTAAAATCTTGAAAACTTCCAACCACTCTTCACGTTCTTGGTAACATCAGTAATCTCACTTTGTTATACTTACTTTAAAATAAAATAAAGATTATTCTTAGACCATCTTTAAAAAAATATTTTGTTTGGCCATTTCTGGCTAGTTTAAACGTCCCAACTCAACATTTTTTTAACACTCCAGGTAGCAGTTATTTATTTAATGCATTCTGGAAATGAAATTTTTAAAGTTCAGCATTGATTGAAAAATTCTTAAATGAAAAAAAAAGGTCATGTGCTTACTGACCCAATTTTTTTCATCATGAATGGGGAGAGGACAAACCAAACAAACATTATTTCAAAGTTGGTTTTATTTGAAATGAATAATTTCTCAAACGTGGTAAATTATTGACATACAACTTGATGATACAAGAATAACAGCAGTCTCGTTTAAAGTCAGCATTTCGTAATTTTTATGGTCGATACAATGGTTTTTAAGCCATTATATATACACTGAATTGACGACGGATTTTTTCCGTTATTTCCAGATCATGACAAGGAGCACAAGGTAGGTGTGACCAGTCGGAAGGGAATGCTCACTCCTCCATGACACTTGATCTAAACTCTGATGTTTTGGAGGTCCGTGTTTGCTCTGCTCCTACTTTGTATTGTTTTATGGACTTTTGATCTTGAATACTGTTCGTTATCTCTATATGTTTCATGTATAAGATATTTGTATTAAAGAAAATATTAGTTAGAAGTTATTTTATTAATCATGTACATCATATCAGTAAAATTCACATACCAATCTTCTTATGTTAAGGACAGTAATGTGCATGTTTGTTTGCACAGCTATGTTACAACGCACTTTGAAAAATTACGCACTTTGAAAAAAATTTTCAAAGTGCGTTAAATTTGGGACCAAGCTAACGCACTTTGAAAAAATTATTTTTTTGTTCAATGTGCGTTGATATCGACTATATTAACGCACTTTGAAAAAAAATGTAAAGATTGATCAATATTCTCACAAATAATCGGTATGATAAATAACAGATCCTGGTTGGATAACTTTTTTTATGATAGTCACTTCAGGACATGAGATATTGACGTTTTAAACAGTTTTGATAAAATAAAAGAAAATGAAAAAAAATCAATTGTTTAAGATCATTAATTCGTTTCTTCTTTTATTTAATTCTAGTCAAAGTAGACGTAAAGGTGTAAATGTACTTTGAAAAATCAAGTACATGAAAATGTATTATAAGGATAAAAAAAAACTAAAACGCAATCTATTTGTTGTTCTTTCTAGTCAAAGAACATTTTGATTTTAGTGGAAAGATAAACATTGAGTTAAATTTGCAGTTATGAAGCAACAAAAACCCAGCTTTTCACAGGATCAAAACGAACCATGAGTAGAAGTTTTCAATGTACACAGTTTATAAAAGAAATAGAGGACGATTACAAACAAGGATCACTGTTTTAAAACCCAAAACAATACAAATATGTGAAAATGATATACAATAAATAATTGTAAATTCTAGAGTAGGATCAGGTATCACGGAGGAGTAAGCATCCCTGGTCAACTGATCAAATTCAATTTGAGTCATATATTTTGATCAGATTTACGGAATTATCTGTGGTAAAAAATCAATAAAGAGGGCGACAAATAGTATGTAATTAAATACTTTTATGATTACCCGTATATGGTAAAAACCATACAATTTTTAAAAGTTGATTTTAAACGAGATGGTTGAAATCCCAAAATAAATTTTGATTTAAATGGAATTCAGACGAGATTTTATATATGACTTATCGAACGCATAAGCAGTCTATGCCATTTTAAAGAAAAAAATAGAATTATAGTATCGGAGAAATTAAAACAGTCATTCAGTCGATGAGAGCGACAGATATTATGATGTTATTTGTTTTGCCTGCTTTTAACAAAAAACAAGCTCAATCGTTCGGCAGAACTAAGGAACATAAATTATTAACATAGTATCAAACGAGATCTCCAAACGATATAGATGTTATCTATGGTACGCCAAATTCACAAAAATGAGATAATCATAGTTTCACAATTGATAAGGATGGAACTATAGTTTACAAACCGTAAACTATAGTTAACGAGTTAAATTTTCATCTGTAAAACTATATTTAACGGTTGTTAACTATAAACGAGCTTAATTTAAGTTTATCTGTAATAAGCGTTAACAATAGATTTTGTTGATAAACACAGATTCACATTTGTAAACTATAGTTTACAATCGTAAACTATAGTTAAGAGTTGTTAATCATAGTTTCACAAATCGTGAAACTATATTTATCAGATCGTTAACTATAGTTAACGGTTTGTAAACTATAGTTTACAAATTGTGAGACTGTATTTATCAGATAATCTATGTTTTGCAATCGCAAATGATCGTTTTCGGTGTGTTAAGTATAGTTTACGGTTGTGAAACATAGATTATCGCGTTAACTATAGTTTACAGATGTAAAATATAGATTAACGTTGTAAACTATAGTTTACAGTCCGTAAACTATAGTTTACAACCGATAAACCTAGTTTATCGATTGTGAATCAATGATTTGCTCATTTTTGTGAATTTGGCGTGCCATAGTTATCTATGAAATCCTTGTTAAGATGCAAGCATATGTAATGCATTTTATCGTCTCGTATCCTGTTTTCGACCGTATTGTATTTTCGACTTATTTTTCCCAATCTGCTCCCCGTTCCGATTCCGCGCGGTAGAACATTATTTTCGGTTGCTACACTTGGAAAAAAACCTTTGAAGCACAACTGTAGTGAAAATACCCAAAATAATCAATTCAACGGATTTTCCCCGGTGGTTTTAGTCCCATGTCAGAAAGTCTAGTCTTTTTACTACTGCACATTTTATCTGTTAATTAATTAAAGCCGTAATCGGTTAATTACAAAGATTTTTTGATGAATTTTTTCTGAAAGAAAAATAAGATCACTGTCAAAGAGACGCATGAATATTAAAATGAATGGGTGGATCAAACAATTTTTTTTCTACCTTAAATATGAGCACTTTCTTACAGATTTTCACTGAAAAATGCAACGTAATTTCATTGATTTTTTTTTTTTTTGGAAATGCACAGCTACTGACAGATCAATTCAACCATCAAATAAATGTATCTGCAACCAAAATATGCAACCTGTTCAATGTTTTTTGAAGGACAGACAATCGTATTTTTATTGTTTGGAATATCCAGTGGATATTTATAACCAATACTGCTTGGGCGTTGATACTATATTTAGGTCGAAAACACAAGACGCTAATATTTTTGTAAGGAAAACTGTACCTTCTCCATATTATTGCATATAAATAAAATAAACACAAAACTGCAATTTGGGTTATATCATTTTATTTATAGACACACATGCTAACATTTTAAGCCCATATTTTTTCAGGTTCTATAAAGTTTGTGATAAATTGATAAATAACATCGAAATAGGTCGAAAATACAATACGCCAGGATATTACACTGGAGGATTTACTTTAGATAAGGTAAGAGTTTTCAAGCGAAATTGCTTTTATGAAATACTAGTAGCTCAAAAGTCCATAAAACAATACAAAATAGGAGCAGAACAAACCTGGACCTCTAAAACATTGATGATCAGAGGTGTTATCAAGTGTCATGGAGGAGTGAACATCCCATGCTGATCGGTAAACCCGTTTTGGCTCCTTGACATGATCGGGAAATAACGGAAAATCAATCGACAATTCAGTGTGAAAATAATGACCTAATAATTTAGTATGAAAAATCCCCAGACAGCATTAGATTCAATGATAAATTCTATTTTCTTGCGTATCTAACCAACTGAGAGATGTAAACCCCGTATGCAGATGATACAGGTATACAGCTGTTAACGTAAAAGAACAGCATTATAAACTATAATTTAACTGAAATAAGGTAGTCAAAAATATGAAAAATCGTAGACAAAATCATATCTGAGAGAAAATTTGTATTCTATGATTAAATTTAATTTCCTTTCCCTATAAACTCTGCATTTAGGACGTCATGGAGGTTTAAATATTATGATAAATAGAAATTCAAAGCATTATATTTCCTTTAGAATTAGTCTTATTCAATCAAATTAAAAGAATAGATTCATTGCATCACTAATTTATTTCTAGTTTTCACTAATAAAAAAAACATAGAGAATGTCAAACTCCTCGGGGTCTTTCGATGATGATGAATTATAAATACGGTGAGCGTCTTTACTAATAGGCGGCTGAAATAGAAGGGAAAAAATAAAATTGGATTATATGTTCGCTGAATCATTTAAAACTATCATTCTTTCTATAAAATTTTAGGATTAGAGTTTGATCAACAAAATTGAGGAAATATGAAATGTATCCTATTTAAATAATAAAACAACAACAAAAAAGACTTACATTTCATGCTTCCCATGCCACCCATACTTCCCATGCCACCCATACTGCCCATGTTGCCTGGCATCATCATCATACTGTTCATTCCGCCCATGTTTCCGCCCATTCCATTTTTCATCATATTCATCATTCCCATTGGCATCATCATCATGTTACCTTTGCCCATGCCGCCTCCCATTCCTCCATTCATCATGCCACCCATAGATGGCATCATCATCATCATTTTGTTCATTCCTCCCATGCCTCCGTTCATCATGCCTCCTCCCATACCGCCGTTCATCATGCCTCCTCCCATGCCGCCGTTCATCATGCTTCCTCCCATGCCGCCGTTCATCATGCCTCCTCCCATGCCGCCATTCATCATGCCTCCTCCCATGCCGCCATTCATCATGCCTCCTCCCATGCCGCCGTTCATCATTCCCATACCACCTCCTTATGAAAAATGCATTGAAATAATTTACTGACTACTTTTAACACCTGAATCAATTAATTATTTGATGATGGTCGTAGGATATGTTTGTCATTGTAATATTTACAAAAGAAGAATGGGATCAAAAATTAATACAAGTAATATATCTTCAGTACCTGGCCCATAGCCTGCGGCGCTGGCGACGGCAATAAGGCAAGAAACGGCAACTAAAGAGAAAACCATCTGAAAAGAAATGATTCACGTCTAAAATTGTAATTATGCATTACATGTTAAAATGAAGTGCCTTTTTCTTTCGGTGATATATTTGAAATTATTGCTTCAAAACAAGGTCCTTTTCAAAGAGGTCGACCCATCAGAACATAACAATCCTCAAGTATACTGTAAATAAGTTACATTTTCGTCGAGATTTATTTAAATTTCTTTATTTGAGACACCTATTTTTTGAATTTCCATCACATACTTTGAAATAATTGTCATGACTACGGCATAATTTATATTGAATCTCTCATGGATCTCACAAACCAGCCAGTATTATGCTTAATATAACAAATCAATCTGAAGTATATAGAAGTAGTTTTCAAAAGACGAGTGCCGTTTAGCATATCTTTACAAAGAATTAATTTTAACGGTAACAACTGAATAAACTTGAGAAAGTTCCACTCACCCTGAGCAAAGGTAATGAAGTGTCGGACAAAAACCCGGAGCAATGAGAGACGAAGCACTGATTAGATTCAGAACCGAAGGGGGTTTAAATAGTCAGAGTGTTTATCCTTTTTCCGGTGGCCAATTAGCCGGGTGATCATTATGTTTGTTGTATAACAAGTTTATCCTGACAAAATGTATGTTTTGACTTCGATGTTTTATTTTGGGACAGTTCATTGTTTTGATGTACTGTATTTATCGTGTCTGACACACCTTGACACCATTTTATGGTTCCCATCTATTTTTGGTCTATCAACTTTCTGAATTTTAGTACAATTTTAAATACTCATTTAACAGCTTTTAAAACTTCAAATATAATTTTTAAATTAACACACACATGAAATAAGCATAAGAATTATAACATCATTTTATTTGCATTATATTATTGTTCACAAATAAAAAAAATTAAATAAAAGATTTTTTCTAGGATGTGATCTTTGCAGAAAATCATTACGCAATTTCTATAAAGAGAAAAATACTTTTGTCATTATTTATCGTTTTGTGTATGATAAAATAGGTCAGCATAGATGTTTTAAATTAAAAAAAAAATGTCCAAAAAAACCCGCATGCGTTCTCGCTGTGTATTGCTGAGAAAAACACTGCGATGAGATGCTGAACGTACGTTGAGACAGAAAGATAGACTGATGGATTTGAAAGAAAAAGCATCTTGACACAATTTGCAAGTGTTGCATTATTTCTGCGTTTCAGATCAAGATTTAATTAGCCAGTAAAATAACTGCTTGTTTTTCTTTTTGCTTCCCATACCTTCAATGAAATATTGGAGATAACGAACTCAGTTTTCAAGCTCAAAAGTTCATAAAACAATACAAAAAAAAAGAAAAACAAAAACGGACCTCCAAAACATCAGAGGTGGTATCAGGTGCAGTGTAGGAGTGAGCATCTCTTGCCGACCGTTCAAACCCACCGTGTGCTTCTTGTCATGATTGGGAAATAACGGAAAAATCCGTCGGAAAATAGATTTATTTTCAGCTTCCATCATTTTGCCCATTGTTAGATGAGATCACCATACCATTCAGTTCTCAAATGGTTCATTCTTCAATCAAATTCATAATTTCTACGAGTAAAAGACAATGCATAAACCTTGAGCAACGTCTTTCAAGCTCCAAAGATTTGGAAAGGAAATTTAGATCAAACGTAATGCTAATAACAAAACGCAATGTATGGTTACAAAATAAGATGTTTATAAATTTTACTTAGTCGTCTTTGTGTTATAAAAGGGGTAGTCCAATGTCTTTTAATTTCCACTTACTTCATAAAAGAACAGTTATGTTTCCAATTCCTGGGTAAAAGAACATCCTGTTTAACCGAACATAAACACTGTAAGATAATTCATGAAATGAATGTCTTTTAGTTATTAAAAAAATCGCACGAAAATGTATTTTTAAAAAGAAAGAGTTAAAAATCATTATTTGGCTGAAAGATTAAGTGATTTTTATCTAAGGAAAGCTTGTTCGGAAAAAATCAAGATAAACTTAAAGATTATTATATGGTTGAAAGATACAGATGAAAGAGTGAAGATAATGAACTGTAACTGATCTCAAAAATACTATGAAGAAATAAATCTGTAAATTGTGCAAACCACGGACCCTTGGGAATTCCTGTTGGGATCAGGTGACTACAAAGAGGAATCCACCGACAAAAAAAAAAACCTACAAACAATGAGAACTAGATTTACGCAATTTTAAAAAAATATAACCTTTCAGTTCCTTGATTGTATTCACTTATAAAAGTGATTCATATTTTCTTTTTTTTTTTTTTTTTTTTTTTTTTTTTTTTTGTTTTTTTTTTGCAATTCAAAACCTTTGAGCATATGATTTTTTTTTTTTTCTTTTTTCAGTTTGTTGAATGTCCCTTCGAGATTTTTTTACTCAGAATGAGATGGCACCAGTGGTCGGAACTAAGGGCCTCTGAACTGGGAGGGATCTTTTTTGTGCCAACATATACTGCGACACGAGACCTCAATTTATACTGTTTTATCGAAACCGAGATAAAGGGGTCAAATCCTTACTCTGCGAATCTATACCAAAACCTCTAACAACTGCATCACTCGTGCGATATTTATTATTTGTACTTTTATTCAAAACTACCAAGCTCTATGATAAACGTGATGACTAACTTTTCTATCGTCAACTTCCTTTACTTATGCAGCAATATATCTTCATCACCTGCATTCGGAGTTTATATATCTCGGTTGAATCAATATGCAAGAGCATGCTCTACGTATGAACAATGTCTAAAAAAAAAAAAAAAAGGTAAATCATTGACAAACAAGTTGATGAAACAAAAATTTCAGCATGCTTACTGGCATTTTTATACTAATTGTTCGTCAATTATTTATACACTGAATTGACGACGGATTTCCCTGTTATTTCCCGATCATAACAAGGAGCACACAGCGGGTGTGACCGGTCAGCAGAGGATGCTCACTCCTCCACGGCACCTGATCCCTCCTCTGATGTTTTTGAGGCCCATTTTGCTCTGCTCCTGTTTTGTTTTGTTTTATGGACTTTTTGATCTTGAATACTGTTCGTTGTCTCGATATGTTTCATCGAAACCGATACAAAAGGGATCAAATCCTTACTCTGCGAATCTTTACCAAACTCTCTAACAACTGCGGCACTCGGGCGATTTTTATTATGTGTACTATTATCCATAACAACCAAGCTCTATGATAAACGTGATGAATTTCCTCTCCATGGCACCTGATCCCACCTTCAATGTTTTGGAGGTCCATGTTTTCTCTGCTCTTATTTTGAATTGTTTTCTGACTTTTGATCTTGAATAATGTTCGTTATCTCCATATGTTTCACATATTGATGTGAAGGTTTACATTCGTTTATACAAACTTTACATGTCCCCTTTTAAAACCTTCATTTCATTTTATGAATTTAAATAAAGTTCTCATTCTCCAGGAAGAAAGCATGATTCCAATGTATAGCAGAAGAATCGCAGAACATGTTATACATGCTCTTGAAGTATTTAGTCAGCAGCCCTCACTTCCTTATCAGATACCACGTGTCTATGGCTCCTTATTTTAGAAAAGAATACTGTAGATCGGCAAATAATCACGATGGTTATAATTTCACTATGTTCGCGATTTATAATTTCTCAGCGAAATTAAACCCATCGTGAATCCTATTATTAGTTTTAGAAACGTTTGAATGCTTATATAAAATCTATATTAATTTCTTGCAGCGTGAAATTAAAGCCATCGCGATTGCTAGTTTTTGAGAATTCGTGAAATTTATACACCGTAGAATCAAAACGATTTACAGTATGTAATAAGCCCCACCTCATGTATTTCTTCATGGACTTTTTGTTAATAATTGACACGGCTTTGAATAGAATTCAGGGAATTCAATCTCAGGTATTACAGAAGCAATAAATTATAAAATTATTCAATTTCTTTAAAAGGTATTGTAGTTATTTTCATTTTCAGGTGGTAAATTAAAGAAATTAAAAAACTATGCCAAATATATTATTAGTTTGACTTTTTATACATAGTTATGTTTTAACATGTAAAGATAATGAGGAATTTCATTTATTCCTGAATTCTAGAAAAGACATGAAATTCTTATTCTCGGAAATACTTGTATTTACATGTACTTTTATCAGTTATGTTATGATGTCACTTTTCATTTGCAAAATATTTTTTTAAACCATTCTGATTGCACAAAATGTCTTCCAACTATCTGTAGGAATTTTCCATAGATACAATTTACGCCCTGTTATAATATTATATTCGTTTGAAGTAAAATTCATTCAAAAACTTATACTTGAAAAGAAAATAAAACTCTTGCTTTGCTTTTAACTCGACATTTAGATATCACGACGGACGACGTATTATCAATTCAAAATAACTTCTGAACTCATAGGTGGACTCAACATAAAAAATAAACAGTACACAACTGTTTCTTATTTTGATATTTTACTAGAAAAAGAAAAATTGTTAATGACAACCGAAAAACAAAAGTTGATGATAAACAAAATGACTTTTTCATCGTCATCTTCCCTTGCTTTTAATGCAATATACAATCATCACCTGCATATGGGGTTAATGCCTTCCAGTTGATTCGATACACAAAAGCATGTTCTACCCACGACGGATTTCTAAAAACGATAAAAGTTTCGTTTCGTTTAAAGTTCTATTATCGATAAAATGACCATGTCAACAAGTAACAATCTTTTACTTATAATTTGGAATGAATGCTGGTGGACGTTTTCCATGCACACCAATTGTTTAACCATGATTTACATGCTGAATTATCTAGTGATTTTTCCTAATCATCAAGGAGCACAAGGCGGATGTGAATGGTCGGAAGGAATTGTTCACCTCTCCAGACTAACTGACCCCACCTCTGATGTTTTACGTGCTTGGTCTGCTCCTGATTTTAATTATAGCGAGCGCAGCGAGCGTCGCGAAGCGAGCTCAATAGACTAACGTGTATGAACAGAGGAAATTCGGATTGAAATCTGTACATATGTCAAATTTCTATATACATTGTCTGTGTTATATAATGTCCTTTGCGCGAATAAATCAAAAAAATAGTAAAACAATTAAAGGAACATTGTTTCTTACCGAATTCTTAACGAAATGATTTTGCCTTACCTTATTCAAAAAAAATACCCCCATGCCACAACACCGGCCTTCACCTTTTCGGAAATGATAAAAAAATGACGTACAAACTTACGAATTTTGCGAAGTTATGTATTGCTTCCGTGAGATTTCAGGGTGCAAAACACAGTTTTATGTATGACGTTATCAGGACGTTACTTGGTGAGGGACAAGCAAAAATAAAAAAATAAAATGGAGGATTGTTACATAGACTTCTGCATATCAATGGAAAGATAAAATTGTCAAAAATATCCAACTAAATACATTCATCAATTACTTAGGGGGTATTTGACACCTGAAAAAATATTGGGTTGTTCATGCATCCATTTTCAGTGCACCTATGCATTTTTAACCCCCCTGCTCAACAAAAACAGAAAAAATCAGACAAAATAAGTTGTATGCATTTCACAGAACAAGTCCTAAGGTTTTCTTTTAGTGTGCTTTTAGGGTACATTTTCCACCTCTTGAAAGAGCTACATTACCTGCTAATTGACTCATGCAATTCTGCACATGTGAAAACTGGATGTTTTGGGAGTTATCTCCCCCTAAAAAAAGTCTCACAATTTTTTTTTCTAAAAATGAATGCACATTTTTTTCTTTAAATATTAAGATAAATTCTACTTTAGTGTTAAAGATGCAGTTTTCATCTAGACTCCTATAAATAGCAGGAAAATCCCTACCCAGCATGCTTCTCTCTGGGAAAATCATTATACAACTGTGTTTACATCAGAAAAATTTTGCATAGCAACATGGTGATGACAAAATATACAACAACTTACTTGAAAAAACGATTTAATGCAATCTCTTTTCCATAAAACTAGCGTTTTCCTCAAAAGATGGCGTCACTTCAAGGGACATAACTTTTGAAAAAATGTTTGATTCAATGCTTGGGAAATGATTTCTTTTTATTGTTTTGTTTTATTCTTTTTCTTTCTTTTTCTTGAATGATAGACAGTGCATGTGTAGGTTTATGAAGAAATAAATGTCACAGTAAAAAATTATAATGTGTATCAAATTTTACTGTTGATTTTACACTATCACGTGACGTTGTGATCCGACTTTCCGGATCACCACATTAGACATATACTCTCTGAAATAAAAAAAACAATATATCGTTAAAAAGCATCATGCTTTGTTTTTATTTTAAAATTCTAAAGTATCATTTTCTAAACATGAGGGGGTATATAATGAATTTATCATTATAACAGTAACCTGACAGGCGCGGATCATCTTCGGCGCTTCGCGTCTCGTTAGATCTGATGATCATATGACGTGATAGACCCTTCAGATCAAGTTACTGTTAATAAGGCTGTAACGGATTAGAAAAAATCGAACAGGTATATATTATATAATTTGCCAAAACATTGAAAGTCACTCCTTATAATTTAATTTTAATATAATTAAACAATTGTGGATGTAAAATTGTGCAGCTTTTTCTGAGTTCAAATTTGCCGCTCTATAATACATCCCTAGTAACGGAAGTGATATGAAACAAGGGGAGGTAATAACTGATACACAGATCTAGCAGCCATGATGTTTGTTTACATATGAAAACCCTTTGAAGTTAAAGGTACATTTATTAAATCTGGAATTTTCATGCTGCCCAAGGACTGGAAATGAGGGGATTGCATGGATACAGATGATTCAGCTGGTTGTCAAGGGGGTGTGTCCCCATACCAAACTAGGTTATTGAGAAATAATTTGCATTTACAACCAATTTTGGCATACAGCATCATGCTACCTTTGCCCATGAGAGCTAGAATACAAACAAAATTAAATTATAATAATATATATGTATTGCTTAATGGATTTTTTTAACTTGAATACTGTTTGTTATCTCCATATTTCATTTCATATAAAATGTCTATGTTATATAAGCCGATGCAAGAGTAAAAAAAAAACAGAGAAACAGAGTAAGAGTAATGGTAATTCAGGATTTCTCAATGATTTATAAATTAAAGAAATCTACAAACATGCGTTATGCATTTTATTTTACTGCGATTTCAGGGTCAATTTAACATAAGTTCTCAAGCAAAAATCAAATAAAGAAATATTATAATTTTTCCAAAATAAGATGTCAAAAATATGAACCAATTCACTTTCAGAAGAAAATTTGTATCCTATAGTCCAATCCACAATTTGAAATAGTTATCTCCTTTTGGGGGGTCAACCAAAAAGTCAAAAGGGAAAGTAATGACATTTCTTTGCTTTACGCATTTGTGTGTGCTCCGATAAATTCACAGTGTTAAAATTTTTTTTCTATCGATATATGGGTAGCCCCATCTTGGGGCAATCATTATACAAGATTTACATAATTTTTCCAGTCAGATGACAAAGTTACAAACCAGAAAACTATAAGGGCTACTGTGAGGATTCTATGGGTTTTCCCCAAAAGATGGCGGCCAAGGGACATAACTTTTGAAAAATGTTGATTTAACTATTCTCTCATTACATTAAATTTTTCTTTCCCTTTAACCTGATTTATGAGATGTCATAAAAATTATAATGTGTAGAAAATCAGATAATTACTAATATCTTCCCAAGCATTAGACTTATCAAATAAAAAAAACAATATATCGATAGCATCACTATTTTATTTTAAAATTCACTAGGCTCAAACATGGGAAAAAGCAAAACCTGTCTGCGCTGAATTACAGCAATAAGGTCAAGAAGCGGCTGTAACAGAGAGAAAAAACCAAAACATGGAACAATTTTTAATAAAACAGGATGAGTTTATTTCAATTACTGTATTAATATTAATATGAAAACCACAAAACTTACACTTCATGCTGCCCATAGATGGCATCATCATACCGTTCATTCCTCCCATGTTTCCGCCCATCATATTCATCATTCCCATTGGCATCATCATCATGCTACCTTTGCCCATGCCGTCTCCCATTCCTCCGTTCATCATACTGCCCATAGATGGCATCATCATAGAGTTCATTCCTCCATTAGCTGGCATCATCATCATCATTTTGTTCATTCCTCCCATGCCGCTGTTCATCATGCCTCCTCCCATGCCACTGTTCATCATACCTCCTCCCATGCCGCCGTTCATCATGCCTCCTCCCATGCCGCCGTTCATCATGTCTCCTCCCATGCCGCCGTTCATTCCCATACCTCCTTTTAAAAATGTATTTAAATAAGTGTTAATTATCGATGGTGGTAGCTTGAAATTTTCTGTAATATTTCACACACAAAATCAAAATACGAAGAGAAATTTAAAAACTTATTTGTAAGGAGATTATAATTTCAGTACCTGGCCCGTAGCCTGCTGCGCTGGCGACAGCAATAAGGCAAGAAACGGCAACTAGAGAGAAAACCATCTGGAAAAAATTAAGACAACTGATATTTCAATTATGTATTATATGTTATAACCCTACTGTAATTTTACAGAATCCTTCAGACAAGAAGTCTTCAAAACAGCCAGTTTATGACAAGGATTATGCATTTCAAATACCGTGAATCAAAGGTTCACTTAATTTTCTAAGATAAGTGTCACTTAACATAGCTATATAAAGAATTAATAAAAACAATTACGATTAAATAAAAACTTTAAACTTCCACTTACTTTGAGCAAAGGTATTCAAGTGTCGGACAAAAAACCCGGAGAAATGAGAGACGAATCACTGATTAGATTTCGAACCGAGAACGGTTTATATAGTCAGAGTGTTTATCCTTTTCCGGTGGCCAATTAGCCGGGTGATCATTATGTTTGTTGTATAACAAGCCAAACCTGACAAAATGTATGCTTTGACTTCGATGTTTTATTTTTTGGACGGTTCATTGTTTTGATGTTCTGTTTTAAATCGTGTCTTACACACCTTGACATAGTTTTATAGTTCTACATGATTTTCGATAAATTTTTTCTGCATTTTAGTGCAACTATTAATTGCTTTGTCAACATTTAAAAAAAAAAAATCAAGTATAAGATATCATGCTTGCCATTTTTTGTGGGTCTTTTTTGGTTTTGTTTTCTTTTCCTTTTTTGCTGACAAAATTTCCTAAACCAGAATAATTGTTTCTAATTTTTTTCTATGATGTATACAAGGCAGTAAAAAATAAAATCCAAAAAGCTACCAGTTCTTTTATAAACACCGACAAAGGAACAAGAATTCAATAAGCATTTTCGCCAAAAAGAATATATTTTGTCATCATTTATGAATTCTCTTTAAACGTTTTGTATATGATGAATTAGCCCAGGAAGTTTCAAATAAAAGACAGAATGAGATGAATTTAAAAAAAACATCTTGGCACAATTTATAAATAATGTATTAGTTATTCATTTCTGATGATAGATTTGGTCTAAAAGGAGAGTATTTACAATTTATGCTCCCCAGACCTTTGATGCATGTATATAATCCCATGGTTAATATCAATTTTTTTCCTCGTTTCTACCTTTAATGAAACTCATCATTTCAATGGGGATCGTCATGTTACCATGTCATGTTGCCTTCTATTTCTTCTTTCATTTTGCCGTTCATAATGGCATCATCAGAAAACAATTCCAGCATATTTGCTTTCTTGTCTACATCTACTGACTTTATAAGATTAATTTGTACATGTATTGTCCCTTTGTCCATTTTTTCTGTTATTCGACAATCCTACGTTACTATTGCAAGAATAAACTAGAAAGTCTCCTATTGCATGCAATAGCATATGTTGCCCCGAACTGGACAAGACTTTCATTTTTTTCATCACTAAAACAATATCCATTCGCTAAGCTTGGACAACCTTCAACTGGTATCAGTCCTATCAGTACTTTGATTTAAAAATCAAAGTTAAAGAATTTTCATTTTTCCCCTGTTTCCATGGAAACTATTGACAATTTGCAATTTTGAAATCCAATGAGCACAATTACAGATACTAATCATTACATAAAAAAATTTCATAAAGAATGTTCAAGGGACCAGAGAGAACATTCGCGGACAATATTCGTCGCTTTTTGCAGGTTTCCATGGCAACGGTAGCCATTTTGAAACCAGTGATCCTCCTTTGTGGAAAGTTTCAAGAAGATTGATATAGTTATCTCCGAGAAACAGCCCGTAGAACAAAAACATGCGTTCAGTCGCAATATGTCGCCCGACTTCGTTCCGAGCGACATAATTATTCCTATACTTTCTGAAAGAGTAAGGCGGTTATGAGAGTTTTATAAACTTTCTTAATGTTTTGGAAATACCACTTATTATTTTTAATATATATTCGAGGGTTGATCCAAAAGAAATGTCACAGTATCCATATCTTTTATATTTGGCGCCATATTATCAAATACAATATATCAAAAGATGCACAAATACAAATCTAATCAACATTGGAATTTTCATTTAATAATGTTTATTTAAATTCATTTTATAGATGTTTAAAACATAAAGCATTGGGGATGTCGCCGCGTCACAACTGAACGTCACATTTTAAAGTGTATTTTTTCTTACAATGCAAAATACAAACACATTTAAAAGATTCTAAAACAGCACCAAATCTCTCTCTCTCTCTCTTTTTCTTTTTTTTTTTTTTTACACAATTCAAGTCATTTTCTAGTCTTTAATTGAAAATAAAATGATTGGTATTTGTGATCATAAACATTGTTGTTTACTCTCTTGATTGGAACAAAGGGATTGTCGAAATGGGAAAAAAATCGGCTCGACGAGTTGTAATGCATTTTTGCTTCAAAATATGGGAATCATCACTAGCGACAGTTACGTTAATTAATTAGACTCACAGAATAAAGAATGTAAATAAGAGACTTCTTTATAGATGGTTTCAGTAATTTTGGGCGGATGATGGGTCATTGAATGATAGCAGAGGACAAAAGGACCGAAAGATAGGAGAGGAGATCGGACGGAAACGTTCAGTAGTGTCTGACGTAGTCAAAAAACACAGACGGATAGAGTGACATGTGAATTTTAAGTTTGCCTTATGCTACTGTTCAAAAAAATTGACAGAGGGCTTAATTATGAAAAGAGTGAGTGTATAATGGTACAAACAATTCTTAGAGAAAGTGAAGTTGGTGAAAGTGTTTGCGAATCACAAATATTTTTTAAAGAAACAAAGGGGAAACGCTTGAAAGTATGACAGCGTGTATCCGTCATATGACGTTATATTTAGGTGCGGTGAGTACCATAAATGCACATTGGTTTGGAAAGTATACATCATATTCCTTTGAATTTTTCAAGTCTGATTTGAAATAAATATAGCTTTCATCATGTATAATTGTGTTGTTTTACGTCGATTTATAGCAATTTTATCAAAGCTGTGACATTACTTTTGGATCAACCATCGTATATATACAGAAAGAGAACAGCTACACACAAATATGTCCTAATGTTTTTTTTGTTGATGTACCTGACTTTAAATGAATATTATCTTTTCTTTATCCCAAATATAAAAACACTTTGAACAAAAAGTTTGCAATCTACGTTAATCTTATTATAATTCATTCTAATAATCGTAAATGATAAAATTACAAATTCCTTAAATAGTTCTCATAATACCTGTAAAATATTTCGAAAGTTTTGAATTTTATAATCAAATAAGTGCAATGATATTTTGTTTGATTAAAAACTTTGTCCGTAGATGGGAAATAGATGCAAAACTAATTCGAATAAAACGTATTTCGTCTTATTTCAATGTGCTAATGTATCTTAAGGTATTCAATGTATATAGATGGGATTTTGAACAATTTTTAAAAATTTAAAGGGTTATAATTAAAATCGCAGTGCTAGATAACGATAAAAGTGAAATAAACCAAATTCACAGGACTGATAACATGTAAGGAGACAGTCATTTTGAACTTTAAAAGTTTTGAAGAGTTATCTGCCCTTCATGAAAGGAAGAAATTTTTTATATTTCTGAAAATTTCTGCGGTAAATTATTTAATTTATTGCATAGTTTAATAAAGAGGGGATTCTTCATATTTTTCACTAAGAGATTTGTTTGAAATTCAAATTCCTTTTTACAATTTCTTCTAAACATGTGCTGCACATAGACTTCAATATAAAATTCAAAGTGTAATTAATTGGAAAATAATTAATTTTTTGTAAATTCCTGTGATGGAGCATTTTAATTTGATAACATCTTCAAAATGCTTCCATGATTAAAAATATCGGACTATCATTTATAAGGTACAAAATTTGGTCGTTATACATTGAATATCTTAATTATATATTAATTTTTTTTTTATTATTACGCTAAAAATATGGTGGTGGAAAATATCAAGAATTGTATCAAGGAACGTGTCTCAAAATTACGTCTTTTCTAAAAAGATATTTACAGCCAACTGAAAGTTACAATCATTTTTTTTATTGCTAAACAACGTTAAATCTATTGTTAATTTTTTTTTCTATAACATTGTTTTTCATCAACCCTACGGGGTGTAAAGATCGGACAGGTGTAATGCAGCTCTCAGAAGAGCATCTCGAAAGTTTCGATCTTATTATTGTATAAATTGAAACTCAGTACTTCTAAAAAAATTAAACTATTTTATTAATTAGATTTAACTGCATATACTCAGATTTCTGGAAGAAAATAGAACTGAAAATTTGACGCACCCCTAACAAAGGAAATGAATAGTTAAATAACAAAGAATCCGAATAAACGAAACGAAATACACGACAAATCTTTATTGATAGATTATTTTTTCCTTTGGTTTATTCATCAGAAACTGATGGTCTTTAAGGTCAATGTACTTCATGTACTTCATGTCAAACATGATATTAATGTATGCTTTAATTTACACATTTTATTTTTAGAAAAAAAAATGTTTTGATGCATAGCGTGGGCCGTGTTAAGACACACCTTAACATTGTTTTGTAACTCCTCGACATAATCTTATTCGTCTCGCCCTTTGAATTTCACTACATATCACACTATTTACTTGTACTTTTATCATCTTAAAATACATTTTTAACAAGTCAGAAAAAGATAAACGAACCTCTTGAATACTACCAAATCAGCATTTTATTAGTGTCAACTTTGCGATGTCGACTTTAAGGTAGGAAACATTTTCGTTCAATCAACTCAATATTCCTATTGCAATTGCAGTACAGGGGTGTGATATTTCAAGCAAAATGTGAAACGTTGCAATGAATATAAACTTTTTGAAAAACAGGTTTTTAATATATTTATTATAACAAAATAATTCTTTATATCCATTTAACATAAATATGGTATGAACAATTATAATTAATTAGAAATACTATTGGCTTATTGTGGAAAATGTAAGCATAAGTACTAATGTAAACTATAGTTCACTATAGTTAACTATATATCAAAGTTTTAACTATAGTAAATCAAGGTTTTTACTAAAGTTAATCAAAGTATTTCTAATACTAATTTCAGAGCATGATACTTTTTTTTTAAATTCCCATTAGCAAAAGAAAATATTACATGTATTTACAGATTAATCAAAAAATGTACCTACTCTGTATTTCATTGAAGAAATATAAAGGCTCTAGATCTTCAATAAAACTTTTAAAGTAAAGTTTCACAGTAAATCAAAGTAACATTTACTCTACTTAACTTCAGTTAACTATTAATAGTGAATTAAAGAAAATTTTTATTAGGGTAATTCAGGGAACAAGGTTAAAAACATAATTTTTCGCCCATTTGGCCCTATGGTGCAAATCATAATTCTGAAACCTTATTGCATACATCTGTAGGACATCACAAAGTATCGAAAGCCATTTTTCGACCCCAACTTGCATGAACGTAGGGTGAAAATGAAAATTCCGAAACCTTATTGCACACCTACAAGATTCCACCAATCATATTTTAAAATACAAAATTACTACGGCAAAATAAATATATATAAAAATAGATCAAACTCAGGGAACCAGTTTTTGCAGAAAAGACTCCTCCATGAGCAAGAATATTCCAAAAAGACAGCATTACTATAGATGTTGTCAATAATAAACTCGAGCATATTTTTTAAAATATCAACTTCAGAGTACTTGAGTGTACAAACAGAATGTTTATTTTACTAAATAGTTTTGCAAATGAACAATGGCAATATCAGTAAATTTACCATTTTTATTGTATTTGAAGTATTTGAAACCACCAACCGTGTGATTTTACTCTATGAGCACTAAGTAGACATGCTACCTTCACTTACTCGATTGTAATTTTATTCCAGATGCATTAAAAAAACCTCAGTCAATTTTGAGGAATTATATTTTTCGTGTATGCTCTACAACAAATAGTGATAGTTACTGTTTTATTACTGTCTAACATTTTATCGATAAACAAAAACACAAGAACTATATCTTCGATGATACTAGTATTATACTGTTTTTGCATACTCCACGTCCTACACGTCCGATGATTCTTCATACTTTTTGCTAAAATAGTAATTACATGTACTTGTTTTTTTTATTTCCTCCTCTTGCTATATCATACTTGATGTATACTTGTATCATGATTTATGAAAAATATATAAACGAACAGTATTTAAGATCGAAGTCCATACAAAAAATATAAATCTGGAGCAGAGAAAACACGGATCTCTAAAACATCAGTTAGGGTCAGGTGATTTGGAGGAATAAGGATCCGTTACCGACAGTTCACACCCGCCATGTTCTTCCTATTTTGATTAGGATATAACAGGAAAATGCATTGACAATTCCTTGTGTAAATTATGGTCTAACTATTGGTTTCAACAACGTTGTTCTACATTTGTGACATAATGATAGGTTGTATTCAATTGCCGACAAGGTTTTTATATCCAACATAGAACTTTCAAAATGATTTTAAACGTGAATGTTGATATTTTTGCTTCAACAAACTTTTTTTGTCAATGACTTCTCGCGTAAAAGGAATTGTTCTTACATAGAACATGTTCTTGAGTACCGAATCAACTGAGGGATATTAATCCCACGTACATGTTTTCATAAAATTCTACTGATTATTGAAATCGCCATTTATTGCGTAAAAGTTGGTATAAATTCGTCAAATATTAAAATGCCTCTCTCAATTCTAGTTTTTTTTTTAATTCTGAGGCTTTAGGGAAGGATATATGGAAATAACAAACAGTAGTTAATATCAAACTCCATAAAACGATACAAAATAGGAGCAGAGCAAACACGGACCTCTAAAACATCAGAGGTGGGATCAGGTGCCATGAAGGAGTATTTTTTCTGACCGGTCACACCCGCCATGTGCCCTTGTCATGATCGGGAAATAACGGTAAAATCCGTCGTCAATTCAATGTATAGATAATGAACTAACAATTAGTATGAAAAACGTCAGTCAGCATTTGCCTTAATGATAAATTGTATTTGCTGACAAGGTCACTGTATCGACCAGAGAACTTACGAAATGATGACTTTAAACGAGACTGCTGATATTCTTGTTTCATCAACTTGCTTATCAATAATTTATCTCGTTTAGGAAATTGTTCATACGTAGAGCATCTCTTGCGTATCGAATCAACTGAGATATATACACTCCGCATGCAGGCGATGAAGGTATATTGCTGCATAAGTAAGGGAAGTTAACTAGAAAAGTTGTTTTTATCAAATAGCTTGGTTGTTAGATTACCATTAAGGTCTTTTTCAGGTAAAATATCCAAGTATGAATCATGTGTCAGACTCTGTGGTATCTTTTATCTCAAGCTCTCCAGGATACATATCAACGTAAGAATGGAAATGACCATTGTTAATTGACGATACGTCGTCGATATATCTAAATGTCGAGTTGAATGCCACAGCAAGTGTTTTCTTCTTTTCACGCATAAGATTTTGTACAAATTCTGCTTCATATGAATACAAAATTAGGTCTGCTAATAACGGAGCGCAATTTGTACCCATGGGAATTCCAGTAGATTGTTGGAAGACCTGGTCTCCAAAAACCACATACACATTCTCAATCAGAAACTCAAGCATCTCTTTGATGTCAACTTCAAAGTACTTGTGTGTGCAATCAGAATGTGTTTTAATAAAATAATTTTGCAAATGACCAATGACCAGGTGAGTAAATTTACGAGTTCCATTTTTATTGAAAAAGCAGCTATCAATGATATCAAAAAGCCTGAACTTTAATTTATCGTGGGGAATTGTTGTGTATAAAGTTGAAAAGTCGTAAGTTTTTAATCTGTTGATTTTGTTAAAATCTTGTGATTTCAAATTGTCCAAAAGTTCTTTGGAATTTTTGAGCATCCACATCTGATTCACACCACTTCTTGAATATATTGTTGCACAGTACTCTTGAAGTTTTTCCTTCACTTCTGTCAATATCTTAGTGAGGAGTAACGAAAGAGGCTTGGTTGAACATTTACCGGAACACACAATGTGTCTTTGTTTGTAAGGATTTTTATGAAGTTTCGGAATCCAGTATATATATAGGATAATTCAAATTCATTTTGACTCTGGGGAATATTAAAGATATTTAAAACTGACATATGATTTTGAAGAATTTCTTCCTTAGAAAGGAAGTATGAGTACAAGTAGGATTACCACTTGTAGAATTAAATCCAAGTTCTTCTAAAAGATATTTATATAATGAGCCTTACAAACGAAGACAATGTTGTTACCTGCTTTGTCGGCAGGAACCAAAATTTTTAACGTCATCGCGTCAGATACGAGATTTCTCTATCTCAATTGACAGAGGACATTAAATCAAAGTTTGGGCGCATTTTATGGGCAACACATTCATGTGTAAATTTTGTACTAATTTACATTAAGTGATGATCAACATACGATTTTGTTATTGACAAACAAACTGACTCGGTTCAAAAGTAATAACGTAGTTTTAGTTGCAGAAACAAAAACAAATTTTTCTACAACTAGATTTTAAGCGACAATAATTTATTTGTGATACAGATGTAACAAGGCAAACACAGGTAAAACTCCTCGGGGTCTTTTACATATGATGAAATAAATCTACATAATATCTCTTATCCTTAATAGCGACCTGAAAAGAAATGAAAAGTTCATTAAAAATATGATTTATTGTTTAAACTTTAAACAAAGCTTATTTTGTTTTCAGTATTTTGAATTTCAGTTTGAAATAGTTATAAATGTAGGTACTTGTGAAAAAATATGGTATTTTAAAAATTGTATTCATTTAATCCCATACCTCCCATGGCACCCATATTCCCGGCACCCATCATGTTAGCCATCATATTGTTCATACTGTTCGTGTTTCCTCCCATGTTTCCGCCCATTGCAGCTTTCATAATCATTTCCATGGGCATCATCATATTATTTTTGCCCATGTTGCCCATGTTGCCTCCCATTCCTCCGTTCATCATATTGCCCATAGCTGGCATCATCATAGAATTCATTCCTCCATTGGCTGGCATCATCATCATCATTTTGTTCATTGAAGCTCCTCCATAACCGCCGTTCATCATGCCATTAGCACCGTTCATCATGCCATTAGCTCCGTTCATCATGCCATTAGCTCCGTTCATCATGCCATTAGCACCGTTTATCATGCCATTAGCACCGTTCATCATGCCATTAGCTCCGTTCATCATGCCATTAGCTCCGTTCATCATGCCATTAGCACCATTCATCATTCCATTAGCACCATTCATCATTCCATTGGCACCGTTCATTCCCATACCTCCTAGAAAAAGTAAGCATTCGTTATTGGCGATTTCAAGACATATCATTTTCCTGTAAGGTTGGTATTGTTGTGTCAGTAAAGAGATTTGGTAGCATCAATAAGACCAACCGTTGCAATTTTTATCCTAATCAGCCTGAATTTTCTATACATGTTTACAAACACCCTTAACATTATTTAAAACGAAAAAAGGTAATATATATGTATTTTTTTAGATTTTGTAATTTGTACTAGATTAATTCTTTTCTGTGGCTTAATGATTTTTTTTCTCTCACTTTTTCCTAGCCTTAATGTACATAAATTCTAGTTAAATTGCTTTTTTTAAAATATATTGTATGATCCTCCTTTACCTGGCCCATAGGCTGCTGCATTAGCCAAGGCTATAACGCAAGATACGGCAACAAGAGAGAAAAACATCTGAAACCGAAAAAAACATAAACTTCATATTTCAGTAGTGCATATTTTTAAGGATATTTGTTCCTCAGCCAGGAACGATAACTTTTACGACTATATAATTCAATTTTAAAAGTCTCAAAATAAAGCTCGAAATCAGCGTTGTTTCGTGTAACAAATTTTATTTCCTGTAACTCAATATGATTCAAGATTCTCTATTAGCCTAAGATACGTTTTTGCAAAAAGTTGATATTTTTTGTTTAAATGTAAAAGAACGAAATATATTTTTGAAGATAGCAAATTTCCTTTTATCTAGCTTTAAACAGAAATGTTTAATAGTATGATATAAAAAAAGAAATATTTCGTGATGATTTTACTATGATAGCCAAAGATTTTACTATACGTATAGTATTACAATTCAATTTAATAGTAGAACCAAAATACCTTATAAGTATTCATACATATACAGTTTTCTCGAAATGTATAGATAGCAATTTTTTTTAAAATCCTAAAATATCTGGTATATTTCTTGGTCAAATGTCAATAAGAAAATGCATTGCTGGTGGCTTAACTCGATTTTTTAAAAATATATTTGAGATTTGATAATCTTCTCTTCGCAATATGATTAGCTGTTAATATAATGATGACCCTTTGAGAAAAAAAATGAATAAAAATTCTTTATTTTGTGAATTTGGAAACATTTCTTGCGAGCATTTTCGAACTTCCCTTCGATCTATAAATGTAGGGATATTTTAAATACCTCTTCCTTTCAAAAAGCATAAACTTGCCATAGATTCGTAAAAGTTGTTAAATTCATTAATCAACAATTGGATTTTTAAATTGTACTCACCCTGAACAAAGGAGATGTGGGAATCGGGCACAGAGAAATCAGAAGAAATGAGAGGCAATGCACTGCAGGATTTCGAACCGATAACGATTTAAATAGGTAGTCTGTTGAGCCCTTTTCCGGTGGCCAAAACGTCGGGTGATCATTATGTCGGATGTTTTACACATCAAACCTGACAAAATGTGTGTTTTGACTTCGACATGCCATATTTTTAGCAGGTCAGATCATTTGATTCCTAACGTAGGCGCACTGAAACATAGTTTGACACAGTTAGGACTTTAAGGATCGAGATCACCGGCACTTTTTTTTCAATTTTTTAAAAAGTTCTTGAATTGCAAACAAATGTAAATTTTGATAAGATTATGTATTTGAACAAAGTTTACATCAATAAACATTTATACAGGCGCAATGGAATATGGAGCTTCATTTTTGCCTTTAAAAGTTTTACTCTCTAGACATTTCAAAATAATTGATATATTGTCTTTTTACATACGAGGGTTGATCCAAAATGAACAGTGTTTAAACCGAATATTTTAAAATAAAAAACATTTTAAAACATTGTTGTCAGCTGGACATTTCAAAAGTAATTGATATATTATCTCTTAAACCTCTGTGTGATAGCTGATTTTCACAAGTTTAATGTACATAAATGCCTATACGTGTATATTATTGATATAGTAGTTGTTTTCCAGTGGCATAAGAAATTTATTTTAAAAATAAGTATAATGGACGGGTGTGACATTATGAAATTATAATGATTGTATTTTTAAAAAATTTATTGAAGCCATTGTAATTAACTGTTTGGGGTTGTTAAAAAGAGCAGAGAATAAATTTCTTTCCATTTTGTAGCTGTCAAGTTGAAGAATTTGACAATTTTCCATTTATAACTGTTTCAGAGAATAAATTTCTTTCCATTTTGTATGAATTTGACAATTTTCCATTATCAGCAGGTTTCATTAGTGATTTATTAGCATAACAAGCTTTGATCCTTTTTAGTGAACACAAAGACCTTGATATTGCATGGAATTTCTTATAAATATTCATTTCTACAAAAGTTGTACCTCTTTCAATCTGCAATTATTGCTTGCAGTATGTATGTATACGTTAAATGTTGATTTAAATATAATAATTGTGTTGAATGTTGTTAAATGGTAAGAAGTTACTATGCTCATCTAAAAGATCATATCTATATTTTATTCCCTTGGACTTGTAGAATATTTTTTGAATTTCAATTTTGAAATTGTTGTAATACCATAATGGATGGCATGCATATTCCTGCCTTTTACTTTTCTTTTTTCTCTTCAATTTCCTGGAAGGTTTTCAGAACATATCAACTTCCCTCCAAAAATGATATTACACATTCTCCCGTGTAATTGACACATACTCTGATCATATGTTTAAAATTTTATCCATGTCAACACTATCTTTAATAAAATTTTCCACTTTGAGTTATTGTGTTAAATTATTCTGCTTATGATATCCATATAGACTTTAAAGTTGTCATTTAAGAAACATTGTCAACTATTTTTAATCCTCCCTGTGCATGCTTCTGAGTTACAACTTTTAAAAATTTTGTCTACATTTGATTTTCATTAAAAATCAATTTGTTTAGATTTCTTACATCACCTAAGGGTGGGTTTGGTAAAATAAAAAAAAATAAAAAGTAAAATTAATGACTGAGCTGTGAGATAAGTAATGATTTACTCAGTAATCAATGTGATTCTTTAAGGTCATAGGCAACGTACTTTGTGTGAGTAAGAGTTAAAAAAAACTGTTTATGTCTATATAAGTAAAACAAATTTTGATGAAAAAAATCTGGAATTTATGTTTCGTAATTTTTGTGTATTTTTCTTGGAATAATGCAAAAATTTTCATAAACCAATATCTTCCAAATACCCCTAGTAACGCAACATCTGATTGCACTTTTATCTTTAATTAAGAATTTCTTAAAAATTTATCAGTAGGTAAGGCACCTTGCGTATGTCCTGAAATAGGAGTTTTAAGTAAGATATTAATGCTCTCATCCGACGAAATAGTTCTAAAGTAAACGTTCATAGTAAATTAAAGTCATTAATATAATTAACTATAACAATAAGATAACAATAATAAATACTTGTTGACTAAATTGAACTTTTGTAATAGTTGCATTTGATGATTTCTAAAAAGATCGCGAAAAATGTGATATCTAAATTGAACTTTTGTAATAGTTGCATTTTGATGATTTCTGATCGTGAATCAATTAAGGCAGATGATTTTTCTATTAATGTGAATGTTTACAACATGTAAACAGAATTGCATTCGAAGGAAGAATGTTAACTTAACATATTACAGGTTGTAGAGAATGGTATTCTACTATTTTGTATTTATTTCTATCAAAAATTATTCACAAGGAAGGTTTGCTACATCAGTATATACTGAAGGTATACCTTGGTCTCCAACATCCTTACACAAATTTTACAACGTATTTGACCAAAACTTCGAAGAAGAAAAGAATACTTAATTTTGCAAAAATATTAATATGCTCTTTATAAATGTATACCAAAGTCATGTGGCCATAATATGCGCACAAACATTGGTTTTATGCAACAGACAATATTTTAGAAGTGAGTAATAATTTTTAGAAAAAGGCGATACTCTTGTTGTGTCTCCATAGTGTCGTTCACCTAAAACCTTCTATTACCTCATCAAGTTTATGTTTGTTGTATAATTTTATTTACCAGCTGTAATGACACAGTGTTCTACAGGCATGGCGACCGGTTCTAGTCTTTTCATCTTGGACCCATTTGTATCAGATCTTCGTGATTTCATTACCACATAACATATGTAGGCTTCCCCCTATTTATCACCATCTTGTGTAAGTTTTAAAGAGTCCGTGTTGCATTGAATGTTGGAAGTTGTAAATTAGTGTCCAAGCCTTAGTGTCGCTACAAGATCTTGCGGAAATAACTGGTAAGAGCTATAAAAACAAAATTCAGCTAGAGACCGACGTCTTCTTGAAAAATCTATAGCATTAGACCACTACCAAAAATATAAAGGTAAGATATTTAAATTAGTGTTTAAGATATCGTTAGAAACAAACAATACAAAAAAAAATACATTTATTTAGATAACATGTACATTAATTTTTTTAAATGTGCGGAAATGAAAGATAGAAAATGTAAACGAAATTGCTTTTGTCGTGACGAAATTTGACTTTTAATTCTAAAATACAAGGTTTACAATTGAAAGATACTATCTCATACAGAACGATGTGGATAATTTGGAGAGAAATAATTTAAGTGCTTCAAATATTCTATGAAAACCTAAGTACGTCATTATTTTAAATCAATGAAATTAAAATTTCTAAGAAATCGAATTATTTAAAGTTTAAATTTTATCTGTCCAGATTTAGATGATAAACCATTTATTTTTGGGCGAAAATGTTTGCAGATATCTTGATTTCAAAATTAGATTGCAAATATAAAATGTTGTATTCCAAAAATATGCCATCTGAAAAAAATTTTTTTTACAAATACTTCAAAGCTAATATTCTATATTTTCGTCATCAACATTGTTACCAGTGTTGTACAATAGGAGTTCCCCAAATAGCCAGCTTTCTAGGATCTGCACTTTAAAGTACGACTTCCCCAGAGGGGAAACATCACATTTGAATCACCCCCCCCCTCTCTTTCCTTTCCCTTTTCTTTCCCCTACATCATCAACGCTAAAATCATATCGATAATATTTTGTCTCAAAGTTTATTTGTACGTCAACTATTTTCGACTTCAAAATTGTTTTGATTTGATACGGATTCTTGAAATATATAAATCAATTCACATAGTCTCAACCTTTTTACTCACTGGGAATTAATAAATTGTTTGCTGAAAAAAATCCTAAAACTCCATGTGTCAACACATTCTTTGCGCAGCAGATCTTGTTGTTCATAAAATTAAAAATTACATCAGACCATACAAGACATTTAATAAGTTTAAAAATTGCCCACTTTAGGATCACATGTGGGGAAATCAAGAAACAACTAACCATGTGTCCCTTCATATATAAATACAGACATGATATTTCATAGAAGGACCATTTGGTCGGATTGATTGATTGATTGTATATTGTTTAACGTCCCTCTCGAGAATTTTTCACTCATATGGAGACGTCACCGTATGCCGGTGAAGGGCTTCAAATTTTGACCTTTACTCGGCACTTAGGGCCATTGAGCAGTGAGGGATCTTTATCGTGCCAACGCCTGCCGCTGACACGGGGCCTCGGTTTTTAAGGTCTCATCTGAAGGACCCGCAACTTTCACTTCAAAGTGCCTAGCGCATGGCGAAGGAACAGTTGCTACCCATTTTTTATCGACTTAGGTCAAGTCGCGGGCGAGATGCGAACTCACGACCTCCCGATCACGGAGCGAGCGCTCTACCGACTGAGCTATCGTGAACAGAAGGAAATATATGACTACTAGTATCACACGATGAGAACTACCCTTACACCAACTCACCCGGAAACCTGACTCTGGTGTGTGATATTCGTACGGAAAATCTCAACTCTAGAGTTACTTTAGAATAAATCCTACTCAAGAGCCTAGAGACTGTTTTCTGGGGATATGGGATCCCACTCTTGAGTCAGTTATCCGAGGAAAGATTTAAGAGGGGGGAAAACTAGCTGTACTCTTTTCCCTTTTTAATGTAAAGATTGAACTTAAAAATATTTCAGTTGATTCACTTCGGATATCTATGTTAATTCAATGAAACATTTTAATTCCTTAAATTCCTTAACCTTATAGTTCGTTACAGTAATTCATTAATTCCGTATAATATTTTTAGCTTATTCTCTCTTTTTATATTTTAACAACATGCCTTTTTTTCTCCAGATGACGTCATATCCCGTGTGTTTTATAGTAATTCTAGCAATAACAGGTGCACAGGTGTCAGCATATGGTCAGTACTCTATTAAAACAATGCGAAAGTTAAATGAAATTAGGACTTTTTTGCAAAAGACATTTATTCAATTTATATAACATGAGATAAGATTATTGTTTATATCAAAATAACTAATCATTACCAGAATATAGGAATTTTAATTATTTACAATAAAATTAGATAATCGGTTTGGGAAATGAAAGTAATGCTGCTAAAGAAGAGATCTATTTATAATACAGGACAAGGCAGAAACCAGATGCCTGGCGCAATGCCTGGTAGTGGTATGTCAGGGAATGGCGCCACTGGTAATGGAATGCCAGGTGGAAACATGATGCAAAAAGGAAATATGCAACCTGGCATGATGGGTATTGCTGGATTAATGATGCCAGGAAATATCGGTTCTTCTGGTGCAATGATGCAAGGGATGATGCCAGTCCCTGAACCATCACAGCCTGATTCAATGTCAATGATGACACCAGGAGCTATGCCAGAAAATATGCCAGGAGCTATACCGGGATCCATGCCGGGAAATATGCCAGGAAACATGCCAGGGGCTATGTCAGGAGCTATGTCAGGATCCATCATGCCAAATGCAATGATGCAAGCACCTGGAATGATGCCTGGTGCACCATCACCTGAACCAGCACCTGGAATGCCAGGAAATATGCCAGGAGCTGTGCCAGGAAACATGCCAGGGGCTATGCCAGGAAATATGCCAGGAGCTATGCCAGGTTCCATCATGCCAAATGCAATGATGCAAGCACCTGGAATGATGCCTGGTGCACCAGTACCTGAACCAGCACCTGGAATGCCAGGAAATATGCCAGGAGCTATGCCAGGAAACATGCCAGGAGCTATGCCAGGAAATATGCCAGGAAACATGCCAGGATCCATTATGCCAAATGCAATGATGCAAGCACCTGGAATGATGCCTGGTGCTATGATGACATCTGCCCCAGCAACAAGTCCTGGTTCTATGGGACAACCCTCACAGACTGGGTCTACACCAGGTGCCATGATTCCAGCTCCTGAACCTGCTCCTATGATGTCTGGAGCCATGGGATCTGCACAAAATGGTATGTCTGGAAGTATGATGAATGGCATTAATGGAGGCATGATGCAAGGTGGAAGAATGATGATGCAAGGAGGAGGAATGATGATGCCAGGAATGATGATGCCAGGTGGAGGAATGATGATGCCTGGTGGAGGTATGGGGCAGGGAGAGGGAATGGGACAAAGTGGAGCAGGAATGATGCAAGGAGGAGAAATGATGATGCCAGGAGGAGGAATGATGATGCCTGGTGGAGGCATGGGGCAGGGAGAGGGAATGGGACAAAGTGGAGCAAGATTGATGCAAGGAAGAGGAAATATGGGCACAGGTATGGGAGGAAGTATGGGAGGTGAAGCATCTATGCCATCTCCACCTCAACCACCGGAGCCTGCTCAGCCTGCAGAAATTGAAGGCAGTGAAATAGAAGGTGCTGCAGCTGGCGGGGCTGCTGGAGCCGGTGGAGCTGGGCCTAAGATGATGGTTATGGTAGGTGGAGGTTCAGGTGGTTCAGTGATGTCCTCTGGAGGCAAAGGTAGTGGTGACATGATGGTCATGACCCCAGGCAAGGGAAATGGCATGAATGGAGGAGGTATGGGACAAAACATGGGAAGAATGAGTGGCATGGGCAGTTTAATGGGAGGAATGTCACCTATTAATATGGGTATGATCATGGCGGCTGCCTCCATGATGAAAAGAATGAATGCAGGAAGTCAAGGCTCAATGATGCCTGCATCCCAGATGATGATGACACCCATGATTATGCGCCCTTCAAATATGATGATGCCATCTATAAATATGTTACCAAATATGATGTCAACTCCTAAGACTATGATGATGCCCTCTGGCATGGGACAAGGAATGGGTGGAATGATGGGATCCGAAATGGAAGGCATGACGGGATCTGGAATGGGAGGCATGATGGGACCAAGAATGGGAGGCATGATGAAAGCTGAAATGGAAGGAATGATGAAATCTGGAATGGGAGGGATGATGGGATCCGGAATGGGAGGCATGATGGGATCTGGAATGAATGGAATGATGGGATCCGGAATGGGAGGCATGATGGGATCTGGAATGAATAGAATGATGGGATCCGGAATGGGAGGAATGATGGGCGGTGGAAAGATGGCAGGTAATACTACTGCTAATGAGCATTTATAATGCGTTTGGCGTTTTTCTCAATCTCACTGTCATAAATGCTTAAATGATAATTTAGCATTTTTGCAAAATTTTCACTATGTTTTCTTTTCTATTTCAAGGTCCGTCAATGAAATGTAAGTATGGTTTCATTTTGCCTTGTTCATATCATTATATCATTTTTATACTCTTGTAAAAACTTAAAGATGATTAGACACAGATTTAATGTTATTATTTTCTCAAATTTTCTGTATAATTTCAGGACTTTAATGTTTCTATAGCATTTTATATGAAAATATAACGAAAATCATATTTTTTTTCTGTAAGTTATTAGTACTTCGAATTTCTAGACGCGTTTGATTGACACAACTTTTTTATCCTCAATACTGAAAAAAATAAGCAATTTTGTTGCGTATTAATAAAAATATTAAATGTATAATCAAGAAAGTTTAGATTAGAAACGTGCGAAAGCAAATCCATTTCCTAATAATGTCAGCCCGTGCTCAATGTTGTGTACGGAGTTTAACAAATCGAACACACCCCTGAAACGTACACAGTTTTTGTAGACAGGAAACGAGCTCTGTTATTGTTAATGTTTACGTTTTACCGGGTGTGTTCAATTGTTAAACTTTGCACATACCACTTAGAACGTACTAATAAAACTGATGTGTTGGTTTTGTTTTCGAACATTTCTACTCTGAATTTTCTGGATTATAGTTTTAATATTTTTCATTTAATACACAACAAAATTGCTACTTTTTTAAGCATGGAGGACAAAGTTTAAAATTGTGAAGGTGTAAGGATGTGTCAATCAAAAGCGTCTAGAAAATTGAAGTTTCAATAACTTTCAGAAAAATTAATATTTTTATTATATATTCGTATGAAATGCTGTAGCAACATACAAGTTATGAAATTATACAGAAAATTTGAGAAAATATAAACATCAAATTTGTGTCTATGCACTTTTAATATGACTTAACTTATTTTTCTTTTTTTTTTTTTTTTTTTTTGCAGATTGGTAATAAAACACATACAAATCCAAGCCAAGAAGACAATGAAAATTCTATATTATTATCCTTCACCTAAATAAAATAAATGCTACACAATCCCTTTATACTTTACATATTTTAGCGTTTATCTGATGGTTTAACATAGAGAACTGACTTATACCAAAGGGGAAGAATTAATTGCAAATGGCAGTGTTGAAGAGATCTTGTTCCCTACGCCTGACATTATCTCTTCATCCATGCATTTGTCATTCAGTATGATAAATATGAACGCAATTATTCAGTTGAAGACTTTCAAATTGAGTTGATTGAAGGATTTTCACACAATGGTATTTGAATCTACATTTGATTTTTTTTTTACTCTTTCTAAAAATTTTAACGCTTCGACATTGAAGATATTGTAGTATAGACATAACGTAGTCCAGACTTCAACTTGTATTTCTAAAACACGTGATTTAAATAATTTCCTGGAGTTTTTGCTGAATCTTTTTTACAATAATGGATACATCGCATTACTGTTTTGTACAAGTTACGGTTGACATGATGAGTTTAAAAATTAAGTTTTTGAGATTACTTTGATAAAGATCGTGTTCAAACCTTATCAAATTCTATGATGTGGTAAAGAGGATACACTGCACTTATATTAGAAAGAGAAAATAACTTTAATCAGACACACAATATCTAAGAGATAATGGCATTGTCAGAAAAGAGGGGAAAATGAGCTTTTGGTTTCTTTTAAAATCAGACAATCATCAAACAAACACTGCATTCAAAACAGATTCTACTGAAATTTAAAACGATGTAAAACTTGTATGGTTGCTTCTATGATTCTACCCAATTAATTGATGCTTTAATATTTAGCTAAGTTAAAACACAATAACTACCATTTTGTTAATTTTGGGGTCTTTTTTGCGATGAACTAACATCATCACAGTGCACTATACAGCTTTACATAAACATTTCATTAATAATTTACTGATTTGTCAGGTTCCCATAACGCCGCTGTTCTTCTGCATCTACTGGTGTAGTTGGGAACCCCAATGGTAAATAAAGAGGTCCCAAAAACTAGCTTCTGCATTGAAGCTCCTTTTTAATGCATTTACTTTAAAATAAAACATTTATTCCTCATGATTTAATTAAAATATTCATAATGTATATCATAGATAATATACATATAGTAAATCATATATACGAGGGTCGTTAGAAAAGTTCGCGGACACATTGAATTACGGAAAATCTATTGTGTACTGTGAAGTATGACCTATGTCTGAATAAATTCCTATATTTTGTTTATTGGTATGTAAAAAATCAGGTCCATATAATAAAATCTTGAAAATTTACAACGATTTTTACTATGAGGTCATAGGATTCACGGAGCAATCACTTGACGTAAGGCGACGTGACAACCAGATTTCAACCGGTTAAGCTTTGTCGCAGTTCTATAAATCTTTCATTTCTTCAGATTTTTCTTATATCTTTTTTCTACTTTAAAATTGAATATCTATATCAATACATATTATTTTTCTTCTATATAATGTCTTTTGTACTGATTCGGATATTATTGAGATCTTTAAAAAAGTCTATGCAGTTAATCGATCAGGTATTGAAACTATGCAAAACCATTATAGGCGCAACGCAACGTCCTTGCGATACGGGGGTATTGAAGTATCGATGGAGTTAATCATTCAAAATGTTAATCCTTCCATTCTTATGAAGCTACAGCCATTTGAAAACTTGTCTTTTGTAGGTGTAGGAAATTCCCGGCAGCATCTTGAACATTTTAATCTCTTTTTAGACATTTTCCAGTCTGCATACATAATTTTTACGTAGTGCAGTGCTCCATGACGCTCAATGACGTTCCGATTTTTGGCTGTGTTTTTAAGCATTGATCAGTTATAAACGGCTATAAAACTGTCATATACGCTCCAATTTAGTTTAAAATTTCTCCCAGTGACGTTTCATGAGTACTTTAGCGGCAGGTAAAATATCACAAAACTCTTTGCGGTACAATTGTACAATTTTAAATTTTAATAAAGAGTCTTTGTGATGTAAACGTGCCGAAATGTAGCATGCTCCGTGAAGCAAGTTTTTTCAAAATAAAAAAGCTGTATATTTTTCAATAATCATCGGGGAGCACCAAATTCTTGTGTATTTATCGGAAAAAAGGTAAAGATTTTTTCTGGAAAGTTTGACCGGTTTCGTGGAAATAGCGCGCTCACAATAGAACTTGTCCGCGAACTTTTCTAACACCCCTCGTATCTTTTATATGATATGTATTATACATTGATACCAAAATATTTCATCACAAAACATCTGGAAGTCAAAATGTTCAACTGATTGTCGAAAAAAAACAATTTGCTTATTTCCATTTGTTTTCTGAATTCTCTTCAACAGACTATGGTGTACAAAAAATCCCACCAGAATAATTATATTGCTCTTCACTTGGAAATTCTGAAGTCGTTTGTATAAAATTTATTTCTAATTAGTATCTTTATTCGTTACAATACAAAATTTTTCTATGCACTTTCATTTCAAATTTTATCATGAAATATTTAATTCGCAGGTTTTTCTTTTATATACACATTAAATATGACAGTTTACAATGTTATTTATAAAACACGTTTCCTTCTTTAACACTCTGTCATTATACAAAATAAATGAATTTTTAAAAATAAACAAGAAAAGAAAAAAATCTGAATATCAAATGAGAATGTTTTTTTTTAGAATTTTAACCGTTTTAATGTGTTTAAACTCGAAATTAATCAAGTAAGAACGTTAAATTACACATTTACAGTATGAGTCATTTCAGAGCAGGACGTTACATAAGCACGTTTTAATGTCTGTAAAACCTTCAGGTTTGCTCTCTATGCTTTAGCTTTTAATAAGTAAATTTAATTTTCTTACGAGAAGTACATATGAAAACTTAAAAACAAATATAAAAGTACATGGTAGAAAATGAATTCCTCTGCTTTCATTATAACACAGGACCATCTGATGTGTTAGTCAAGAATCAATTCACATACTAGTACTTTAACAAGATCTTTGAATTTTTATCATGTAGATTATGTTGCGAAAACAGAAAATAAGACCTGAAAAATATTCAGGATGTTTTCAGCGAGTTAATACATGTCTCGTGTGGATATTGTATTTCCAGCATCTTAATACCCTGAAAAAGAGGAAAAACTCGGATGAAAACAACATCAATATGACAATGATGGTAATATGTTTGAATTTCTAATTAACTTTACCTTCAGATGACTGAATCGTTATTTAAAAGCTTTCAATTATAATTAGAATTGTATGTTGCATAATTAAATAAATCTAATTTTGTGTTAATTATGTTTTATAAACAACTTTTAAAAAGTTAATGAATTTTATTTAAATATTATGCCTTATCTTTACAAATTAGAAATTAATTATATACAATAGTCATAATAAATAGAAGCTCTGTACTTACTGCTACGTTGTGGAGTGAATTCCATCATATTATTGTTCGAAGGTCCTTGTGCTATTCTAGACATAAAGTTAGACTTTTGACCATTTTGCTTTATCAGTTCAGCAACAGATGGCATATTGGGCATGTTTGTCATCATTTCAGCAACAGGGGGCATATTGGGCATATTTAACATCATTTTGGTAGCAGTTGGCATGGAAGGCATATTTATCATCATTTCAGCAGCAGTTGCCATGGAAGGTGCATTTGTCATCATGCCCTTAGAAGCCATTGTGTTCATGTTTGTCATTTTATTCATCATGGTGGGCATATAGTAGTCAGTTTCATACGGAGATTGCACATTAGATTTTCTGGCTTGATTCATTTTCATACTGGTCTGCATTTTTGCCATTATTTCAGGTGCTGATGACATCGCATTCATTAGATCGGTCATAGCCTTTCTATCCCCTATTATACTTGCCATATTAGGCATATTTTTAATCATGTTCATCATCATATTTGACCTCTCAGACATAGACGGCTTTTCTTCCTGTCGATTAGTCCCTGGTGCCATTGAGTTCATCATTTGGACAATGTCGTTCACCATTGCATTTGTTGGATTATTTTGAACTGAATTAAATCTGGATCGCTTCGGATTAAATATGGTTGGATCCCTGACGAACTGGTTCTGGTTCTGTCTGGATTGCTCCGGAGGGGTGATCGGAGGTCCGGATTGCATCACTGTCTCCTCATTCATGGCCTTGACAACAGTTGTGGGAGTTCCTTGGCCATTTGGATCTTACAAATGTATGTATCATATACTAGTTTAGTTGTATGATAATGAAAGCTGCTGTGAGAAAAATTTATTTTTGTACATATCTTTTTTTTTCATATGAAACACAGTAACTGTGGTCTATTAATAATTGATATTAATCAAGTACACTCCGTATAACGATATATCTGGTTTCTTGTTTGTGCTTATTTGTTCTAACCTTTCAACATAAAGAAAATAAATATGAAGAAAGACTCATTTTCAAAACTGTTTCTATTTCTTGAGTTATGTTCAGTTATTTCAGAGTTAAGATAGACGTCTCTTAAATTTGATTTAAAAACATCTTACATACTTGTATATTAAAGTGTAATCTGACTTAGGACTTACGTATCATTTGACCATTTGCGCCAGCAAAACAAAGAAAGGCGAATATACCAACGGCAAGCATGGTCAACTGAAAAAAAATATACATTATGGATTATTGATAGGCATTATCTATTTTACTTATTTTATTACTATTTACTTTCTTATTTGATTCACTTTTTTAGAATGTTGTAACATTAAAAATCATTTGAATTAAACAGATTAATATCATTAACAAAAAACAGAAATATTTTTTTGCATACCTAAATGAATGCATTGCGAAAAATCCTTTTAAATCAATGGCAAATCATAACCAAACATGTCTATGCTTCATTAAAGAGGCATTGAAGATTTTGATAATTTTGGTCATTCTTTTCAGATTTTACTTACTCTCTTTCTGTTTTGTGACCCACGGAAGGATTAAGAAAAGACCTGCGCGGTGCAGTGCCCCTAACCTGCCGCTCAATTATATATCATTGCACTTCCCCCGTCCATTTCCGTTTTTTGTGAATAATATCTTGTTCAAAGCCTGCCCAGACAATGTTAACATATGAAGTTACAATGTCTAAGAAGTCTTTTTTGATCTGCTGATCCCATCTTTATGACGAATCTACATGAATTCAGTTCATCTGACTTGTTTGATTGGCAGAATGGTGCATTTATTTTGCACAAAGGTGAAAGATTTGGTGTAAACTGAGGTCTGATCATCGATGTTTCGCGGAACAGATGTGTGTTGAATGTCTTGAAATATCATCGTTAAATTCCTCGTTCTTATTCTTTAAACCGTGAAGATTACTTTGTAAATGTCGGTACTGCTGACGATATGGTACCAAAGAAAAGATATCTCCCCCTATAACTTTTGTTGTTTTATGCAATTCAACTTCAATATATTCAGATAATTTTTTTTTACAATTTTAAACATACATTTATATTTTAATATGACTTTGAGAGAAAGTTATAATTAAAGTATTTGAGACTTAACCAAACATATGACATTAACAGCATAAACCCTTTAAAGAGGCATGGACACAGTTTCAGCTGATTTTTAAACCAATTTTAATGTTTACAATTTCAATATAAGGCATCCTCCAATGATTAGCAAAAATTTGAACGTCATTTGTTGATTAACAAATGAGATACAGAACTTCGTAATGTAAACAAGGCTCGTGCCTTGTTTTTGTTTACATATGGAAAATATATTTATAACAGAATGAAATTCAGCAAATCAAAAGAAACTGTCGAATCATATTTAAAATGAACTTTTTTATTGAAATTATCTACTTTGAACGAATATATATTAGTATATTTAAGGAATGAAGCTTATTTCAACAAGGCTCCAAATTTAGCATTTTTAAAAGTAACGTCAAGCGGAGTAATACGTTTTTGACGTAACTCATTGTGACAAGTTATGTTATACAAAATGGACTAAATCATTTACCCAATCAAATGACGTGTTACAACTAAAATTAAATTATCAACCTACGTAAACAAAAACATGACATGGACCCTGTTTATATAAAAAGGTTTGTAGCTCTAAATCTTTCTTGTATCTCGACAACTGACGTTCAAATTTTTGATGATCATTAGAAAGACCCTAGTTATACCCGCACTTTCTAAAGAAAGTTCGGGTATATTGTTGTTACTCATGTCCGTCCGTCCGTCCGTCCGTCCGTCCGTCTGTCACACTTTTCTTCCCTGAACTCCTCCTACATTTTACACAGTAGCTTAATCATCTTTTGGGAGATGGTTTGTGGGGTCATGTAGATGTGCAGTAAGGTTTAGGAATTTGGATTTTGCCCCGGGGGGTCAAATGGGGGTCGAAAAATGACGTTTTTTGTCCAAAAAGCCCCGTCTTCCCTGAACTCCTTCTACATTTTACTCAGTAGCCTAACCAGGTTTTGGGAGATGGTTGGTGGGGTCATGTAGATGTGCAGTAAGGTTTTGGAATTTTGATTTTGCCCCAGGGGGTCAAATGGGGGTCGAAAAATGTTTTTTAAGCAAAAAGCTCCGTCTTCCCTGAACTCCTCTTACATTTTACTCAGTAGCCTAACCAGGTTTTGGGAGATGGTTGGTGGGGTCATGTAGATGTGCAGTAAGGTTTTGGAATTTCGATTTTGCCCTGGGGGGTCAAATGGGGGTCGAAAAATGACGTTTTTTGTCCAAAAAGCCCCGTCTTCCCTGAACTCCTTCTACATTTTACACAGTAGCCTAACCAGCTTTTGGGAGATGGTTGGTGGGGTCATGTAGATGTGCAGTAAGCTTTCGGAATTTTGATTTTGCCCCAGGGGGTCAAATGGGGGTCGAAAAATGACGTTTTTTAAGCAAAAAGCTCCGTCTTCCCTGAACTCCTCTTACATTTTACTCAGTAGCCTAACCAACTTTTGGGAGATGGTTGGTGGGGTCATGAAGATGTGCAGTAAGGTTTTGGAATTTGGATTTTGCCCCGGGGGGTCAAATGGGGGTCGAAAGATGACGTTTTTTGTCCAAAAATCCCCGTCTTCCCTGAACTCCTTCTACATTTTACTCAGTAGCCTAACCAGCTTTTGGGAGATGGTTGGTGGGGTCATGTAGATGTGCAGTAAGCTTTCGGAATTTTGATTTTGCCCCAGGGGGTCAAATGGGGGTCGAAAAATGTTTTTAAGCAAAAAGCTCCGTCTTCCCTGAACTCCTCTTACATTTTACTCAGTAGCCTAACCAGGTTTTGGGAGATGGTTGGTGGGGTCATGTAGATGTGCAGTAAGGTTTTGGAATTTCGATTTTGCCCTGGGGGGTCAAATGGGGGTCGAAAAATGACGTTTTTTGTCCAAAAAGCCCCGTCTTCCCTGAACTCCTTCTACATTTTACACAGTAGCCTAACCAGCTTTTGGGAGATGGTTGGTGGGGTCATGTAGATGTGCAGTAAGCTTTGGGAATTTTGATTTTGCCCCAGGGGGTCAAATGGGGGTCGAAAAATGACGTTTTTTAAGCAAAAAGCTCCGTCTTCCCTGAACTCCTCTTACATTTTACTCAGTAGCCTAACCAACTTTTGGGAGATGGTTGGTGGGGTCATGTAGATGTGCAGTAAGGTTTTGGAATTTGGATTTTGCCCCGGGGGGTCAAATGGGGGTCGAAAAATGACGTTTTTTGTCCAAAAATCCCCGTCTTCCCTGAACTCCTTCTACATTTTACTCAGTAGCCTAACCAGCTTTTGGGAGATGGTTGGTGGGGTCATGTAGATGTGCAGTAAGCTTTCGGAATTTTGATTTTGCCCCAGGGGGTCAAATGGGGGTCGAAAAATGACGTTTTTTAAGCAAAAAGCTCCGTCTTCCCTGAACTCCTCTTACATTTTACTCAGTAGCCTAATCATCTTTTGGGAGATGGTTGGTGGGGTCATGTAGATGTGCAGTAAGGTTTTGGAATTTCGATTTTGCCCCGGGGGGTCAAATGGGGGTCAAAAAATGACGTTTTTTGTCCAAAAAGCCCCGTCTTCCCTGAACTCCTTCTACATTTTACTCAGTAGCCTAACCAGCTTTTGGGAGATGGTTGGTGGGGTCATGTAGATGTGCAGTAAGCTTTCGGAATTTTGATTTTGCCCCAGGGTGTCAAATGGGGGTCGAAAAATGACGTTTTTTAAGCAAAAAGCTCCGTCTTCCCTGAACTCCTCTTACATTTTACTCAGTAGCCTAATCATCTTTTGGGAGATGGTTGGTGGGGTCATGTAGATGTGCAGTAAGGTTTTGGAATTTCGATTTTGCCCCGGGGGGTCAAATGGGGGTCAAAAAATGACGTTTTTTGTCCAAAAAGCCCCGTCTTCCCTGAACTCCTTCTACATTTTACTCAGTAGCCTAACCAGCTTTTGGGAGATGGTTGGTGGGGTCATGTAGATGTGCAGTAAGCTTTCGGAATTTTGATTTTGCCCCAGGGTGTCAAATGGGGGTCGAAAAATGACGTTTTTTAAGCAAAAAGCTCCGTCTTCCCTGAACTCCTCTTACATTTTACTCAGTAGCCTAATCATCTTTTGGGAGATGGTTGGTGGGGTCATGTAGATGTGCAGTAAGGTTTTGGAATTTCGATTTTGCCCCGGGGGGTCAAATGGGGGTCAAAAAATGACGTTTTTTGTCCAAAAAGCCCCGTCTTCCCTGAACTCCTTCTACATTTTACTCAGTAGCCTAACCAGCTTTTGGGAGATGGTTGGTGGGGTCATGTAGATGTGCAGTAAGCTTTCGGAATTTTGATTTTGCCCCAGGGGGTCAAATGGGGGTCGAAAAATGACGTTTTTTAAGCAAAAAGCTCCGTCTTCCCTGAACTCCTCTTACATTTTACTCAGTAGCCTAATCATCTTTTGGGAGATGGTTGGTGGGGTCATGTAGATGTGCAGTAAGGTTTTGGATTTTCGATTTTGCCCCGGGGGGTCAAATGGGGGTCGAAAAATGACGTTTTTTGTCCAAAAAGCCCCGTCTTACCTGAACTCCTTCTACATTTTACTCAGTAGCCTAACCAGCTTTTGGGAGATGGTTGGTGGGGTCATGTAGATGTGCAGTAAGGTTTTGGAATTTTGATTTTGCCCTGGGGGATCAAATGGGGGTCGAAAAATGACGTTTTTTATGCAAAAATCTCCATCTTCCCTGAACTCCTCTTACATTTTATTCAGCAGCCTAATCATATTTTAGGAGATGGTTGGTGGGGTCATGCAGATGTGCAGGTAGGTTTCGGAGTTTTGATTTTGCCCTGGGGAGTCAAATAAGGGTCGAAAAATGATGTTTTTTTATGGAAAAAGCCCCATCTTCCCTGAACTCCTCTTACATTTTATTCAGCATCCTAATCATCTTTGGGAGATGGTTGGTGGGGTCATGTAGATGTGCAGTTAGGTTTCGGAATTTTGATTTTGCCCGGGGGGTCAAATGAGGGTTGAAAAATGACGTTTTTTATGGAAAAAGCCCAGTCTTCCCTAAACTCCTTTTTTGTTTTAAACAGTGGTCTTATCATCTTTTGGGAGAGTTCACTCTTTTGAAATTTTGTTAAAACATCAAGGTCAAGGGGTAAAAAATCATAGCATGTTGGGAGCCTCTTGTTATGGGTAATGTTCACTTGAAATGTGAAAGTCAAATCTCTTCTCAATGAAAAGGAAATACAACATTAATGAAAACTAAGTTAAACTTCAAGGTCAAGGTCACAGAGTCAAAAAGTCATGATACATTTTGGAAGGTCTTATCACAGGTAATATGAATGCCCTTTCATTTATCTTTCAAAATGATCAATTCAAAGCAATTAATTTTTTAAGGAAATTAGGTCAAACTTCAAGATCATGGGTAATGAAAATCATAGTGTATGTAGAAAGGTATTGTCCCATTTAATACTAATACACATGTTTAATATAAAAGTCCTATCTCTTCTCATTCAAAATATACGACCATGATGACCAAGGTTAAATTTATTGTGACAGATGGGCAGATTGACAAACAAATGAGATTTAATGTACCCTACCTTTAGCAAAAATGGGGACAATAAATGTCTTTGCTGTTCTTGAGAAGAAGATTTATGTTGGAACAAGATTTGTTTGTGAAACACTACGCGCCCGGCGGCAACAAAGTTAAAAAAATCTTCTTTTAGCATATTGATCACAGTCAAGGTCACAAGGTCATTGACCATGGTGTCATTCGAAAGAACTTAATCAGTGGAGTATG